ATTTTCCAATGTGGATAATATTATTCGAAAATGCGTTCGGATTTCATTTAAAATTGAAATATCACTATTCAATTAATGCATTTTCAATAATAATAATAAAAAATTATTTTATTTTTGCAAATAAAATATTACATTAAAATATAATTTAAATCAAAATTCAAATAAAAAATTCGAAATCAAACCAAAACCCATATCCTTTGTCAATTGAAGGGAGACCATATATATATATATAATAGTAGAAGAAGTTTTGATTTCACTTTTGAATTTTAATTTTTGATTTGAGTAAAATATTTAACAAAAAAGAATGTAATTTTATAAAAAATAAAATAAAATAAAATCATGATGATTATATAATAAAAAATTCTAAACTAAATTCTAGAAGAAGACATGTGTTCTTAGACAATGGGATTCTCTATTTGATGAAAGTGGGATTTATTGAATATATGGATTGCATTAGGGAGGCTCATGAAACACATGTTGAAAATATAAATATATCTAATAATAAATATAAATATTTAAATAATATATATATATATATATGATATGTGCTTATTTATGTGGCGACTCGAGCTTTTTAATAATATTAAAAATATAAATATTTTTATAATTAATATAAAAATAGTTATAGTGTAGAGTTTAAATAATAAATATTTATTAAAAACTAATTCAAAATTTTGAATATCATTTTTGTCGATATATTTAACAAATGACGAAAAATCGAAATAAAAAGACGGCAACATCTTCAAAACAAGTCAGAAAGGAGAGTAGCAACCCATATATTTGTTAATTGTGTTTTAACATAATTTGAATTTTTTTAATTAATTAATTTAATATAAAGTATTTTTAAAAATTACCATAAACTATAATATTCCCTCAATTCAATATATACATAAAAATATGTATATCCGTTTACTTTTTCATGTAATTTTTTTAATATTAGTATTTAATATATATAATACAAAAAATGTATGAATAATCAAATTTATCCATAGAAAAAACAAATTAGTTAAACAATAATAATATTTTTATAATACTATGTAAATTGTAATAAATTTTTAAAATTTTGTAGTAATCACAATTACTAAAAAAAAGAAATAAATTAATTTTGGACAAACCGAAATAACAAACTATAGAGATTATTTCAGACGAATGAATTATTAAAAATATATTATAATTATAATATAAATAATAATTATACTTCATCCATCCGTCTTTAAGGGTCACATTTATACTTTGAGTCATTGTACTTAATATTAAAAATATCTTTATTTATATAATGTTTTGTACGAAAGTCCTTATATTAGTATTATAAAACATTAATTGAAGTATTTTGTGCAATTTTTTTTTTAATTTTTACTACGTTTTAATATAATAATTAATATTAGAAAATCAAATATGTAAAAATTAAATGCCTCATAGCCGAACAAAAATAATATTTATTTGGCCGACTAATCTACTTTCAATCTAGACCTATATTTTAAAGGATATAAAAAATTAAAATTCAAACCTCGTAAAAAAAAAAGACAGTACGGGATGGGCCAACTCATTTTAACAATAAATTGTAAAAAAATAAAATTAAAGACAAAGAAGTCAGTACAATGTGGAGTGCAACTTTTGTTCCATATCTTCATGTTAACTCAATAGCCAATAAATAGAAAATAATATATACATATATATATATATATCAATTTGCTAAGTGATAATGTAACAAAATTAAATAAAGGGTAACATGTTTTTTTAATTCCGTACCTGAACCACCATATCATTTTAGTCCGGTAAGTAAAGTCTGTCGCATATTAGTCTCATAAGTGATAATTTTTTGCTATTTTAGTCATTCGACGCCGGAGATGTCCTCGTGGCTTGCCGGAGGCCACGTGTCCGCCAGGTCAGCGACACATGGCGGATACGTGGATTTTATTTTTATTTTTCCATTTTTTTTTTTCAATTTTTTTTAAAATTTATTTTTAATTTATTTTAATTTTTATTTGATCCAATTGAAAAAAAATGAAAAAAAAAAAATCATGTGTCCGCCAGGTGTCGCTGACCTGGCGGACACGTGGCTTCCGGTGAGCCACACAAGTATCTCCGGCGCCGGAGGACTAAAACAACGAATATTTTCCACTTATGGGACTAGTTTGCGACAAGCTTCACTTATCGAAGTAAAATGGTAAGAGGTCCAGTTACGAGACTTAAAAAAAACAGTTTATCCTTAAATAAAATATCAAAATGAAATAAAAATTAAAAAAATAAAAAATTTATATATATGATGATGCATGCATGCCACAAAAATAATTCACACACAAAAATAGAAAGGGGACCATCACATGTGATGATAATTTTGTTATGCTTTTATCAAAAAAGGATTTGTATGTTAGCTAAGAGGGCCACCAATTTGTCCTCACAATATCATCATTCATATCAAATAAAAAATAAAATAAAATAAAATAAATAATTAAATAATAATAATAATAATAATAATAATAATAATAATAATAATAAAGGATTTCAAACCAGGTGTCTTTGATGAATCAATTTGGTGTTTGCTCTTTTTCCTACCTTTGGTTTTTCCAAATTTCTCTTTATATATATTTTTTCGTCTCACTAAAAGTATTCAATTTTTTTTTTGTCTGATTCACATAAATTATTTTTAGAAATATGACTGTATAATTTAATTATATTTTAAATTTCATAATTTATAAGTTTTTAATCTTAATTAAACTATTTAATTATTTTAATTTTAATTTATAATTATTTTTACTAATACACTAATTATATTTTAAGTATATTATCGCATCTAAAGTAATACAGACAAAATATATAATACGAAGATAGTATTATATATACTCTATTGGTTTCATTATTTTTGCATATTTGATTTTATATGTGAATTTTATGTGGTAAAATTTGATTTATTTTTATTTTATTATGTATTTACAAAAGTACAAAAAGGAAAATTTGCGCGAAAAAAAGTTGCAAAAATTTTAGAGTAAATTATTTAAAACACTCTTGTGTTTTAATAAAAATACACAAAACATAATACGTTTTATTTATTGCGTGAAACTCTCTTGTGTTAATGTAAAATTTGCACAAAACACTTTCTTTGTCCAAAGCCGATGGTTACTTTTACTTAAATTATGTAAGTTTTATACAAATAAAAAGAAAATATAAAATATCTTAAATAATTTTTTTAATAAGATAAATAAATAAATAATTGATCAATAATTTATTTTTATAATTTTTGTAAACATAGATAATAATTTGTTTTCAAAAAAATATAAAATGAAAGATTAATTAATTCTATATGACAAACAGGACCAAAAAGACTTCGATAAAATTCAAACCTTTACGATTATAAATTCACTTATCACACTATTTCGGCCACTCTAACATGATAAAACTTGTTATTTCGTATTATTGAATATGATGCTGACAATATTAAATCAGTATCGCGATGATTTTATCAAGTTAGCACATTAGTTTGAAATAATTTACATTATTACAATATACATAGCATACGACAAAGTTAACATATTAACATGAGACAATAAATATTTCATCACAATACAGATATCATGTATTATGTAAAAACATGTGTTATGCGAGTTATATATTGTATTATATAAAATTATATAATATGTTGTATTTTATATTGTATCCCTCCGTCCAGCTACAAAGTATACATATTTCTAATCTGGGATGTCCAATTACAAAGTAACAATTTCATTAAATACCTCATTTTTTTCCACAAATACCCTTATTTTACATCACATAATTACTTTTATACAAAAAAAAATAAGGGCAAAAATGTCATTACACTACTTTTACCTACTCACTATAATTAAAATAATATTATTTCTTAAACTCTGCGCCAAAAGTAAATGTATACTTATTGCTTGGACGGAGGGAGTATTAACTGTGATATATATAGTGCATTGTACTCCTTCCGTCCCAAAAGTATAATCTTATTGTGTTGGACATGAAATTTAAGGAATATTAGTATTATATATTGATAGTTGGTAAAAAAGTAAAGATAAACGACTTTTTTCCTATTGTGAGTACATTAGTGTAAAAGTAGTGATAATTATGTAACAATAATAAAAAAGTAGAAATAATTTTATGGTGATACGATTATTTATAGAAATAATACTATTATTTTGAGACGGACAAAAATAGTAAATAAGATTATTGTATTGAAACGGAAGGAGTATAATTTATTTATTGTTCTGTTTGACCAACTCAACACAATCAACAAAGCGTATTGAATAAATTGACCACATGCTATTTTCATAATAATTAATTAATTATATATTTTAGAGTGTCACTCGCTCATTGGTATTCTTCCATCAAACTTGCAATAAAATTTTTTTTAAAAAAAGCCCTTTTTTTTTTTTTTTTTTTTGTGGGCTGCATTTTCTTAACATATTTATTTATTTATTTGATCGTAACACATACATTTATTCTTTATGCATTTTGAATTTTTTTGTCTCTATTGTGTATTTACGATACTCTATTATATGTGTTTTATTTTTTTATTTATTTTTTTGAAATCGATCTTCTTTTAGACATTTCTTACTTTTCAAATCCTACAATATCGAAGTGACTAAAAATAGCTTATTAACAATTGTGTTTTGCTTGTTAAGGCTTACAAAGTTCAGATCTGATTAAAAATTTGAAAAAAAAAAAAAAAGAAAAGAAAAACTAATTTTTTTTTATCCCTACACATTAAAATTTTTTTTGTCCGGAAGGACTATATTATCTTTGAATTTTTAATTTTTATTATTTATTTATTATTATGTAATTTCTACATTTCACTATAAAAATACATTATTATTATTTAAACATAAACCACAAACACAAACCAAAATACCACTAATATTTTGCATTATTTACACAAATCTATCATGAAAATTATTGCAATCATAACCTATCTAATTGCCAAAATAACAACAAACATTTGAGTTCTGGGTTTAAATTTTAAATTACGAACTTTTGAACTAAAATAGTTATTTGATCTGTATAAATAAATATTTATATATTTTTTCATATAAAACTAATTTTTAATATAATATAAAAAATAAAAAATTAAATATTTAATTCCCTGAATAAGCATACAGAATTTTACTAATAGATGATCACTTATTACTTCCAAGATTTACCTAAGAAAGAAATCGCCTGAATTTCTCCGGACACCATAAGAATTATCGAAAGAATTTTCGAACACGGCAAAAAGAATAGCTTTTGGAGCACTGCAGCAGCGAGCCGAGCTGTTTTATTTGTTTGATCCTCTGCCCATTGAAATTTCTACCTGTTTGCAATTTTCATTATGGTATAGAGCTCACCATCCTCGATTTCTGATTCTTCTAGTAGTCGAAAAGGAGTTCTACCATCATCGGCAGCAGAATTCACATTAGCTCCCCTGCAATGGAAGAAAATCGATAACTAGAGAAAACAAAACAATCTCAAACATTCACTTCATTGAAAGCAATGCTAAGAAAGTGCACTTTTAGTCAATACAGGGTTATGAAGGTCTTCGACTTGTAGAGAGATGGAGAAGATGGAAAATCGAACAATTATACAATATTTGCATTTATGTAACGCGCATTGGGATTATTTAGCTGCTATGCTTACATAAGAAATAAACTTAAATGGACACAAGTGCGACAACGAGGGAACATTTAAGTACCTAAATCGTTTTGTTTCGCTTCTCAAAAGTCATATCTTATTGTAAAAACACTATATGCATCTCAAAATTATCTCAAAATAATTTCTTGATAAATAATATATGTACACACATTCAAATCTTCGTAATTTTATAAAATGAATTTATGTTTAATAATATGCATATATATAATGCGTATGCAAAAGTTTATTCACTACAAAATACTTAAGAATTTTGGGTATTTTTGTTTTTCATATACTTAACATACATTTTGAACTTACTCTCTCCGTCCGGCAAAATTTTACCTATTTCCTTTGTAATTTACAAAAGAAACGAATATAATTTTGGCAGACGGAATAAATATTTTTGAACCAATATCTCAATCTAAAACCAAACACCATCTCACTAAAAAAAAAAAAAAAAAAAATTCCCTCTAAAATAAAAACACACACTTGAGTTGGCAAACAAACAAACCCTTGAGGGGCGTTTGGTTGTAGTGTATTTTTATATGGAATCGCAAGGATACTATAGTAAAGAAATTTTTAAAAAAAAATTCAAAGAGAACAAAACACCATCTCACTATCTCATTCAAAATCCAAAATCCCTCTAAGATAAAAAAAATCAATCTTGAAATGCCAAACAAACAAACCCTTGTGTTCGTTTGTGGATTTTTTCATAAATTTTTACTATTAAAAAATCTAAACCGAAAAACAAACACATAAGTGCTGGTTTGTATAGTGTATTTAATAGGAAATCGTACAATTGCATTTAAAGAAACCGAAAAAGATAATCTCAAAGAAAACAAAGCCTTACCTTACTTTCTCGAAGCTTGAGGTATGATATCTACCCAATCAACGAACAAAAAAACAAATGGAGAACAGCAAAAAAGGCGAAAATATTAAGACGAAGGCGAAGCACTTGTTACCTCGTGAGCAGCAGTTTCGCGATCCCAGTTTGTCCTCTCAGTATGCAATGATGTAGAGGTGTCCAACCTCTCGAATCACACGTGTCAATATTTGCCCCGTACTGCAGGAGAAGCTCGATCATGCCGATATCAGCAGTTTGACAGGCGAGGTGAAGCAAGGAACACTCCTCAAAAAGCTCATCATGGCGCAAGTTTCGATTGGAATCCATGCTATCGTGCAGTTTCATCACATTTTCTGAATCTGAGGACGTATTTGGTGATGCATGGCCGCGAACAGCATTGACATTTGCTTCGCACTTAACGAGCATCCGGTACACGGCTTTCTTGTCATTGATACGGACAATTTCCCATAACTGTTTGGAAATCGACATGGAAGGCTGTTTATCCTTTTGTTTGACAGCAAAGCGTCTCTCGACATACTGCAGGTGAAATCATTAGTTTATGCAGAATGAATATGAACTGTGTGTTGGAAACTTTAAGGAATCTACAACAATTTCTGGCGAATGATGTATTGAAGAGAATGAGTCGAAGAAATAGGATAACTTCAATTTGTGGACACTAGAGTGCTAGACAATAACTAAGCCTCTATTTACTTATGTTTTCAAGTTTGTAATGCTTTCGTTTTAGAAAAACATCACATGAAATACCTTATTCTTATTTAAAATATAAGTCAAGAAACTATTTTCAGTTCAAAATAACACATCCAATTTTTCACATCACATAAAAAAATATCACATGAAAAACATCACATAATTTGTTTCACATCGAACACATATTTTCTATTCAATTTTTTACTATTTCCAAATCAACTCAAAAATTACAAAACACTTCCAAAATATATCTAAGCGCACTTAATGGATAAATGAAATACTAGACGAGGCAAGCAAGAAAATATCTAAATAGAACAACATTTTTAGAACTTGAAAGATATACACCAATCTAAAATACCATGGTTGAAATTTGTCTTGTGAAGAGATAGTGTCCCTTCTTTAATCATATACTTTTCTTTCACTTACAAATTATATTATGCAAAATATAGAACACGGATCAACTAAAAAGCATGAGAGATAACACGTGAATGATCGATTACTCAGGATTTACTTACAATCATTTCATTTACTTTTCCAATATAAAGATCTGAAATAGCCCGATTACTTTAGCCATGCATTCCTAGATAACGGTGAATACAGTTGCAAAAGAAGCTCAAATGCATTCATTGCGGCAATACCTTTGCTTGGATGAACTTTTCCTTCACGGATATATGATCATTTGGACGCGGTTTGGTGAAAAACTCTTTGTGTTTATCTGATTCATAAGACCTACGACGCAGAGCCCACATTTGATTTTTATCAGTTGTGGAATAGTACTACATTAATATTGATTCATACCATGTTTACCGTATAGGTACTTCATCTGCTTGAACTGTTCTATTTGGCCGCAACAGCCCTTCCCATATTGAGTTGACAAAGACATTACCCAGTGCCTGAAACAAACTAATGACAGAAGGTTCCCACACTTTCACATCAAGTCTCAATGATCTTACCTGCATTAGAAATGATGATGGAAGCAGCGAGATCAGCAATGAGTAAAATTAATCCCTCTATACAACAAACATTCACAGCCAAATTATAATTTAATTTTATTTTTTGTAACCTTGCACCAATCTAACCAAAACTTCCATCGTACACTTCGAAGGTTGCTCAATAAGTTGATTATTCATCACCCCCGAAAAACAAACTAGTTGTCGAACTAAAGAATAAAGGTGCTAAAACCTTAGTTTAGGGCCTGGATTTGATCTCGCACTATTCATCAATTCACCCCTTCCCCACAAACCATCAAATCAAGTTCATAGTTTTCATTTAATACATTAAAAAAAAAAAAATTCAAATTTCCATTAAAAACATCACGTCAAACCTATTTATATCATATCAAACATTATTTCAATTCGTATTTTTACTATTCTTTAACTTCTCAAACCTTAAAAGAACAGACCGCCAGGGTTTGTTTCTTTATGGCCTGTTTTTGTTTCAAAGAGATAAGACCATACATTTTGACATTGTTAAGACATAATTTTGACAATGTGACACATCTGTCTTGAAGATTTTAATCAAGCAAATATGAAAGAACTAGTTGAACTAAGATCCATTAATTGATGATTGTGATGAATTAATTGATGGTTATTTCACTTCATATTCAGAAGAGGCTCTTGCATAATGAAAGACTGAATGGACTTTGACAATACATTAAGAAGCTCTCTTGTGGCTGCTCACGGCAGAGTGCATGCCGCTGAAGAGTAATTGGGGACTTCTAATTGGACTTAAAATGGAGTACGTGATTCGCCTTTTTAGAGATAACATTGTAGAAAAGGTATTTTGAAGATTCTTTAGCACATAAAGGTGAATAAAAAGTCATTATTTGAGTACAAGTACTCTGCTTCAACATCCTTGCAATATTGCCACAAGAAATTTCATTAGCTACTACTGTGTGACACAATGATCCGGGTGTCTTAACTGTGTGAGAGGTGCTGTTGATGAGGCATTTTTTTGTTTGGTAATGTATGTGTTTAAGATAGCACGGAAAGTTGTTTTAATGTTTTATTGTAAAAGAGTTGAGATTTGTGAGTATTCGTATTATACGATATCGAACTCATGCATAATAGAAAGAAGTGGCTCCAACACTAATATGAGTGGTGAGGAATAATAGAAAATTCTTGGTTTAGGTGTGCTCGTTTAGAAGATTTCTTCAGATTTCTACTATTCACCAATTTTTTTCCCCCACAAAAAACAAATCAAATTTTATTTTTTATATTATAATAATAATTAATTTTATATTCAAAACATTACATCAACACTTATTTATATCACATCATACCACTATTTAAATGCAAAATTTTTACTATTCAAATCCCACTCAAAATCCAAACCCCTAAACAAACACACCCTAATTAATAAATATTACTATGGGTGAGGAATTTTAGTTTAACTTGGCATAGTGTAAAAATATTAAAATAATCCATTAGTTTTTTCGGCAGTGTAAAAATATAAAGAATGAGCTTTCTAGTTATCTATTCCTTATTTAAAATTGATTGGTAGAACTGCCTTGCACAATTATGATATTATAAGGATTTGCTTAATATTGGAATATGTACCCTTAGTTTTGTACTGATGTTTATTTACTGAGACCTGATACATTTGGCATGTGTAATGCTAATTTATTCTTGCATTCTAATTATAAGGTCCTAATATTTCACTAAAATAAAAAATCTAGTTTCCACTCGCAAACTACACAAGATGCATTGGAAGATATAGAGGAGAAAAATTATTCCCAAATTATAGAATATCTAATCTAGAACAAGAACTTACCTTGGATATGTGCACACCAAGATTCCGATGAACACCAGAGCATTCAATACATAGAAGAACCACAAGATTCAAGGAAGCCCAATCTGGTTCAGGTGCACCACAATCAGCACATTTATCATTTCCAGGCAACTTCCTCAATACATCAATCGGCTTCTCATTTTTCAAGCAGCACTCAAGCTGCAGGGTACTTCTGGATGTTCGTATAACATTTTTAGCCAAGAGACTCTTATCTGAGTTCTTAGGTTCATGGAAGGATCGAATATCTTGATGATCAGAACTTCCACCAGAACTACATTCACTAGCTGGACTAAAATGAAACTGCTGACATCCAGAGGAGTCAAAGTTAAGAAAAGAGAAGAAACAGTAAAGGCATATTTACATGCATAATGTCGAAACTATTTATTTGTTGCTTGCCTTTTCGAGAGATTGTGAACTTAGCATAGAAGTAATAACCCCAGTTATTTTATTAACCCAGTCCATTTGATCAGCTTCACTTTCAGCCTGTATCATCAAGAATGTACAATATGACAAATTTTAATCTTTACACAATATAATGCTTCGAGCAGTTGCAAAAATTAAGAAATAAAATACTGTCAAATTTATTAGAAGAAGGTTAATATTCAAAAGATCAGGATCACAGGTACCTGCAAAGTGTAGATTTTGGTAGGGGAAATAATCCTGAAGCAGAATCTCAGATCTGACTGCTCGGCATCAACTTTTATTGTCGATGTCAGCAGATTCACAGTGTGATGCGCAATCGCTTTCTCATCAAACATTCCTCCATGGTAATGTGAGGAAAGCAACCGACTCAACAACCCTGAACTCTGCTCTGTAGGAGCTCCTCTATTCATATTATTGCTAGTCCCTTGCAGCTGAGTGTCCGATGATTTGGTTACAAACGTCAACTGAGAGAATGCAAAGGATTAGAATACAGCTATTCTAATTTTATCTCTTGTTCCATGACTTACTGTGGGCTTGCTCCATTGTTTGCGATAATAATATAGCATTCCCCGGCTGTCGAGAACAAAAAATCTTCTCTTCCAGTCACCTCTTAAATTGGAGGAGCGTTTAGAAAGATATCCTTGTTTAATGGTTTGTACCTAAACTATCGACGTTATAGTTATAGTCAGACACAATACTAGGTAAGGATGGAAAATGTGAAGCATGATTAAAATCCAATTTATTGCATAATTTGTACCTTTCCTTCAGCAGCAGAATGCATCGCCGTCTCTATCAGTTTATTAGAGCTTCTTGGTAAAGGTTGTAAAGAATCTGTACTTAAAGAACCATGTTGCCCACTACAGGCCCGTCGATTCTCCTGATCAACCTGCCTTACATACTCCTGCATCTGTTTATTAAGAGCTAGCTGCTCGTTGTTGGAATTTAGTCTTGCCTGTTGCGCATATTCCAAGACCTGCAACAGATTAACAATGGAGTGTAACAGGATAAATGAGCAAAATCAAGAGCATATTACTTTTTTCCATGTTAATCAGCAAAAGGCAGCAATATAAATTTCAGTGGCACTTTGTTATGTAATGGAAGATAATGCTGTCCAATAGAGAATTGCCATAGGAAAAGGGTTTACTAGAGGCTTAACTGCAAGAGATAGACACAAAAAAGAGGAAGGCGACGCAGAATCTTATTGAGAAGCTTTATACGCTGATAATTTCCATCAAAGAGTAAGCAGAAAAAAAGCCCAATCAAAGTTCTCATGACAAGCTTCGAAATTCTAGATTTAGATTGGGTAATGCTGAGGTTGCTAAGGTATGGAGATTTTCTTACACTTGCCATCAGAAATTAACTGAGAAAGACGTTAAAACTTTAAGGCGTGTAAATTATCTAATATCTACTTTGCTTTTACTATATCTTGTATAGTAAACATCAAAATGAAGTAAATTCAAGATTAGGTATAATACTGATGCTCGCGGTGTAATAGCAAACTGAAGTAAATTCAAGACGACAGATTTTTACGTAGCCCCAGGAAAGCTGATGATTTTACACACGTAAAGTTCTCTTCATTAGTATCATCCCTTTTGTATTAAGTAAATATTGGCACTAAATGTATAATTCAGGAGAAACAAGAGATATTTTAACAAATTCTGGATATGAAAACAGAACCTGTTTAATATATGGCTCCATCTGAAGCAATAGCTCGTACCCCTGGCATCACAAAGAACTTCAGAACCATGACATAAGCAGGAAAATACGGTGCAAATGAATACGAGACTATTAATAGAACAAACCTGTTTAAAATAATGAAGATGAGCATCCATTGTATTACCAACAGCCTCTAGAAATTCAGACTTCTTCTTTCCTTCGACATTAGAGAGGGCACTCACCTGAATAATCCAACTATGTACTTCAAGTTACAATTTTATCATTTCCAAACTTAGTACTTCAACTTTGGATTGGATGCATGGAAAAAGATCAACAAACCAGATTAAAGCGTTCCTGCTCAAAAGCTGATCTTGCACTGTGAAGTTCCTGGAACGTCTCTCTACTATATTAGAATATAACAGTTGATGGTTACCCATCACAACCATCTGAACATCTACAGCAATTAAAGCATGAATATTCATTTCAATGCATGAAGTACAAATCATCATATACCTCCTCTAGGGCAGTAGCAATTTCCAGCCTTGCACTCTTTCTCAATGACAGAAACTTTTCACGAACCTGATCCGCAATAGTTAATTCATTTATTGTTTCGTATATAAAAGCAGGGTTTATTTATTTGATGTTTGAGGAAAACTTTAGAGGTGGAAATTTACTAAATTATTATAACTACTAAGAAATCAAATCATACTAACATGCATTTACGAAGATAGGGAAAGGGCTATGAAAACTAGCATTGTACCCAAGGGGTCAGTACTAAGAACAATAATAGCTCTTTGATTGATTTTCTTAAAAATACCTAACTGAAGATATTTGTGCATTTTATGTAGCTTTTTCAGAAATTTCCTTAGTAATTTATTAAATTTCACTCTCTAGGGAGCCTCTTATCAAATATCTTTCTTGTTAACCTAAATCTTAGGTTTTGATTGCCTAATGCCAATAAATGTAAAATTAAGGAAAAACTATAATATGCCAATCAGAAGCCTATCACAGTATGACGCACACCTGATTATAAATAGCACTGGCTTTGTAAAAACGCTTGTGGGCGTCCTGCAAATCACAAAATTTGATAATGTGAGAATGGGAGCAAAGTGATTAGGATTAATGAATAACTTTCATGCATACCACACTTCTGTTATTTTTAGCTTCTAAGACTTATGGTTCATCTGACATGTAACCTGAAGGCTTATTGTTGTGAGTTGGAATGTGGGGCAGGACTCAATAATCGATCTCCTATATAGGCCCATAATGTCTCACCAAGCTAAGCTTCACATATCCTCATTGAATGTTGTAAAATAATGTAAATGGCTCTCGCACCTAGAAGTTTAAACTTTAAAAGAATATGTATCATTTAATTGATTTATATTTTATGGAAGTCAACCAATATGTCCCATCACGTGCAAGGGGACTATATGCCATCATACAAATCTTGCACGTAAACGACGATGAATGGGTACGGTGGACTCAAACATGGGACCTTTCGACTCTGATACCATGTTAGATGATGTTAATGACCGCCTCAACTAAAAATTTAAGCTTTAAAGAGATACTCATCATTTAATTTCATTATATTTTACGAGTCAACCAACCAAATGGATTTTTGCTAGGCTTTCCTACCTAAGATTTGTGGGCTCTAACAAGTGGTATGACAGTTTTATATATAAGATTTCTTCAAATAAGCTTTTTAGTTGTTGGCCAACGAAAATAAACCTCATGTGATTATAACATGTTTCATTCGTAGTAAACTGAGATCTGATTTTCTCATGTGTATCTTTGAGTCTCATGGAGTATTTGTATTTGACAACATAATGTGATTTAAGCATTCCTACAGGTGTTAAGACAGATTCACTTAGGGTTCTGCTTGAGCCGTTTTAGTTGTACACATGTTTTATGCTATCTACAATTTTGCAAGCACAATTTCCTAACAGTGAAATAAATTTACGTAAATCTGAAACTTATATAAGGAATGGAATTTGAGTAACGTTAGAGTTACCTTCACATCTTGAAGATCCACATTAGCAAATCGTACAAGCCTGTCATCCAGCATGATCTCTACCTAAGGGACAAAAGTAAAAAATATTAGCTCGATTGCATAACTAGATATACAACTTCATAATAAGAGTTTATTTCATCCAGCCAGCTTAAAATGACAAAAAACTCTTAAGATCTTGAGCAATTATGCTTCTGTGAAGGACAAAACAAATGGCTGAGGATACAAGACAAATAATGCAGGCTGATGCTTTAGGTACTTTAGTATCTCAAGGAATGCTTTGGTTATTTTAAAGAGAACAATGCAAGTGTTTTTATTAAGCATACAGAGAAACATAAACAACAAGGGAAGATATTTGACACACTGAAGACACTCGAATCATTGATTATATCCCAAAAATCCGATAGACAAAAAAGAAGGGTTTGTTCTTTGGTACCAAGTCTATCTTGTTAGAAGGCTCAGAGTTTTAAGAAGACGAAAGTGCTCCAACAGACTGATTTGACAGATAATAAAAGGGATGATTGTGCACTGAAACTAATGAGGAGAGCGTTAGTGTTCTCTTATGCCTTATGCATTATTAGGCCACAATAATTCAGCCAATTGAGCACCATAGCAATCCAACTTCACAATATCAGAAACTTAAATCATACTAAAAGATGTCATTTCTCAAATCAAGTGCAATTGAAAGATATATCTGGAATACAATGAGAGCATTTTCTTTCAGACAGGAAGCTTAACAAAGATTTAGCAATCAAAGGCTAGAAGAACATGAGATCGAGAATTCATGAACGTAGGCTAGAAGACATGATTGAGAATTCATGAACTTTCAGCTGCCAATTGCATAAATCATATTAAAAAATCTTTAGTTACGACGTGGATTGCTTTTTAGGTGACAATAACATCAATTAAGGTCGGTAATGTCAGGGTAAACATCAACCTGAGTCAAATTTCATAGTTAATCGTTAAATTCTCAATATCAGCAAGCCATACTCAATGTTTTTAGTGAAGGCAACAAATATACACCCTACAAGGCTGCAATATGATTGATCGAATCTCAAGTAACCTCTAAAAGTAAAGCTTATTGGAAGTCACCAAAATCATTGTAATAATGACTTAATGAGTCAAACGTAAAGGATTTGAAACAGATTTTAACTTAAAACCATGCATATAAATTCATCAGAGTTGTCAGTGTGGATAACATCCCAAAATTACAAAATTGAATGCTAAAGCAATCTTTAATTATGAATATCGATTATGAAAAAAAAGAAAAAAGGGAGGAATAAGAAAACTTGTAAAACAAAAGAACAATTAGTCACCACAAAGAGAAGCTTTCACCTGCGAGCGAAGAATATCCTTGTAAGCAGCAATCTCTCTCAGCGCAATAGCAAAGTTGACCATATCATGGCCTAAGACAAAAGAAAAAATAGTCAGAAACTACAAGCCACATTGCACTAAACTTATATTTAGAAAAGAAGTTATGAAGTGTGAGATAACAACGTAACATTTGTTTTCTTACAGGTATAAATAGCTTTCCTCTTTTCTTTTCTTTTCAATTTTTGGTATCTCTTGCTTGTAGGATAAGTAGTCATGCCTAAATATCTTAATGTTTTTCCTTACTATATAAGATGACTATGGATTGCATTTCGCCTTTATATCAAGTCAAGACCATTAATCACATCTAGAGTTGCACAGCATATGTTGCGACTTTCCTTCCAAGCAAGTCTGATTATATGTACTCTATATATGACCAAACCATCTTAAGCATATTTATTACATTTTCTCATCTATTGATACAAACATACTATTCTAGTCTGCTACCATAATATTATCTGTTGCACCAAATCGTATAACATTTCAACTTAAGGTATAGTTTTGTCTTACTCATTTACTCAGAATATAGAATTAAATGTAAAGTTATTTGTTTGCAGGCCTAAAGATCACATTAGCTGATTCAAATTCCTAAACATTGTCTTAGAAGACTCTTCACCATACTTGTGATACAATATTGAGGTTCAATCAAGTTCAACGTTATCCCCATGACAATATTCACTACCATCTAGCACCATAGGAAGTGATATTGAAGGGCATTTACAGTTCATACCCCAGCAGTAATTTGCCCGGGCAATAATTTCATTGAAGCAAGAACAAACATTGGATATGAAAACTACGTATATAACGCATATTGAACCATGCCAAGGCTGTAGTACCTAGCAGAAGTAAGCTCTTTCAAGAATGTTACAAGTCAGTTTTTAGCAGAATATATGATGGAAGATTAAACATTTTTTGGTACTGAAGTATGTTTTTAATGAGAAAGCTTTACAGCTCCATCTTAATGAAGAATAACAAAGAAGTGTAACTATCACTACCTCCAAACGCTACAGATATCGGATCATTCGGTTCTCCGGCAAAAGTTTCCAAGGCAGAAGCAAATCCAATATCTCTATCATATCCTTCTTCAAGACCATCTCTGTGAATCCAAACAAATGAGAAGATTTAGTAAATATTGAAAAGTGAGTGCTTCTAAATGCTATCATTATTAGCATATCAATAGCAGCTAGGGGAAATCCAAGATATAAATGTTATAAATACAAAAGAAGGCCTCGGGGAAGCACAGACTTTGTTGACTTTAGTCTCAGTAGCAACATAGTTTATCCCTACAAGCTCAAGTCTAGTTCTCTTCCTCTAACCTATCTTATTTATCCTGTTCTATATTTTAATTAATCTAAAAATAATATACTTCCAACTTTTCCAAAAATTTATATACATATAAATTATAATAATATATATATACAGAGTGGGTGAGAGAAAGAGAAGGGGAAAAAGGAACTTAATAGTTTCTCTTTGGAACTGCCAGGAAATGTAGAGAATTCAATGTAAGCAATTTTGTTCGTCAGCAAGAACTCGGATTTAAAAATGCTCTAATTTTGACTAGGTGATATTTGTGTTTTCTTTCTCTTAAGGGACAAACAAAGAGCCATGGTTGCTAATAAAAATGAAATTCGATTGGATGATGATTCCACAAGATGATTTAGTACTATGAAAGACAAATGACAGTCGAGTATCATAAGAGGTTTGTCTGAGTTTATAAGTGAACAGTTATTTCTAGATGATAAAAGAAGTTTTACGCTAATACATTTGAGGCAAAGATGGCATGCTGCAGCTATTGTATAACCCTAAGAACAGAGAGCACCTTAACATTCACACAGCTAAAGAGACAATAAATGTCAAAAAGGATGAACAAATTGATGACACAATGTAACACATTAAACATGTATGTAGTTCATCTTGCCACTCTTGCAAATGCATTTATCTCACAGTAAGAATATTCTAGCCTTTCTAATAAATAGAGAATATAACTGATATCAAGCATGATAACACATATAAGTTAGCAGTTAGCACAATTTGTGATTTTGTTCAAGAGAGAAGTATACCTATTGGCATTGAGTGGCCTATTTTATTGAGAAGACATAGTGCTTCATCAACTTGTTCGTCTATGATATACAGACAAATGTGCCTAACTGCCTATATAAATGCCACTGCAATATACCTATATTTCTGAAGAGAAAAATTATTTTAATATATATATATATATATCCAATCCAGAATGCATTGAATTTTCAAGAACATAAGTACAAGCATATAAATGCTTAAGTGCTTGTAAGTTATTTATCAGTAATGATGATTCTTGACTGTTTTAGTCTTAGTGGCCATAACTGAGGCAGTTTATTATAGAGCATGCAACGCAGCCATGGATGTTAATAAACACTTAAGAAGGTCAATACTGTTTCGAACAAATAAGTAAATGATAGTGATAGTCTTAAGATTTTATCGAATAATTTTGAAACAGAATATGTATGAATAATTAGAAATAAAAGTAAGGAATACGTTATGCTTACATGTACTTTCGACACCCTTTATGAAATTTAAGGCCTCTGTCTCTTAATATCTCAGCACCCTCTTCCATTAACTGGATCTGAATCAAAACAATGAGTTAACTTAAATTGTGCACATAATTTACAGAAATATCAGGTTTTGCCCTGAAGATCTATAAAGGACACCACACATAACAAGTCTTTTATAACCTTCAACAACCTTATGGCTCTAATATGGTCAGTTGTGTCCAGTTGTCAAGGTTAACCTATAAGTCCCGGTAATCGATTTTGACTAAGTTTCTAACAAGAGTACAGTACTATTCACACAAGAAAAAAAAAATTGTGCTTGTAAAAGTTTATCTATACCCTAGTTTGTAGTGTGTTATTCTAGTTTTTTCTTGTGAAGAGAGATTTTGCAAGAACACTATTTTTTTCAGGCGTTGAGTGTTCTCTTGGGCAAGAAAATATGTATATTTTAACCTTATACATTTGAATATTACAATGTCTATCTCAGTGTTCTTTTTGCATTTTGTCATTAGTGTTTAGCAACCAGCCAGTTCCAGGCCTATGTGCTCTCCATCAGCTTCTACAACTTCAGGTATGTGACATGTCTCTCTTCATCTATGGTGTCTCCAAGACAGTCTACTTATTGTTGTATGTGTTCGAACAAGATAAAAATAATAGGACAATCAAACGATATCAATCGTTTGCCTGAACAATCAAACGGATTCAAGCATTTGCTCAAAAGCCACCAGACTCCTTTATTTCTAAGATCAAGAATAATACTAAATAAACCCTTAATAGTCTCCTGAAATACTTCTACTAAACCCTATTTAGTAGAAGTAAATAAGTCCACCTAATAAATAAGGGGCAAGTCCAACTCAAAATATAATATTTTAATAGAAAAGTGATAATTCCCTAGCCTTGTATGAAACCGGACCGGAAGAAGTGCCATTTTTATGCCGGATACAAGTGATTATGCCGCCAATGCTGTCTAAGCCAAAAGATGGAGTCAAAGCTGAATGTCATTTATTATGCCAGTAGGACGCTAGACTCTCAAAGAAATTACACTACTATTGAAAAATAGTTGCAAGTTATTGTCTTTGCTTTCGAAAAGTTCAGACAATATATGATTGGGAGCAAAACCTTAGTCCATACTAACCCTGCTCCAAAAAATCGATATTAAGATCAAGGATCGAAAAGGTAAGGAAAACTTTGTGGTTGATCATTTAAGTAGACTACGACAGCCGGAGGACACATCCTTAGGTATAAATGAATATTTATATGACGAGAAATTATTCCTTGTGCAGGGTAAGAAGCCATGGTTTGGCTAACTTTCTGGCTACTGGACAGTTTATCATTCATATAGTTCAAGAGGGAAAGAAAACGTCTTTAATTTTGACAAGGGATTATTTTTGTACGAGCCATTCTTGTTCAACATCGGCTTAGATGGGATTATTCGTCGTTGTGTTGCTGAATTAGAAATTTAGCTGATCTTGGATGAGTGTCACAGATCTCATGCAAGAGGGCATTTTACTGGCCAGCAGATAGCTGCCAAAGCTTTGTAGTCAGGCTTTGAAAGACGCAAAGCTTACGACAAGGGTCAGAGTGTAATACCCCGTAAAATAACTGCCGAAAGTTCTTCGGAGCTCGCCGGGGTCCGACACAGAAGTCGGACAATATTATTTTGAACCTAATTTATTTTGGACTTTTGGGTAAGAAATTAATGAATTGGGTTAAAATTAGGAGTAAAAATTGAGTTTGGACCAATTTGGCCCCAGTAGGATAAAATAATTAATAAAGGTCTAAATCTTTTATGTTTAATAAAGTATATATAAAAAGAAAAATAGAGGCAGCAGCCAGACACGCACGTCGCCAGCCCCCTTCTTCTTTGGAATTCTTCTCTCCAAAACTCTTCTTCTCTTGAATTTTTCTTCTTCTCTTGAATTTTTCTCTTTAAGGTAAATGGGATTAATCTCAGATAGAATGATATATTCTAATCCCTGAGCCCCTTCTATTGATATTTTTCAAAATTATTTTCAAATGAATTTGCCCTGTTAGGTTTTGCTAATTTTTCAAAATTATTTTTCTCCAAAAGTGTTAGGTTTGATTATAATGTCCATATGGCTTATGTGAAGATTATTATAGTATTCTAAGTTGACAATCGTAAAATTTGTAGAATTGGTTTGAAACCCTATAACCTAATTATGATTTTTTTGGAAAAGATTTATTATTATATTTAAATATTATGATTTTTTAGTTAGATTATGCCTATTAGAATAGATATATTATTCAAATGTTTATTTAACGAAATAAAGTGAAATTATAATAAACTTGTTGGATTTTTAATATTCCACTTTTTGGTTGGTTAAATGTTGGCAATTGGAATATTTGAGTTTAAAGCTCTCCTTTTTAAAATTTGCCTAATAGTATGTTGAGTATTGAGTCAAATTGGTAATTGAAACTACCCGTCGAGTCCGATCAACTTGTTGATTGTTTGAATGATAAGGTATAGTCTTCCACCTCTGTGCCTTGCAAACTCGTGAGAATATATCGGTATTTTACGATAACTAGCTAACCTCGAACTAGTACCCGAATGAGCTAGGTCGAGGGATCTAGATGGCGGATTCCCTTTTTGGGTGATTCTGAAATGCCCGTCATTCACGATGAAAAGGTCTTTAGACTGTCATCCGTGATGGAGTACAATCCCATCTTGGTATATAATATTGGATACTAGAGGGTTGTGGGCCGTTTGGCGCCTCTCGCAAAATAATAAATAAATTGACTTACGTATACTTTGGACTTCAAACCCTTAGATACACATTGTGGAGCTTTCCTCGAGGGTTATGACCCTATGTTTGTTATGTGTAACTATGTGATTTGTCATACGAAGTAATAAGGTTGGAAAGCCGGGTCGACACGGCTCTAATTAAGGCCTAGTGGAGTTTTCTTTGTGATATGCTAATCACTATTATTTGAGAATGAAAATGAGATATAAGGGAGACGCTAAAAGACTCGTGCGTTTGAGTTACCCTTATGTAATATGTTTCATCTTATTCAAATTATCTTCTTCAAATGATTTTGTGGCATTATATCGTATTAATTTATCTTCAATTAATTACGCTTACTCAACTGTTATGTTGACCCTGTTCTTACAACATTTTTGTAGGCGATGATGCTTCTGATGCATCAACGTCATATGATCCATCGAGGGGAACTATAACTACTTTACCTTTTAAAATGCTTTTGAAATTCATTAATTATGTATAAGAACTAATGTCTTTTGAACTATTTCAAATTTATGTCTTTGACTCGAACTCTACTTATTTAATTGATAAGCCGGTGCGCTTTAATTTTAAATTCCTATTTAGTTGTTTGTATTAATTGATTTTAGCCTTAGCGCCAAAATGTAGGGCTCATTGGTTGATGAACGAGTCTTCCAGTGTGGCGTGGCGGTGACACTGAAGCCGGCCGGGGGTGTTACAGTTGGTATCAGAGCCGACCTGCGACAGCCCGTAGGCGTTAGACCGAACTGGTAACGGGCCTAGCAGTGGATGATCCTTAGGGTGCAACGGGGAGATAGCATTCTTAAGTGGGGGAGGATGTAATACCCCCGGAGTTGGGCCGGTGCTAGGCCAACTCTCGTAGATAAGCATGTGTCAGCCCATCCGAGGTTGAATATATAGGGTAAATAGATTGAATACACTGCTCATATCAACAATGTGCACTTTTCTTTTCGGGGGCCCTACTGAAAGAACTCTAGTTAAGCGTGCTTACTCTAGAGTAATTTGAGAATCGGTGACCCCTTGGGAAGTCTCTCAGGGTATGCGTATCTGAGGACAGAAGCGTCCTGTGGGGCTAGTCTACGACATCCCGACACAACCGGCTTCGTGGGTGTCACATAGAGATTAGGCTCCATTAGGCTCCATCTTGAAAAGAGATGAGTCTGGAGTAAAGCACTGCAAGCCTGTCTTCAGCCGTATAATGTCGCCAATATCTAACTACTCCCTATCATCCACAAGCTAGCGATCAATTTGATTTTTCAAACATAGAAATCAAACACGTGCACCGTGGGCATACAGAACAGTTTTCAAGACTCCAATTGGAATGTAACCTTATCGGCTCTCGTTTATGGAAAAGCTTGTCATCTTTCGCTGGAACTCGACATCGCATGTACTGGGCCACTGAGTTCCACTATCTTGCGTATGAGAATGCGAAGTTATACAATGAAATGATGAAATTCTATCATAACAAGAAATTGAAGAACGAATTCGTTGAGGGTTCAAAAGTCTTACTATATGATTCTAGGCTTCACTTATTCCCAGGGAAATTGAAATCTTCGTGGACTGGTCATACATAGTCAGACAAGTTCTATCAAGCGGAGCCAAAAGAATCAATAATGCGGATTCCTCAAGACAACAAAATTACTTCCTTGTCGCTTGAGTGAGCGAAGGTGAAACCCTATATTGAAGAGCATGTTTTGCAACAAGCCGGAGCAAAGATCAATCTGGTTGAAATCCAATCGCTTCTTCAGGATCAGAGTGAAACTTAATCTCAAAATTGTCTAATATTATATCCGGCCCCAAAGTTTCCTGTTTTCCTTAATGTTTTCTAGTCTAGCTTTTTATTGCTTTCCTAGAATAGCTTAAAGCTTTCGTAGTTCAGATTCCTGATTTCATAAATTAGTTAAGTTTTTGTAGAAGTAGATCGAAGTCCCGCTTGTCAGCATGCACATTACTGCTTTTTTGTAGGACTTAGTATAATTAGACTAGTATAGGTTACCGCTTTACCCGGATTAGTTTACTCCGCTTCACCTGAAGTTCGAGAGGGGTTTGTTCAAACCCATTTTCCAACAAAATATACAAGCTCGATCCAATGACAATAAAAAGAAAAAAAAAAATGAGGGACACTAGATCAAACAAACCCTACAATAAAAACCACGCGAAAAGCAAAAATCCACAAAAAAAGATGATGACAAGTGTTATAACACATACCTAATCCCTCACATCACATGGATAGTTTTTTATTTAATTGTTAAACTAGACTTCACAAACAAATTAACATTTGTATATTTCTTTAAAGTCCTGTGTTGGTCTGCAGCAATTCTTCGAAATTTTCCTCCTCAAAGCTATCAAATCAACTATATATTCTTCATTTCATACATTCCACCAAAAATATATATATATTTTCTTTTCATTCTAAACATCATATTCAAACGCGTACTTATGCATCCAACATTAATTAAATTCATTTGTTTTTATTCTCAAACCCCAAACCCAAATTCAAAACTTAAAAAGAATTTTCTCACTCAACTTCAAGGCTCACCAAAGAATCCAAGAAAGACGTCGATGCAAGAAAATTCGGTAAAATTAAAAATAAAATAAAAAAGATACCAAACAAGTGATGAACATCATCATTGCTGACCTGTTGCCGAAACATCGGTGAATCGTCGAGCTTCGCGAAATGCATCTTTCCACGCGATTCAAAACCCAAACCCTTCAAATCCAATCAACCGATCCCATTCACCCAAAAATCAAACACCAAAAACCCTATCGAAACAGAAGAAAGAATCCCCAAAAATCCCGGCAGCGCGACCGAGAAAATTCAATGCCAAACGCCGCATCCCCGCACCAAAAATCGATTTTTTGAGGAAAATGTGGGAAAAGGAAATAAACGATTGGGGGAAAATGCATAAGAGAGAAGAATGAATTGAGGGAAAACCAGAGGAGCGACAATGGAGGAAGAATGATCGATTCCTTTCAACGGCCATAATTATTTTATGAGGTGAAGTGTGTGTCTCTCTCTCGAGTTCGTGGCCGTCACATAGAAATTGTACCGTTGGTTTTTTACTATAGATGTCCTCATTTCATTGGTCCAATTTTTCTATTAGTTTTATAATGATCGATTCCTTTCAATGGCTGGTTCATACAGATTTTCTTTTACCTTTTTATAATCAAATAAGTTTGTATCGATTTATTTATGGAAAAATTGTTCATTCCATCCTGCCAGTCATATTTATTTATAATTCAGTCTCTATTATAAAAAAATTAATTTCCGTTCCCTCCTTTACCTATTTAATTTAATATTAATCGTTATTTCATATTTTTCTTTTTATTTATATAATATAAATTTGATGTACTCCTAAAATATATGTAAATACTCTTAATGTTATTTTATATACTTATAATTGTTCCGCTCTACTTATATTATTTTTTACTTTACTTAAGTATCTCACTTATATACCTCTATTTACATTATGTGTACCTTTATTTATGTATCTTTAAAAAAATAAATAAATAAAAATAATAATTAGAATCATATTTTATTGTGAAGTGAGGTAGAAAATTAAGAAAAATTGCAAAATATATTCTTTATATATTCAATTAAAAAATTGATGTGTATTAGATATTGAGATAGTTTAAATTAAATATAATTGTATGATAAGAAATACAAAATCTAAAATATAAATATACAAAATAATGTATATTATTATTATTATATAATTAATAATTATTTATTTTTATTAATATTAATATTTCTTTATTTGTATAACAATTTAATTATATATAATAATTTTAATTACAAGTATATTGTAATATACAATTTCAGTTCTAAGCATCCACTCTTCACATTCTACAAACACTAAGCAGGCTGTAGTTGCAAAAGCTCATTTTTATTTTATTGTTTTCGTTTTTTTTTTCTTTTTAATTTTTTTTTTATTCTTTCTTCTTTCTTCTATTTCACTGTCGTCACCTAGAGGTGAGCATTTGGATTTTCGATTCGAATTTTTACAAATTCGAACCAATCCGAAAATCCAAAATTTTGAAAAAATCAATCCGAATCGAACTGAAATAACCGAAATTTGAAATTCGAACTAAAAAATTCGAACCAAACCGAAAAATCCGAAATTTTAAATATTTTTAATTTATATATTTCTTTTATATTTTATTATTATTTTATAATATTAAATATATATAATATATAAAAGTAAATATATCAAAATATAATTAATAATTTTGAGTGTTTTTATATTAAAATATAATATTTTCTAATAAAATATTAAATATATATAATAAAAAATATATATTAAAATGTTATATTTTGGATTTCAGATTGGTTCGGATTTTAAGTATACTGATCCAATCCGAAAATTCAAAATTTGTAAAAAATTCAATCCGAACCAAATTTTAAATTTCGTTTTGGTTTGGATTGAATTTTTTAATTTCGAATATTTTGCTCACCCCTATAGTTGCCCGCCCATAACATTCCATAATCTACGGTCGTCAATCAATCGTCGCAGCCAGCGTGCAAGTTCAAAATTTAAAAAATAAAAAAATAAAAAATGGCGGAACCGCCTGTTGAAATCATAAACCGGCAGTTTGAACCAACAGTTCGCACTTTGATAAATATATAAACCGTAACAAACGGTTCGAAAACTGGTAAACCGAATATTCGGAACTACATGGACAAATTTAAGCCGAATGTGTTATAAGTATATAAAATAAATTTGGAAGCATTTAAAAATATTCTAAAGGCACGTTACCTGTAAGGAGGGCAGACCAATTATCCGTTTATTTATTACTCCCTATTTTTTGGGTTTTGATATTATAATAATTTTTTTAAAATACATGGAATATTTGCTTTTTATTTAAATTAATATATTAAAAAAAAAAAAAAAGCAAAGTATTATGTTTAATATAAATTACATTAAGGGTGTGTTTGGTGCAGGAATTTAGGAGTAGAAAAATGGAAATGTTTTCATTTCTTTGTTTGTTTGAGTCAGATAAATGAAGGTAGAAATAAAACATTTCAGATAAACAGAGGAAACGATGTTGCATATATATTTTTTTATTTTTTTTACTATTTAATTTTTATAATTATTTATATTATATTATTTCAGTTTTTTAAAAATTATTTTAAATTTATCTATTTAAGTTTTTACAATTTTTTTTAAAAAAATTATACTAAAATATGGTCTAACAAAACTTCTATAATTTTTTGTTTTTTAAAAAAATCACCGTAAATATTTTTTCATAATTCTCACTAGCTAAAACTCTCTTTTGTTAGATTAATCATTTATTTTTGTCCAATCCATTCATTTTTTTTTTATATTTCTAAACTGAATTCTCTATTCTACACACCCTTAATTAAAAAAATTAAATTTATTTTAAAATTTCTATATAAACACCCTAATTTTCTATTGTTCTAAAAAATCTTAAAATTAAATTTATTTTAAAATTTTCATATAAACATATATATATATATATGTCTGTATCAAATAACTACTCCCTCCGTCCCATAAATATGATAGTCAGTAAAAATATAGATAAAAAACATAAGTAATTTTACGGTGATACGATTATTTATATAAATAAGACTATTATTTTGGAACAGACAAAAATGATAAACAAAACTATAACATTAAGACGGAGGGAGAATTACAAATCAAAATGTGATTATTTTAGTCATTTTCATTTGTTTTATTTTATTAATTATTTAGATAATTGGAAACCCGTCTTTCGGTTGGACCTACTGTCTACAAACTATAATCGATAAGGCAAATTATATTAGGCCAACTATGTGGAAGTTGAAGAATTTAAACCCCTGCACCATCAGTCATCCTCGCGGATACATATGAACATTTTTTTCTATAACACAGTTACATCACTATCCTGCAAAGCAATCCAAACAATATTACAATAAAAGAATTAATAAATTAAAATACCAACTACTAGTCTTCATTCCAAATTTAAATATAACCGCAATAGACTATTTTCTATTCAAAAAAAATTCAAAGGTAGAACACGAACAAACACAAACTAATAGTTAACGGTCCAATTTAAGACAATCCACAACAGTAAAATATGCATCAAGAAATTATACGATACCCATCTTAGAGGGTAAAAATTTCGAAGATTTAAATTAAAATTTTTCTGACAGTTTCAAAGCACAGAATTGTACCAATAAGATGCTCGATCGCCGATGGATTCTGAGTCTGAGATCATCCCCAGAGCCTGCTCATGAATCCCTTAACTTCCTTCTTCATCCTGTGGTCGAGGGGTGGGAAATCGACTGAATTGTAGGCGAGGTCGAGCACAATTGGATTGCCGGGAACTGTTTGGAAGGCGGGTGGGAAGGCTTCGATGCGAGGGATTAGCTTCCCGGTTGGATCCCCCACAGCTGATTCGTTTGTCTCCAGTTTCTCCATGAGCAGTTTCTCGAGCTGAAGAAAAGTGTGCATACAAACATGTAAAACCAACTTTTTAATAAGAAACGCAAAAAAAACAAAAAACGAAAGCCCCGATGGAAATAAAAGGTTAACATGTATAGGTAAACAGGAAATAATTTTTGTGCTTGTGCATGGGAGGGAGGTTGTTTCTAATAAAAAAAATGATCAAAACTAGGTTTCGAGTAGATTCAGTTATCCTAGCCCTATGTAAAATGGCAATGGGTAGGTGTAGACCCAAGACCCGACCCGGACCCTACCCATTTATTTGGGGCCGGGTTCAATTATGAGTATTGGATCGGATATGGGTCGGGTTTTTTAATAAATTTTTGGGGCGGGGCGGGTCCAAAATAGTTTCTTTAGGGTCGGTCCCGAGTTTAATGGCAGTCCCTACCCGACCCGGACCCAATTAGTTAAATAATAAATTTTATTATTATTATTATTAGGGTTGGTGAGGCCGTTATGGGTGAAAATTTATATTTGTCGTATATATTTTTAATTTATTTTTTGAAATAAATAGATATTTTTTTAGGTAAGCTTGGCGAGTCCGGGTACATCACAGGTAGGTTCCAAGATACATACGGGTCCGAGTACATTAGGGTCTGGGTAGGGTCACAGGTCCATTCATACCCATGGTTCGCCGGATCGGCCGAGTCCGGTCCGACTCGGCCGATCCGGAACCGGAACGGTCAGGACCGTTCCGGTTCGTAAAAAATATCCGATATTTGCCCAAAATTTTCCCATCCATTCATATCTTATCTATAAAACCCATTATAAATCTTATTCTTACCGATTTTCTACTTTTTATTCATATTATTCGAACAATTCATCTCAATTCGATCAGATCGGAGAAGAAAACATTTACCAGTGCGCTGAAGAAGAATCGTGGAGGAAAGACCTCTGTTCTGCGTTCGCGTCTGAAGAAGAATTGTGGGGGAGGGGAAGAAGAAGTGGAAGGATTCTGCGTTCGCGTCGGTGAAGAAAATCGTGGGGGAGGGGAAGTTCGCGTCTGAACGAAATCGTGGGGGAGGGGGAGGGTTCTGCGTTCTGGGGGAGGGAAAGAAAGGAGGAAGGTAAATTTAATTATTATATTATTTTAATTAATTTAAATATTTATAAATTTGAATTATTTTTTATTAATTTGTTTATTTAATTTATAAGTTTAATTATTTTAGATTTAATTATTTAGAATAATTTGTTTAATTTATTGATAAATTTAGTTTAATTGTGTTGGATTGTATTTAATTTTTATTTAATCTATATAAATTGAGTTCATTAAAATTAATATTTTAGAATAACTTATAATCTTATTATTTAAAATTAATATTATTTTAGACAAAATTTGTATTAATTGTAAATTTATTGTAAAAAATTAATATTTTAACTATATTTTTTATATAAACAAATTAGTTATCTACTTAAATTTTTGTATAAGTTTGATTTATTAATAAACTAATATATAATTTGTCTATTTAATTAATGAATTACTATTTATAAATATTTTAACAATTGTATTATTCAATTACAGAGTTTGTGTAAAATGGCACCGCACAGAGATATTGGTTGGGATCATGCTACTCCTATCAGCAATGATAGAAAACAAGCAAAATGCAATTATTGTGGTAAAATTGTTCACGGCGGAATTACTAGGATGAAACAACATATAGCACATGTTACAGGTCAAGTTGAAGCATGCACGAGAGCTCCAAAAGAAATAAGAGAGTTATTAAAAAAACACTTGATCCAAGGAAAAAGTATGCGAGCAGCACATAAAAAAAAGTTAGAAGCATTGCAAAATTCCATTCGTTTGGAAGATGATTCTGATGAGGAAGAAGATGAAGTTTTTGAAATAAATGAAGATGAGATAGATGCTCTTGAAAGAAAACACTTAAAAAAAGCAATGGCTGAAAGCAGAAATATGGAATTTATGGAGCAGCAGCGTAGACATTCTGTTTCCGGAGATCTACCAAGCTTGAATTTTAAAGCCGGTATATTTATTAAATTTATAAAATATATTTAAATATTAGTATATTTTTTTTGAGATAACAACCATATATGATCATATGCTTTTTTTTTTTTTATCTTTGTAGGAGGAAGCAGCTCGAATACAAAAGGAAATAAAAGAAATTTTTTCGAAAGCTCTATGAAAAAGACAGAAGGTTTGCATCAAAAAAAACTTGATCCATACATGTTTCAATCGAAGAATAAGTCTTTGAAAAATATGTTTTCAAAAGATAATGCAAAAAAAGTGGGTAGAGCAATTTCGAAATTTTTTCATTTTAATGCAATACCATTTCACGCTGCCGATAGTGGTCCTTACTACCAAACGATGATTGACACGATTGCATCGGTTGGACCTGGAGTTAAAGGACCTACTGGTAAACAAATTGGTGGTGAATATTTAAACGAGGAGATGCAAGAAGTTGTACAGTATGTTGATTCTTTAAAGCAGAAATGGAAAACATACGGATGTACAATTATGTGTGATGGTTGGAGTACTCGTACAAAACATCCAATCATAAATTTTATGGTGTACTGTGATAGAGATATGATATATCACAGTTCGGTTGATTGTACAAATAAGGCTAAGACTGCGGACTTTGTCTACACCCTAATGGATAAGGTGGTGGAATCAGTAGGGGTTGACAATATTGTACAAATTGTAACTGATAGTGAAGCTAGTATGAAGGCGGCTGGGAAAAAACTGATGAGGAAAAGGAAGCACATTTTTTGGTCTCCATGCGCAGCGCATTGCATTGATTTGATGTTAGAAGACATCGGAGATATATTGTCAGTGAAAGATACGATAAAAGAAGCCAGAAGAATTACAGGATTTATATACAACAGTGATAAAGTGGTTAATTTGATGAAAACATATACGAATGGCCGAGATCTGTTGCGACCAGGCATAACAAGATTTGCAACCGAGTTTGTTGCAATGGAAAGTCTTCTGAGATATGCAACCGATTTGAAAAGAATGTGTACTTCTAGAGAATGGGTTGAGTACAATAATACCTCGAGGAGAAGACATGAAGCCGGAGATATATCAGACTTGATTTTGAATGAAAGATTTTGGAAACGGATACGCCGAGTCTGTGGGGTCATGGAACCCTTAGTGAAGGTTTTAAAAGTAGTTGATCAAGATAAAAAACCTACACTACCTATCATTTATGAGGCAATGGATAGGGCAAAAATGGCAATAAAAACCGCGGTGAAAGATTTTCAACAATATTGGGATATCATCGATGAAAGATGGTATAATCAATTGCATCAAGATTTGCATGCAGCAGGTAACTATTCTTGTTATTCTTTTGTTTTTATATTGTGCTAATCGTTTGTTTTATTTTTTAATTTTATATACATTTCATGCAGCTTATTTTTTAAATCCTGGTCTTCAATACTCCGGCACTTGTGAATTTGATTCATCGGAGGTTCGAAAATGAGTAAAAGAAGTTATCAAAAGACTCGAGCCAGATTTGGATATACAAGTAAAGGCTATGAATGAGGTAAATTATGTGAAATTTATAAATAATATATAAATATATATATATATTAATTTCTAATAATTTTACTATTATATTGTCTATAGATAAACATATTTGTTAACAAAATTGGAGAGTTTGGAAATGCACTTGCTATTAGAGCTGTATCTACATCTTTAACAGGTATGTATTATGAAATTTATCATTTAATTATATTTTTAAATATACTTGTTATAAAATGTCGCATTATTAATAATTTTTTATTTATTTTTAATAGCTGACTGGTGGAATATGTACGGTGATGAAGCTCCTAATTTAAGAAAAATTGCATTAAAAGTTTTGAGTTAAACTTGCACATCATCGGGTTGTGAGCGGAATTGGAGTACGTGGGCTTTGATCCATACTAAACTTCGGAATAGATTAGCTATTGAGAAACTGCATAAGCTAGTCTATGTCCACTACAACATGCGTCTTCGGGTAAAAAATTTTATGCAAAGGACAGACACAGACGATTTTTATGACCCAATTGATTTGAATCATATTTTTGATGAAAATGATATTTTAGATGAATGGGTTAGAGAAAATGAATCTCCACTTATTCGTGATAGTGATTTGAATTGGTTGGATGAGGCTATTGAAGAAAGTGGAGATCGAGGTCAAAGTGAGCATAATGATCATGACAGTGATATGCTTTTATCTCAATTTATAGCTGATGGAAAAAAGAAGGCGAAAGAGAAAAAATCAGAAAACAAAAATACGGCCAAGAAAAAAAAAAGCAATCATATTGGAATCTTCATCTTCATCGACTAATGGTGAAGATAAGAATAATAACAATGATGATGATGATGATGATGATGATGATGATGATGATGGTGGTGGTGGTGGTGGTGGTGGTGGTGGTGGTAGTGGGAGCTACAGGGATAGCCGATACTCAAGTGATATGGGATGGGCTCAAGGAAATGAAAATTATTATGCTACCCAAGACACTGATCATGGATATCGTCCTGGTATAGAAGCTCAAAGAGATTTTCTAAATAGTTTAACAGAATTTTCAAGTGAAGCCGATGCTTCAAATTTTTCAGATACTAGGAGATATTCTGGAGTTCACGAACATATGCAAGACTTGAATATAGGTTATTCCTATGGAGATTCTTCTCATAGCTCGAGTAATAGATTGGGGAGACAGGAGTGGGACCAACCAAATGCATATCATAATCCCTATTACTCAGGATACGGTTTATCTAATCTACCCAGACATCTTCAGGATTCAGCCAATCTTCCTATATTTGGATCCAACCAACCAGTTGGAACATATTACGGAGGGATTACATCTGGTTCGGGTAGTATTGATGATCGTAGACAAAATTATGGTTCATCAAGCAGAAGCAATGATAATAGAGAATATCGAGGTTTTGATGTATATGGAAGGGGTTCATTCAGAGAAAATCAATATGGTTCGAACATCTCTCCTTATCCAAGCAATATGAATCCAGATGAAAATGATTTTGAACCTCCACGACATTCCACATGGTATTGAATGGTAAGTATAAATATTTAGTATAAACGTAGTTTGAACATTTTATAAAATTTTATTTGTATTTTTTTTCTAATTATTTTTATTTATATAATGCAGATGATAAAGATGAAATCTTGACATTGACGGACACAAGGTACATCATTTTGTTATTAAAATAAATTTATTAGTATAATGACAATATGCAAAACATAAAATTTAGCATTTACATTTATATATATATCCGCTAATTTAGTTGAAATATTATTCATTTTAAATTTTGATCTATTATAAATTATAATATATTTTTTCAATAATATATATTTTTAAATTAATTATATTTATAATTTGATGTATTTTAATTAATTATTTATTATTTTTTTGAAAAAATATAAATTTTATATAAAAAAATCATATAGGCCGATATTTGACCGATACACCGCGACCGATACGCCGCGACGTATCTGGAACGGTAAAGGTCGATCCGCGACGCCGATCCGCGACGGCGAACCATGTTCATACCCGACCCATACCCTACCCATTGCCATCCCTACCCCAATGAATTGTGCCCTTTGCGTACCAACTATCACCTTCCGCCATGTATATTTTTAAAAACAAAAACATTAATAAAATCAATAATTTAAATAGCGGAAGGTGATTGGTTGGTACATGAAGAGCACAATTTATTGGAGGTATGTAACGGCTCAGTTTGAAGATTTATGGCTTCAAATGTAAAAAAGAAATCTCGATTACCTTCTTATCATTTCCTGTCAGTGATATGTTCGAAATCTTCTTCGATAGATTTTCTGGAGCTTTCTCCTCCTCCATAATTCCAATTGCATGCTCTATGCAACTATTGGATCGACAATCATTAGAAAGCATTTTCAATTCATTGATGGTGACCTGTCAGAGCAATAAAGTAGATGAGGACTTAGATTTGCATTAACACAATGGGACACATACAGAAGTGACTAAATTAAACATCCATTCATAGAATAAATATGAAAGAAGTTATGGATAGGTAAATATCAAAGTACGATCATATTGTAGTATATGGGATAAAGATTGATCGAGCAAGAGTGTTTCTTATTAACAGAAAACCCATCTCAATATCTATATTAAAACATCGGCATAAGTGTTAAAACTTACAACACCTCAAAAGTCTTAAATCATAGTATTCATTAAGATAATAGGTATATGTTAAGACAAAAAATTCAAATAAATATGGTAAACATTTCAAATAATCTTGCAATCCTAATGAAATCCTAACTTTGTAAATCTTCTAAACCATCGTAAGCAGCTAGGTGCCTCAGCGAACATATATAAAAAGGAAAAAGAGTAAATAAGGTATGACTGCCACCACACCACCAAAGCTATCAAAGATCGGCAAGCACCAAAAGAAGGAAGTGATGAAAATTTTTGAAGAAAAAGAAGCCTGTCACTGCAAACCTGATCGGCATTGCTCGCTCTATGAAGCTTCTCAAGAGAAGCATCTGCCAGAGAACAAGCATGGCGGAACAAAGCATAGGCTTCAGCTCTCTTTCCAGCAAAACTGTAGGATCTGGCTAAATAAAAGCACCTGTACCAATTGTTGCAGAGGCCCGGTATCAGAACAAATACACTCCGTAAACCTCGGGGAATGTTTGGTACCATGTTATGGTAAGCATACCGAAGAAATATAAGATAGTATATGGAAATGGAAAATCGAATGGAAAGTTCAAGGCTTTATTTGATATGCAGTAAAATAGGCTGTCACTTCTATTTACCATGCATCATTGAAAAATAATATAATTAAGTATCATCAGTTAATGCTACGGATAAATAAATTCGAGATTAGAAACATTTTCCTTTTTAAACCACGGAATAGTTGAAGGAATATCAAATCCCTTGGTTTAAGAAGGATTTGATGTTCCTTTATACCTGGGCTTAATGGAGTCCATGTCATTTCCATCCCATTTAAAAATCACATACCAAACATGGTTTAGGAAAATTCCTCTAGGTTTCCGTCTTTAAAATTGTATACCAAACATCCCATTAATGAATAGCAAATAGCTATGAACCAACAACTATGACGTTTTATAGAATAAAAGATAATAGGTTATCATAGCTTGTTGCATAGACAGTAGAATTTTAAAAAAACATTAGGTAAAAATCAAGTCAACATATATATGTTTTTAGAAAGGAAAAAGTAATATATATATATAATTATAAATATATAACAGTTCAAGAAATAATAGAAAGAAAATCAGGTAGGTAGAAAGCTGGTATAACTTATGTTGATGAAACGGGCATACCGACAATTTTCTCAATAAATGTTTGAAAGGTGAACAACACTATAATAATCAATTGGATTACGACCTTTACTACAAAAAGGTATGATAATAATCTTAAAGAAAAGCCTACATAAAATTTAGCTAGGATCAGCAGACAAATAGATTTCATTTCAATCAAAACAATATCAAGATCTGGTGGTCTCAGCAAATGAACAGCCAACAAAGACATGAAGATCTGACAAATGAATGAACTTGCAAACCTTTCTGCACGGAAAGCAGAACTTTTTAGTTCACATTCCTCAGCAAATGCCACTTCTTCAGGATTTTGATCTCTTCCAGAACTAACCAAATCAGAAAGATCACTTGTGTTCTACATAAAAAGAGTTTATGTCAGCATTATCTTTGCATTAGTATCTCAGCCAGTGGACTCACTAATACAGTAAAAAGCCAAAAAGAAACTAGGCCTATAAATATGACAATCAATACGATCATAAAATGGTGGGAACCAAACAGCCACTAACCTGTAGCAGGAGATCATATAATCTGACAAGCTCCTCAGGCTTTGTAACTTTTTCATTTTTGTCATTACGAATCTTATTGAGCTTACTTTTAGCGATGCTGACTAGCAACTGATTACGTTCAATGGTTCTCTTCCCTAAGACTGCACCGATAGCTTTGTCAAGACTGCTAAGGTCATCTTTCATGCTTTCTGAATTGCCAGCTGTAGCCTGCAACAAAATACACCAGATCATATTGCAACATATGAATATATTGCAAGTAAAAAAATGTTCGCTAACTAGTCACCGAATATATTACCTTCTTCCATTAATACCTCAAGCTCAATACACAGTTATAACCATAAAACAGCAGATAGAAATTTTCTTAATCTCTTCACAATTAAATGAACACATACCAAGTCATTTCGTATGTAGCTCCTAGCCTCATTGTAAGCAGCAAAAATTTTGTCAAATATGAGCAGTTTCTTCTCTGCAGGAAATGAATCCGCTGCTGGACCACTGATATCTTTCTCCAATTCCTGGGCTGATCAAAATTTAGCACGCACATATTGAGCTTGGGTATACAGAAGTTTCACTGAGATAGGAAATCAATGTTTAATTGGTCAATTGTACTTTAAGCCATGATAATCAGATTTTATACCTTTAAGTATGGACACCCGAGTCTTTGCATTTGAGATAGGAAATCTATGACCTAGCCAATGGAACTCAGTCATTGATGCAGCCTGCTGCGATCGAGCCTCTGACATGACAGCCTGCAATGAAGAGAAACCAAGATGTAACGAAAATGGTACACCCATAACCTAGCTTCAGGGAGCACCAACACATCTTACTTGGAAAACGAAGCATAGTGTTAATACTTAAGATGGACTTACCTCCAATTTCGCTTTGAACAGATCAAGAGCAGGCCCTTCCATTTCTCCTATGTGGACTAGTTCTGAAGCCTGTAGATTTGACTCCCCTATCTTATGCAGGCAATACCGTATACTTGGCTCAAGTTCCTCAACTCGCTCCCGGCACAGAACTTGGTTTTCTAGGTCACCATACTTCCCAAGCTCCTCATAAACAGCCCTAGCAAGTTAAGAATAATAGAGACAACAAATGATAAAACATTTTCCAGTAAGCTTAATTGGTCTTCATAATGAAGAATGTACTTTGCCAAAATTATAATATACCTAGCACTTTTGAAGCACTTCAATGCAACATCCCAGTGCTTATCTTGCTCAAATAACAAATAACCCTTCATATAAGAGGCGTATGCCTGCAAAATAAACATAACATGATTATGCAACCAAGATTGCATCGAAGTGGCACTTGTTGCTTTAGAAACATTCAGGGTTTTATTTAAAGATATTTGTGTGACAAGCTACTAAAAGGTAATAGCAAATTTTGGGGAACTCTAGCAGTTTTGGTTTCCAAATGTTATAAAAATAATTAAATAAGATATACGATAAAACGATGACACAATGCTCGAAAAAATATAGAAAGATGACAACAGAAGGATACAGCACTATAACATCATGCCATAGAGAGCTTACCGCAGTTGCGGCCACACTGCACAACTACTAGATATGTAACAATGGCATCGCATTAAAAATATGTATGGTAAGGGATAAATGATTGTTGTTAATAAAAGGTATTTATGAAAATCAGAATAAGATATCACAAATAGCCGCAGTGGCAGAAGATAACAAGCAAATAATACCTCTGCTTCCAGAGATGTTCTTGAATCACCCTTTACAGCGCACAACTCTTGGAAAAGGGAAGCCCATTTTACAGCTTTTCTCAGCCTGCAAATGAGGTAGTTCCGCTGACGGGCATTTGGACCATCAGGCAGTGTCTTCTTTTCCATTGCATGGCTCCAAGCTCTTTCAGCGGTATAAAGAACCAAATGGAGAAACCTAAACAAGATCAAGAATTCCAGATGCATTAACCCAGAAAGCAAGAATCAACATTCTGAACTATTTTAATTTGACAAAACAAATGCAGAAACTATAGTAACTATACTTCTAGTGAGCTAAATGTACCATGTACTGCAATATAAATGACAGGTGTCAATGGGGTAATAACGACTGGACTCAATCAAGATTTAGCAGGTGCAGAGAGTAGGTGTTGAGGTGAGGATTCAAAGGTACTAATTGGAATAAGCAAATAACATTTTCTTTTTGTGAATGAACGCGGAATAGTTTGATTTGTATATATTGAATGAATAGAGGCCTTCATTGAAATGGTAAGTTATATAGCAGTCCAGATGTAGCTGAAGAGAGAGACCAATATATTTCTTTGTAACAGCATTATTTGCAATCCTTATCGACACCCAAGAAGCATAATTGGTTGTATTTCAAATTTGCGTATAACTGAGTTCTACAGTACACAATGGTATATACAATCAATAATTTTGTATCAACTGAGCACTCAGTAGCAAAACTCACAAATTATAAAATCACTTCCATTGCTTAACTAATCAAACTACCATAAGAAGGTATCCGACACAGATCAGCATTTCTTTATCTGACGTCATTCGGTGATACAATGTAACTACCAATAACTCATCCAAACATTTGTTGGCTAGTCATGCGAATACACCTTCTGAAATGAATATCCAAACAAAGTCTATCCAGTGGACTATCACCCGAATCGTCTGATATAGAAAGCAATTAATCATAAATATTTTCTCCATCGATAGGTCTATCTATCCCCAAACTGTTGGAACCAATGAGCACTTAGAAATGCTTCCACACTGTAACCAACAAGAAGTTTCCACCACTCATCATAACAAATTTCAAACAAAAAAGAACAACAAGCATCTTTTATAATTGTTTAATAGGACAACGAGCATGACTTGATAGCCCTCAAAATTATATACAAGTTAAAAGAGCAGAACAATGTCAGAATCTTGCCACAGCAAAATAAGCAAAGTCACACTAATTGATAGCCACCATATATAAAGTTATACACAAGAACAACATCATCATGGCAGCAGCTACCTGACTTCAGTAACAGTGGATACAGTGATGGCTTTTTTAGTATACTTTCCACGTCCGTGAGTGAACTTCAGTGATTTGTACAGTCTTCTCAGCCGTGCAGTGCAATACCTCCTGAAAACTCAATTGACATAATCCCAAAATTGAAACCACATTATCATCAATATCAATATCTTAAAGAAATTACCCATTTCTCATGATCTTCCCATCTCAATAAGCTTCCCAGGTTACAATTATACACCAAAAATACTAAAGAAAACTAAAAGGATAGAACTCTTAGATTGAAATTTACTTATTAAACAATCCGTGGGAGATCCGAAAAAAGAAATGTAACACAGAGCGTAAGAAATTGATCGTACCGGTAGCGGGTGTAATCACCGAACCGCAGCCCGTGCTGCATTTGAGCTGATTTCAGAAGCTGCAAAACTGCAAATTCCGCCGCAAAATTTTAGAAAACCCTTCGATACGAAAACTACATACGACAGCACGCGCACAAAAACCCTACCGTTGATAGAGAATTTAGGGTTGCTGATCTGATCGAAGACGGTTGAATTCTGATCGTCGATTTCCATAGCAACGCCATCGTTTGCTTTCGCCATCGCAGAAGCGAGATAAATTAGAGATCCTAACAATCAACGGCTTCCGATTGGCTGTGGCATTGAAGTTTTCGGGACAATAACAAATTGGCTAGGAAATATCCCGGCCGGCGGTGCAATGCGTCGCGGCGGCGGATTCTGTATCGGGATTTCCGTCGTCTCCGTTCTGTCACTCCGTCTTACAGCGGTTTCTTCGGATTAGTTTTTAGGGTTTAAAAATAATATCCCCGTCCGTAGTGCTCATTTTTTCTTTTTATCGTCATAAAAAAATTATTATCGTTTTTGTATTTTTTTTATTATAAAAAAAAAAATTATTATTATTATTTATTTTTATTAAATTTTATATATGATCAAATGAGTATATATTTGTAAATATATTATTTATAGTATATCTTATTTGAGATATTTGTGGGATTATTATCTTTTTAGACGATTTGTATATTATTCTTATGATTGAAATAAAGAATTTCAATTTCATATTCTAACATGGTATTAGAGTTATATTTTATGCACGATCATATTGTTATTTTCACGTCGTATCCGTCTTTACTATTCCACTGACATAGTCTACTTTCAACTCTAACTCTATTGAGAGCGAGGAAGTCATGTTTCCGACTCTAGCTCTGTTGTGAGCATGCGAGTCCTGTTTTCGACTCTCGCTCTATAGAGTGAGCAAGTCCTGTTTTGGACTATAGTTCCGTTGTGAACAAGTGAGTCGTGTTTCCAACTTTACTGGTGTTGAGAGTTCTGCTTCTGATTTTGACCCAGTAGACAGCTACACCACTTTCAGTAAATCTTGGCGAATTCAAATCCGTATGTGGAAGATCTCGGCTATATCTTTTTCGGTCACTTCTGACAAATTCAAGTTTGTTCCATCATATCTTGAATTTGAGGAGAGGTGTTAAAATATATTTAGAAGCAATATATTATATTTATGGTAGTTATCTTATTTAAGATATTTGTAGGATTCTTATCTTATTTAGACGATTTGTATATCACTATAAATATGTACGTATTATTGCGATTGAAATAGAGAATTTCAATTTTATATATTCTAACAAATGGTTCGCCAGGTTATGGAAGCTTAATGTGCCGGAGAAGGTGAAGGTATTTCTCTAGCTTTTGGTGAAGAATGTTCTCCCAACTAATGATATTCGATTTTACATAGGGTTGGTTGATTTTACATAGGGTTGGTTGATTCCCATATGTGCTCCAGATGCAATTCGTGCATTGAGAGATGGCACCATGCTCTGCTTCAATGCACTTGCAACCATATCTATTGCCCAAATGCTTGGCTGCCGCGTACAATACCTCCTCCCCATATGTGCTATTTAACGAGCTGTTGGCACTCTGGATATGATTGAGTTTTACTGCGACATTATGGATCAATGATTTCCATATTTATTCTGATAGTATGGAGACTATTAGATTGCTTAAGTCTTCATATGAGCACCTACACCATCATCTGGTTTTAATTAAGGGTGTGCTTGTTTGGGGTTTGGATTTTGAGTTGGGATTTGAATAGTAAAAATTTTGAATTTGAATAGTTGTATGATGTGATATAAATAAGTGTTGATGTGATGTTTTGAATGTAAAATTGATTTTTAGTATAATACAAAAAATAAAAAATAGGTGTTTGATTTGATGTTTTTGGGGGAAAAAAATTTGATGAATAGTATAAATCCAATCCAAACCCCAAAACAAACACATACTAAGGGTGTGTTCGTTTAATGGATTTGGATTAAATTCCACTATTCATCCAAAAATTTTCCCCCAAAAATATCAAATCAAACACCTATTTTTCATTTTTTATATTATACTAAAAATCAATTTTACATTCAAACCATCACATCATCACCTATTTATATCACATCATACAACTATTCAAATTCAAAATTTTTACTATTCAAATCCCAACTCAAAATTCAAACCCCCAAACAAACACACCCTAAGAAAATTCAAAAACCGTTAGTTGAAGTTGTGGTATGCAGTCTTCAGCATGTGCTTAGGGAGTGGAACTTGATTGCGGACTGGCTAGCAGACCCTTGAAGATAGTGCTTTCAAAGTGTGGAACACTCTGCTGATAATGTGGAAACACAGATTTTTTAAAATATTTTTAAATATAAAAGTATTCAAAAGTCTTTTAAAATATTGAGTTATTCAACAATTTGTAGACTTTTAAAGTCTATGAATTTTATTGAATTTTGATAGAAAACTAACGAAAATTTTGTGTAGTAAAAAATCTCTCGAGTATAGATTTTGACGGATTTCTAAAATTAAAATTAAAATTATCATTATTACTATTATTATTATTGTTGTTGTTGTTATTATTATTATTGTATTCGTGATAAATAATATGATAATATTTACTAATATTATTATAATTTTTAATAAAAACAATAATATAAAAATAAAACATATTAACGAATCATTATCATTTTTTAAAATATATATTTTTATATTATAAATATAATATTAAAATATCATATTAAATATATATTATTGTTGTATTTTCTTTACAATTATCAATATGACAATATATCGGCAGAGGCAGAGGCGGAACTAGAATTCAATCGAAGGGGGCTAATTTTCTATTTTTTTTAATAAAAAAATTTATTTAATTTATACATATACAGTTATACATATCTTTTTATTTCCGGATACTTATATTTTAGACTTATTATATTTAAAATTTATACTTAATATGGTGTTAGTTTCAACTAATTCTCAGTTACCTTATTGTAATGATATACACAATATCTGATTGTTGTTGGAAATCTTTAAGAATGTCAATAAATAGCATAGCAGTATCAACTACATATTGCAAATATTTTTGTTTCTATTGTTTAAAATCGATCAAATAATACATTTTATCTTTAAAATAAATTTTCACTTTAAAAAAATATCATTAAGATTGTCTCACTCCCATAATTTAAAATTTGTTTGGTTTTATTTGAGATTAAATATTTTATTCAATAATATTTTAATATAATTTTAAAAAATATATATATATTTTTTATCGAGAATTGTATAAATAAAAAATTTATAACAATTTTGATTGAAAACTAAGCTTGATTTTGAGTATTTTTACTATTTCTATACTACGGGTGTGTTTGTTTGAGAGATTTGTGAAGATTTGTTCTATTCATTCCATTTTTTTCCCCCAAAACATCAAATCAAACACATATTTTTTATTTTTTATATTATACTAAAAATCAATTTTACATTCAAAACATCACATCAATACCTATTTATATCACATCATACAACTATTCAAATTCAAAATTTTTACTATTCAAATCCCAACTCAAAATCCACACCCCTAAACAAACATATACATATATATATTTTTTTAAAAAAAAAAAAACTGAATATATAATAGTAATAAGGAAAAAAAATAATTTTGGTTTAAATATAACTAAAATTTACCAATTTTGGTACCAATATAAAAAAACTTATTAATTTTAGTCAAATTTTGGTCACACCGTTAAAAAACTAATGAAAATTGCTAATGTGGACGTAACATAGTTGACGTGGAGCTGACTTGGAAACTACACGACCGTGTACAATTATACACCATCATGTTGTCACACGACCATGTATATTTCTGTGTACAATTATACATGGTCATCTTGTTACACGATCATGTATAAATTCTACACGGCCATGTAAATTACTTTTTGGTATAATTTTTTTATATATATTTTTTTAATAATATTTTGAATTTAAAAAAAGTTGAATAGTTAGAATAAAAAAATCAATAGTAATCATAATATAATTCAAATGTATCAATTTTACTTCAAATATAAAAATTTATAGGATATATTATTTTGAAATATTTTGCCTAAAATTCTACTATTCATTCAAATTTTTTCTCTTACAAACATCTAATTACACAACTATTTTTTATTTTTTTTATATTATATTAAAAATTTATTTTACGTTTGAATACAATTTCAACGTAGACATATATCAAATATAAAATTCATTTTTAATACTCATAATATAAAAAAAGTAAAAAATAATTGTATAATTGGGTGAAATTTTTTTATGAATCTTTAAAAAAAACATTCATACAATTTTTATATTTGAATTAAAATTGATACATTTTAATTGTATTAGAATTACTATTTACTTTTTTCATTTTAACTATACCAACTTTTCTAAATCAAAATATTTTTTTTAAAAATATTAAAAAAATAAAATTTTATACAAAATTAGAAAGTTACACGGCCGTGCAGAGTTATACATGACCGTGTAACAACATGACCATATATAATTGTACACTGAAATATACATGGTCGTGTGAAAACATGTGTACATTGCCGTGTAGTTTCCCGGTCAGTTGGCACGTCAACTTCGTTACATCAACGTCAGCAATTTCCATTAATTTTTTAATGGTTGGACCAAAATTAATTGAAATTGTTTATAATATGACAAAAATTAATTGAAATTGTTTATAATAAGACGAAAATTGATGAATTTTTATATTGCTACCAAAATTGATAATTTTAATTATATTGAAATCAAAATTGATAAATTTTAATTACATTGATACTACAATTGATATGGGTGAAAATAGAATAGATATTTATATATTTTTTCGTTGAATTATTTATTTATATTTATTTACTTATTTATTCTAATATTATTTTCAAAATTCGTAAATCATGTCTTTTATTTTATTTATATACATATTTACTTCTTTTTTTTTTTTTATGTAAAACAACTTATATAAATAATAATAATAACTAATAAAAAATATTAAAATAATTTGATATATTCATTGGTATTTGGTAATATAACTCTAAAAATAATAAAATTAAAAATATTAATATACAATATAATGATTTTTTTGTTCGAAATATACAATATAATGTTATATATGTTATAATATTTTTACATTATTAATAATTATACATGAGTATTATTTGTTAATTAATTTTATTTTATAAAAATAAAATAATATATAATAACTTTAATTATAAATATATTATAATTATAAAATTTGTATTTGATATAAATTTATATAATTATATATTAATAAAAGTTAAAATCGATAAAGTACGCTACTCTGTCCCACATAACATATGATTGCTTGTTTTATATGAAAATTTCAAAGGTTGTTATTCTTTAATTATATGAAATCCATAAAGAATTCAATAAGATATGTAAAAATACATCTAAATCAATTATTAAAATTCATCAAACTCATATACTCTGTGATTTTCTAAATCCATATAAATCATATAACTTTTTAAAATAAAAAAAAATCAATTGAAATTTTAATTAAATACACTTTTAAATCCACATAAATCATAAACTTTTTAAAATTTTTTAAAAAATATTGAAATCTCAATTGAATACACTCCTAATTTTAATATAATATAATAAATAACAAAATAGATATTTTATTTGATATTTTTCGAAAAAAAAGCTAAAATACTAAAATAAAAAAATCAAAAAAATCAAATCCCACGCCTTTATTTTGAATACACCCGTTTAATTTTAGTGTAATACAATAAAAAAAAAATATATATTTGATTTGATATTTTTTTTAAAAAAAATTAGAATAATAAAATTGAAAATCGGATCTCTCGCAAGTAAATACACCCTCATTTTGATCCAATAAACTATTTCAAAAAATTAATTAATCAAATATCTAAATTGAGTGTTTAATTACTTGAACAATTAAAAATTATTCAATTTTTTTAAAAAACTTTTACAAAATATTATTTGCAAAAAACATTCTACAAAATTCTAGTCCCCTAAAAATGACCTGTTATTGTGGGTGAACATGTGACCGTCCAATGCTTTTAGCCGTTCACACACGATTAGACTAATATGATTTATTTTGTGGAACTTAATAAATAAAATCCATAATATATGACGTAAGAATCTCCTAATACGATGGTTTAATACACCAACATGGGTTTTATAAGAAACTAACAATGGTGGCAGCAGGATTTGAAATGTGGGCGGCAATTACGTTTTCTGCCAGGGAGGGAAACCGAAGAAGAACAACATTTGGGAATGGCGGGCGCCAGGGTTTTCTGTCCAACTAGGGCCCATCCCACCACGATTCCATAAACCCTAAAATCATCGCAAAATCATCCAAGAAACACACCCCCAAAACCATTAATCCTCGAATCTGCGGAATACGGCACGGATACTTTTAACAGGGGAGATGAGTGGGTATTCACTGCTGAAGAAGCCCAAAATCGAAGTAATAGAAGATTCGGAGGAAGATCCGGAGGAGGATCCGGAGGAAGGATCGGCGGAGGACGAGACGGAAGAAGCAGACGGATATAGAAACGCGGAGGAGCAGAGGCGGAAGGAGGAGGAGTTGGTGCTACAGGCGCTCATCGAGCATCGGAGGAAAGAGGTTGAGCATCTACGGCAGCGTATTGCTTACTACGAATCTGAGGTACCTTGTTCCGCCATTGATTTACCCCTTTTTTGAAGCTTCGTTGTGATCACTCTATTCTGGGGAGTTACTGTAAACATTTCCTGCAATTAGGGATTTAAGTGTTTATGGCTGAGATCAAATTTGCCAAGAAATGCCCTCGGCGTGTTTCTTCGAGGGTTTGGATTTTTGAAAAGTATAATTTTGAATTTGAATAGTTATTCAATCCGATGTAAACATGTGTTAGATTTTATATTTTATATTTTAAATGTAAAATTTATTTTTAAGTACAATACTATAAAAAATGAAAATTAGTTTTTGATTAGATGTTTCTTGAGTGGAAAATTAATTGAATAGTGAAAATCTTGAAAAATGGACAAAAGAACATTGTTCTTTGAAAGGTTATCTGATGTAATTTTGTAATGGTGCTTTCATTGCTGGATTTGTGTAGGTGCATTTGTAAACGGTTTGTGTTTTGAGACTGATATTCGAGGGCTGAAACTTGATGGAGATGGATAGGGAAGCACATGTTTTACTTTTAATTAATGTTATTTTCTGTCGTGTTGAATCAAATCCATAAATGATGATTAGGGTTTATAATCATATATAGATGTTTTTCTTGTATTTGTTCATCTCACAGCATGTAAACTAAGTGGCATCTTGTATTTGTTCATCTCACAGCATGTAAACTAAGTGGCATACTTTTGTTTGATCTTTGATAAGCAGATAGCACTATCCAGTTGCTTGCATCGATCACATTTTTTGTACATGTAATGTTGTTTTAACGGCTCAAGTAATAAACTAACAGCATGTTATTTGATTGATTAAATAAACATGCTCTATGTGTTATTATAATGGACGTATATTGTGTGTTTCTTTGCCAAAAGTTTTGTAATTTTTACTGTTTGGACTATGCGGGCTTGTTTTGTTTTGGTTTGAGATTGGAGTTATGATTTTGGGTTTTGTTTAAATAGTAATATTATGTGATGTTTTGTTAGATTAAATAATGTATTTTTTATTTCGAACGGTGCATAATGGTGTTTCTTTTGGTTTCACACAACATTAGATCAAATATAATTTAAATACAAAACACAAACCAAATCTTTCAAATCCAAACTTAAAGAAACACACCTATAGTGTTTAGAAATTCTCTGCAAATAGGAAATATTTTAGGGTGTGGTTGTTTGGGGTTTGGATTTTGAGTGGGATTTGAATAGTAAAAATTTTGAATTTGAATAGTTGTATAATGTGATATAAGATGTGATGTTTTGAATGTAAAAATAATATTTAGTATAATATAAAAAATGTAAAAATAAAAAATGATGGTGTAGTATTTGATTTGATGTTTTTGGGGAAAAAAATTAATGAATAGTAGAAATTAGTCAAAGTATGTCAAACGTACACACCCTTTAGATGATCCCATAGGTACTACTTGTCGTGCAATTTTTATTTATTGTTGGATGATGAACCCTCGGTTAATGTTTATGTTGGTGTTGCAATGCAGCTTGATGAAGCAGAGAAGAGGTTGGAAGATACCCAAAACAAATTGGCTTGTCTTCGAGAATGCAATGGTAAAAATGCTTCACCGAATTTTACAAATAGGAAAGAAACAGCCAATGTCAAAAGATCTGCATGTCCTATCCAGACAATTGAAACTTCTGAGAAACGGCATCTACCTCCATCGTCGCAGCAGCATCACAACACCACAATGTCCTCTGCTTCTCAAAACCAAACACCTTCTCGACCACAACTCATTATTCCTTCATTTCAGAACATTCCCCAACTTATAAAGAAAAAAGAATCCGGAAGTGTAGTTTCTACTTCTGCCCAACAGTCCACGCCATCAACGCCTCTTGTTGATGTGAAAGCTGAAAAAGATTGTAGCATATCTTTGGGGAAGGAAAACATGGATGCTGAAACAAAAGGAACAAAAAGAAAAATTGGTTTGACTCTACTCTTTTTAAGGGCTTTCTCTGTGGTTTTGTGTTCTTTTTATGTTTATTCTACTCATCTTGCTTGTTGATTGTTGGCGTAGGTTGGCTCTGTACTTTTCATGACACGTTTTCCACTTTTTGATTACAGATCAGGTAGAGAATAAAGATTTGATTAAGTTAATAAGCAAAAGCTCGTCTCCGGTTACCATTAGCTGTCAGACTGGATGTATTTTGCCTAGCCAACACAAAAGAAAGCCCAGAAGTCTAGTTTTGTGTCCCACTAATGACCAGTTATTTGCGACCAGGTAATTTGTTCCTCCGTATTTCCAAAAAAAAAAAAAATGATTAAAAGTTGTGCATGCTTGGATACCCTTCATAATTTTGACATGGTCCTTGAGAAGTATAGAGAAAAGATGAACAAATGTCGGATGTTCTTTATTCTAATCGCTTTATTTTTGTTTAATGGTGGGTATTTCTTTAAATACTCTATTCTGTTTGTAATTTGTCTTAATTTGTTTAATGGTGGATATTCATTTCAAATTTCATGATGATAAATTTATCCCACCCCTTCAACGACTCTTAAAACCCACGACTTCTACATCTTATTTAGAGGACTTGAGCCTGTATTATTGTTATATATATGTATGTGTGTGTGTGTATATATATATAGTGAAAAGAATGTAAGTTGATCTTATGTCGAACCTCTTGTGGTGATAACTCTTTCATATGTGAATTTTTTGCCAGTGCATTAGATGGAGCTGTCAATCTGTGGCAACTTGAGGGAAAAGGGTAAGTGTCTTATGTTGAATCTCTAGTTTTTTTAACATTCTTTTGATTAGCAACGTTCGATTTTGTATATATACCGAGCTGTATCTCTTCTCTTCAATTTAAATATGTTTTTATTTATTTTTAATTTAGTTCAATTAAGTATGGTTAATTCTTTGACTTGGGATTTTTCTTTTGCCCTCATTACATTAAAGAGCAGATCTAGTGCCAATCTATTAAGTTCTACTGATTGTCCGTCTGGCAAACAGAGATGGCCTGAAGATATTGCATGGCATCCGCTCGGAAAGAAACTTTTTTCCGTTTATTGTGCAGATAACGGGGATTGTCAAGTCTCAATCTTGAATATGAACAAGGGTAAACAGGTAATCACTAATATATTATCTATCCATAATCTTTCCATATTTCTGAGTCTTGAGGGAGCAATCAAAGGGATGCAAAAATATTTATGAAATCTTAAAGGTGTATTTGTTTGGAGGTTTTGATTTTGGTTTGGAATTTGAATAGTAAAAATCTTGAATTTGAATAATTGTATGATGTGATATAAATAGGTATTGATGTGATGTTTTGAATATAAAATTGATTTTTAGTATAATATAGAAAAAAAATAATTGTTTAATGTGATGTTTTTGCGGAAATTTTTTTAGTGAATAGTAGAAATTGTGTAAAGTTTGATAAAAGAACACATCCTAAATGGAAATGGAAATGAAAATGGGATCCGATTCCTGTTCCTTCAGAATTGCTAGACAATCTTAATTCTTACATTTTTAAGTTTTAATTTTAGAATTCAACTAAACACGCCTATTTTCTACACATTTCAAATTTGTAATCTCAATTTGTAATATGCAGAAACCGAAGCTGAGCTTTCTCAAAGAAAAGCCTCACATTAAAGGCATCATCAACGGTATAATGTTTATGCCGTGGGATAAAAATCCCTTTGTCACTGGAGGAAGTGATCACGCAGTATTCCTTTGGTCCGACAAAGATGGCAAAGACTTGTGGAAACCAACGCTATTGCACAATGATTATCATACCTCAGCCGTAATGGGCGTTGCTGGATTGCTCCATAAGGACGTTGTAATGTCTGCCGGTGCAGACAAGCGTATTGTTGGGTTTGATGTAGCAGCAGAAAGACCCGATTACCGGCATCAAACAGACAGCAAATGCATGAACGTTCTACCCAATCCGTGCGACAACAACCTCTTCATGGTTCAGACAGCGTAAGTTCCCTCCACTGCATGTTCCTACGTAATTAATATTAGTAAGAATCCATTAAAATCTAATTCTATGGTTTCCATTATATTGCAATGACGGGTTTTATTTTGGTAGAAAATTATATAATATGTAATTAATGATGCATTTTCTTACTAGTTTAAATTTTTAGGTGAAATGGTTAATTAATATGGTATCAAATAAAAAATTGCCCATATGTAAGGTTCGATTGGCGTAATTCCACCTTACACATAAGGGGGTGTATTGGAAGCTATATAATAAGTAATTAACGATGTATTGTTCTACTATAAGCTTTTAGGTAAAATTATTATTTATTACGCTCAATGGTTTCATATTGTGCTCAATTTTACTTTGTAGCGACCAATGGCTTCATTTACATATAGGCATTTTACTTTGTAGCGTCAATGGCTTCATTTACATATAGGCTTTTTGAGTTCGGAGTTTTTTAGGAATAGTAAAAGGTTGAGTATTTTATGTGGTATTTTGTGCGATGAAATATTTATTTAATATGATTTTTTTTAAAAAAATTATTGTTGATAAATAATGCCAAAAATTTCGAAAGTGTCTGTAAACAGTATTTTGAAAGTAAATTTGGCTAGAATGGTCTTGCCTATACCGTACTTTTAGGTGCTGCTAGGGCCATATCCACAGCTGCCCCTAGCTCCCAAATATAGATATTTTTTAGTGTAAGAAATAATAAAATTATGTATTTTGTATTATTTTGCCCTTTTTGTCTTCCAATTTTTTATTTTATAGTGTAAAAAATAATGCTAACTCTGTCCGGCTACGAAGTAAACATTTACTTTTTATGTGGAATTTAAGAAATAATAGTATTTTAATTGTATTGGGTAGTTAAAAGTAGTGTAATGATATTTTTGTTTTTGTTTTTTGATGTGATGTAAAGCAAGGGTATTTGTAAAAAAAAAGTTAGATATTTAATGAAATTGTTACTTTGTAATTAGACAATTCAAAATAGAAATACTTATACTTTCAGGCTGGATGGAGTGAGTAAAATTTTTGTAGTTTTGTTGGTTTATACTTTTAGGTTTTGTTTGTTGAGTAAAATATATTAGATTTTATGTAATTTTGTTAATTTTTCTCTAAATATTTAATTTTTATTCATTTTTTTTTTTTCTTTTTGTTTACTCGGTTGCACCTGGAGAAATAAGAAAAGACAAATTTGAATCGAAAAAAGATAAACTAATATTTTGCCCCTCCAAAGTTTTACGACTAGTTCTGTCACTTGTGCTGCTAATATAATCGTGCAAAAAATTGCAGGACACACGAGCGACAACTTAGATTGTTCGATTCAAGATTGAGGCAATCGGAGGTTCATGCACTCGGATGGAAGCAAGAGAGCAGCGAATCTCAGTCTGCCCTGATAAACCAGTCATGGTCTCCAAACGGCCTGTACATAACCTCCGGCTCGGCTGACCCTGTCATTCACATATTCGACATTAGATACAACGCGCGCAAGCCATCCCAGACGATCAGAGCGCACCAGAGGCGAGTCTTCAAAGCTGCATGGCACTGTACACTCCCTCTGCTCGTCTCCATTTCTTCAGACCTTAATATTGGTTTGCACAAAATCACCTAACGGCCCCCGGAAACAGGTATTTGGTCGACATCATTCTCCCTATGGAAAAGTTTTGCCTTGATGGGAAAATGTAGCTGTTGATTCGTTGTTGTATATTGCTCGATGATCAACTGGTTTATTATCTGATAATGGATCTTGACTCTGCAGGCACATTTTTGCATCGGATTTTCGACTGTGGTGCAACGAATGGTTCTCTATTGTTCCGGAAAGTTCTAGCAGCCTCTTGTGATTTGGGACACTTTGTGAGTTCAGTTTCTTTGATGATCTTTTCTTGCACAGTTTTGATTATGCTTAATGGTGACAAGTGCAAGAAGTTACAACTTTTTTGTTCAAAATTACTTGAAGTCCGATCGGGTATTTAAGGTAAATGTATTTCAAATAACTATTATACTATAAAAAATTTGCAATGCCATAAGGTCTGTCTTTTTATTATTTAAAATTTAAATTAATATTATTTTTAATAAAAATATACTTTTTTTTTTTACAAAATATTATATAAAAAGTGCTCTTTTTGTCCTACGTTTACTTTTCATTCTATTTGTATAATTTTTATTTTTTTTATTATAAATGTAGCTTTTTTGTGTTAATTTTTAATATTAATTATTATATTTAAAAAAATCTAACTTGTTTAAAAAAATAATATTTATAAATTGAATATAACAAAAAATGGAAGGTTGCTAAAAGTTGGAAATGATTTATTTAATTAATATTTAATTTATGATTTAATATATATGATTAATTTTTTTAAAAATATATGCTTAATTATCTTAATAATTATAGTTTAATAAAAAAAATATATAATATGAATATTATTTTTAAAAAAATAAAATTTTATATAATACAAATAAATAAAAATATATAAATATTTAGTTATGATTAATTATAAATTAATTTTACAAATAAAGGTAGAATTTTGAATTTATATATATTTGTTTATTAAAGAAATAGATAAAAATATAAAAAATTTAATGAATTTTGAATAGACCTCGTATCATGTAGTATTTTTTTTAGCATAGTTTTTGCCCGAACCAGAATGCCAACCAAACAAGCTTTAAGCATTTTCCTTTTAATGATTTGAAAATCAGCTGTTGCAACTCTTAGAATGACTTTCGGGTAAATTTCCACTCGAATCTAATAACTTGCAAATTAGGTTCGACAAGATAAATTACATTAGGTTAATTATGGGTGACAACTAAGGGTATTTTATTTTTTTATGACGTAAAAATCCGCAACTGTTACCAGAAAGTGAGCACTGGTAAACATCCTATTGAACTTAATACTCTACAAACTATTGAACTCATAATCTAAATCCACCCTCACACCACTAATCCATTCTGTGAAAGAAAAAATATATACATTTTTTAAAAAAAAAAAAAATCAGATAGTAAAATTTGAAAAAATATTGTTAAAGAAAAATTGTTGTTTTAAATTTATTAATTTTTTTTTTACAAACAAATACATCCTAAAGCTTTGTTCCGCACAAACATTTTTTTTATCGACATAATTTCTAACATATACTCACTATTCATCTATTTTGGATTATTTAGGTTGTCCAATTATAAAATAGATATTTCAAATATATATACATTAAAAAGTAAAAATAAAATTAGTTTTACATTATTTTAACTATTTATACGATTAAAATAATATTATTTATTAAAGTCTGCAATATCCATACAATTAAAATATAATTACTTTTTAAATCTGCAGTAAAAGTAAATATATATTTTCAAATTGGAAATAGTATAATACTATATTCTATTTTCTCACCTATAAAGTTTGTTTGCTCACAATTTTTTTACACAATTTTTAATATATATTTTATCATCTCACGCAAAAGTAAATATTCAACATAAATATTACTCCATTCGTCATAATTTAAAGTATTGTTTTTATTATTTCTGTTCGTCCACTCAAAAATACTAATTTTCTATTTTAGAAAATATAATTATGCATTAATACTAAAATGTTATTTAGCTTTTACTTAAATTATATATATCATTATCTACACAATTACTAAATAACAATGTCAAAACCTTACATATTTCAACTAATCAATAAAATATTATTATTGTCCCATATGATCCGGTAGTGTGGAGTAGATTCATGACCATGAGATTATGAGTTCAAATCCCGACGTCTTCGGCTCCACCTGCCACTCATGGTTCGCTTAGTGGTGATTTGCCTAGTCGATTGGCAGTGTATTAGATTCGGCCAAAAATAATAATAATAATAATTATTATTATTTTTTATTTTACTACAAAACCACAAAGTATCTTTTTTCAATCAAGACAGATGAATTATATTAATACAAATATTCAAAATAATCCAAATTGATAGTATTTAAAAAATATACATTTTATATTAGTATTATGATCCTCTTACTTCGTATAAAAAATATTTTATATCAAAATATTGGTGTGTTTGATTAGGACATTTTGGTTAGAATTATACTATTTACTACTTTTTTTTATAAATAATTTAATTAAATATTTATATTATATTAAAAATTAATTATATTTAAAACACAATATCAATATCTATTTATTTTGTATCATTTAACTATTTAAATTCAATATTTTTATTATTAAAATTTAATTTCAAAATTTAAATTTTCAATCAAATACACATATATTATTTTATATTTTGACAAAAGTCACTTCTTTAACATAAAATATTATACTCCCTCCGTCCCATGTACTATGTCCACGTTGTCGTTTCTGTGCGTTCCTTATCTCATGTCACTTTGTTTTTTAAAAAATTATTACGTACTTTAATCTCATTTTAAATTTTTTAATTTTTTTTAAATTTTAATTAAATTAATTAATTATCTTAATCTTAATTTATAATTATTTATATTATCATATAATTATTTTTACTACAACATTCTTAATTATCTATTCATTATAACACGTTACGTGTGAGGGAGGGAGTATATTCTTTTAAAAAATTTTAAAAAATACACGGTACAAACAAAAACAACAATTTATGTAATTATATATATATATATGTGTATGTTTGAGCGCCGTAATTTTGGTACTCTCGTATATAACCCATTTTTTAAGTTTAGAATTCGTATTTACGTTTTGCGGTCGCTGCAAAGAGGTATGGGCTCACCCTCTACGTGTAATCCTCCGACTAGGGTTTATGGGAATCGTCGGAATTCTGTGATTATATGTGTTCGTTTCTTTATTTCAATTGTTACCGATTGCTTGTTTTCTTGCATTTAGGGTTTTTGATTTCTGGATGAACACAAGTATTCTTTATTTTTTGCAATAGCCGGATGAATCACTAATTTACCAGTTTTGGCTTGTTCTTTAGTAGAATGCGGATGATTTTAACTATTTGTTGATGTGTAAATGGTGATTATTGTGACCTTTGAATTCTTTTAGTTTCGGAAATGGAATTGGTTCATTTGTGTATAATTCCTTCTGTTATCGTAAGAAATCTTAAGGTATATTAATGTTGTTTTCAGTTGGCTTTCTAACTTTCAAGAGTTAGTGAAGTTTACTTGGTTCATGTATTTCGAGTTTTAGAGTTGTACATTTGTAAGCATCATTAATGTTGAAAAAACAACTATTTAAATATTAGAGAAAATGAATCAATAATGATTGTTACAATTCAAATACTCGATATACATATCCAAGTAAACTTTCACTAATTCTTGAACTATCATTGTCGACTTTGTTACTTAAGGTATACTCTAATGTTTTTCTTAGTTGGCCTTCTAAATTTCAAGAATTAGTGTAAGTTTACTTGGTTCAAGTATTTGAAATAGAACCATAATTATTGATTCTTTTTTTTTTTTTTTTGTTATTTAAACAGTTAATTTGGCAATTAACAAATGTGGTGCTTGTTCATCTGCTGTACGTGCACTGAAAATGCGTCTGGTTGAGGTGAATTGAAATGTCTTTCCTATGCTTGTCGTGTTTTCTCTGTCTGAAATCAACTTCAAAAAGGGCTCGTTAAAGCTCAAGTGTGGATTCATAGCTGTAAATTGAATTTAAGTTAATGAATGTGACTTAGGGTGCTGATTTTCAACTTCTATTATGTTCAAACTCAATCCATGTGTGTTTGAACCTGATTCGATGTAGCTTGTGTTCAATTTGGTTGCTTGGATAGAGTAAGTATATTAACAACCCCAAGCTGTTCTACCAAGAGGCTCCATGCATTTATACTTATCCCGTGTCCCCAAGGAATAAAAAGCATGGGAACGAGTTAGTTTTGATGCATTTAACACACAGTCACACACAAACATTATACATATATATTTGTTATAAATAATACTTGTGGATATGTTTGTGATTTTTCAAACTTTATATGAAGCTTAAGTGTTGTTTCTGTGTTATTGGTAATCACAGTTCTTTATTTTATGGTCATAAGTTTGACCGCTTATTTGCTGTCATATGTTATAAATATTGAACTTAGGAATTTTTGTACCATTGATGGTGTGGAAGGGTCATATTATTGTCGTAGTCCTTTGGTTTTTGTAAAGTTGCTGGCGCTGCATATTGCATTTGTGCCATTCTTAGCATGTAAAATGTTTTTATGATAGGCCGATGTTAATTTTCCATCTAAGTAGCGACTATGGTTTTCCAGTCTAGCAGTTACACATGGTCAAGGATAAAAACAAGAAACAGAAAAAAAAGCGAAAAAACCAAGGAATAAAGACTGGACGTTCAATTGAAAAAATGAAAAAGGTGGAGACTTCTGAGACCAATCCACCAGAAGCTACGGTTCCTGATCCGTCAGCATCACAGGGTAAAAATGATGGAGATGAGATATTGAAGGGTCTTTCTGGTTTTATATTCATGTGTAATTCATCCACAAAGTTGGAATGTTACCGGTATCGTGTCTTTGGACTTCCTTACGGACAGAAGGAAGTTGTGGCGAAGATAAAGCCTGGTGCAAAGCTATTTTTGTATGACTTCGAGTTGAAGCTCCTATATGGTGTGTATGAGGCAACCTCTGCTGGACAGCTGAATTTGGAACCTGCTGCTTTTAGAGGGCGATTTCCGGCTCAGGTACAGCGTGACACTATTCTGTACTCATCTAAATAAATTGTAGCAGATTTAGCGAATCACTCAAAAGCACAATAGGATGGATAATCATTTGACATTACCTTTTTATATTCTTTATGAAATCGGAGGTTAATATATTGTCTTTCAGCTTGCACAGTTTCATCATCTATCATTTTAGGATTTTACTTTTATGAAATGTTAATATCTTGTTTTAATTTGGTTGAAATTTTTTATTCTACTGTTCAATGTACAACCACCAAATCAAGAATGAAGTACAACACTTAAATTTAGTGGAACACAGTGAAACAAACAACCTATAGAAAATGATGATTGGTTAGATGGTTTTGCTAGATTGATTCTTCAAATTGTATTTATAATTATTTAACAATTTGCATTTTAGTAATTTAATTGGATTGAAAAGTTGAAGAGTTTGTTATATTCTAGTTGACCTATATAATAAATTCCATTGTAGTTAACTCTTAGTCTCTTACGAATTGAGTTGCGATCCTACGATATGATCCCCAACTTCTGTGTTTACCATGAAGCGAGAATTTGACAACCTTTTTCATATGTGATGTTCATATGAAACTACCAAAAGAATCCTTACAAAATATTTGTGTTATGAAATTTCATTGACTAGGAAGGCTGTTTCGCATATTATAGATATTTTGATTTAATAATTATCAGGTTTAATGGAATATTTTAGAAGTTTCTGGGTAATCGTATGTGAGGTTTAGTTAACATATTAATTAATTTTGATCCTTTACTCATCAGGTCTTTAACATATTATTTCCTTGTGGGATATAATGCTTTTGATCGACATGAATTTTGTTTGACCTACAGAAGAATTCATAGTGTTGCTCTGACTAAAATTGTTTTTCGAACTGTATTTTGTTGTAGTGGAGATGCTGACAATCCCGTGATCTCTTTAATTGATGGCTCGGGTATTTGTCCTTGTGATTTAGAGCTGATACCTTTTCAATTACAGGTGAACTTCAAAATTTTTAAGGAATGCTTTCCCTTGCCAGAGACTATTCTCAGATTTGCTATAAGGGAGAATTATAAAGGCTCGAAATTCAAGCAAGAGTTGAGTGAAGAGCTAGTAAGTATTTCTTTATCTTAACTCACTGTAATGTATCTTGCGCCGGAGAATTCCATTTTCTCTCAATTTTCATGGTGATAATGAAGAAAGTCATTGCTCAAAGCAGGTGAAAACACTGATATCAAAGTTTCATCCTCTTAATGAACCATTACCACCTCATTCTCTGGAATATGCGTCACTTTCGCTTGCGCACCCATTAGCAGGAGAATCTCAGTTCACACATTCATCGACGCTGTCATCTATGGAGCCTCAGCCTTCGTATCCATCAGGGATGCATCGTATCCTGATTCCAGCATTTCCAGAGCATCAACCTGTTTCAAATGTTATGTTGCAGCATGGGTATCATCATCGACCAGTATCTTATGGTGGTCATGGGAATTTTTCTTTGGATGGTCAAAGTTTACCTTCAACAAGTGTTCCCTATGGGATGCAAGATCCGAGGTTTCTCCTCTTTAACCCCTTTAACTTGCTTTCGTTCTTGAGAAAAGGTTTAAATATAGTTAGTACTAAAAGTTAAACCGACATCGTCTTGATATTTCTTAAATAATGGTTTTCAATTTAGAAGTACAATCCCGGTGATATAGTTCCTGGGTACTTTCATTTAGATAGAAGTTTTAAAGTTTACAAAAAAATTCGTAAATAGTAAAAATTGGGGTATTTTATGTGATGTTTTTTGAAAAAATTACTTATGATGAATAACGTCAAAAGTTGCAAATGTGATTATATAAATAGAGTTCAAATGATATTTTTGATCTGGGAAAATCATTTCATGATAGATTGCGGAGTTTGAAAATTGGATGAGAACTTTAGCCAATCTTTATTAGTTATTTAGAAATTTGGCATGTGTTTTTGCTGTTACTTTTAGATTGATGTTAAATAACATGATTGAAACTCAAATCACTAAATGTATACCAATGCGTCCGAACGCACAAAAACTCGTTATTTCTCATCAATCTAATCTACACAACTTTTGTAGGTCACGAGTTTTAGGAGAGCGAGCTCCTCCCATGGATGCCCCAAGTTTACGGTATCTCCCTATCTCCCAACTTTCAGATAACAACACACATTGCAGCCGATTCTGAAATAATACGAATTTGACAGGTACCCGATGAATCCATCTCATTATGGTACATCTGTTATGCCGCCCCCACCCCCGCACCCACACCTCCTTTCGCCCCGGCTACATCCCCACACACCATACCCCCCTTTTCATCAGCTACACCCTCCCCGGCAGCCAGAAAATGTGCCACCGTACATTCCCCAGCTGGTAAGTTCAACCCAATATGCTTCATTACTTTCTCAACCACAATCTTTGCAGATTATATTCAGTTGAGATATTTTAGATATTCGGTTTAGATTTATATTTAGATTTGGATTTGGATTATATTACTTAGATTTGAGTCTGTATATTTTGATGATTAATAAAACAATCTCATTGTTTTCTCCCAAAATTTCTAACATATTCCATAATTTGTTTCCTCAGATACAACAACCACTATATGGAACCAATGCGGCCGCGTACAATTCCTATCCGGAAAATTATGCCCAATATGATTCCTCTGGTTTGCAGCCGCCATCACGAATATCCTATCAGTTTCCTCCTCAGGAACCGGCGCCATATGGACTCGTCCCGGCGTTCAATCCCCAATACACTTTGTCAAGTGTGCAACCACAAGCGCCGCAGACTGGAATACCCCAAGGGAGTGGTCATATCTTAACTTCTTATTCCAATACTGCTGCGAATCAAGTATGCCGTTGATTTCAGTTATGTTATGTTTAACGGTCTTGCAGCTCGATTCATTGATGCATCGATAGCTCGCAATATCTGAATTTCTTCGGCTAGAGCGACCGGGAAATTTGATCCTGTTTATACTCGGTCTTCGAATGCAGGTGCTATTGGCTGTCCATATTTCTTTTTGTTATATTTTTATTCTTAGTTTCATATCTGCTTTTTTGCAATCGTAAAATTGGTTATTATGTGTAAATAGGTACAAAGAAATATAAAAAGAATTTATTTAAACTTGATTTGAAATGGGAGGTTGAATTTGAATTTTTGTTTAAACAGATGTGGTGTGTTTTGCGAGAGGAAATAATATAATTTTATTGAAAAATAAGCTGGATGAATAGCGTTAATTTGAATTTGAAATGAAAACAAAACAAGCACACCTATTTTTCCCCATTTCATCCAAAATATCATGACACAGTTTGGATTAATCCATAGTTGTCAATAGTGCGCTGATAGCATCTACTGCCACATTTTACATAATAGCGACGTAGCGACTTTTAGCAGTGTGGAGCATTCGATTCCTTACTTTGGAGAAGCAAACCCAGTAATGCAAATAGATTTGGAGGGCACTTTCTAGGTGCGGCGTGAATGTAGTCGATGCTAAAGGCGATGGGTTTTTTTTTTTTTTTTTTTTTTCCAAATTATTTTCCTAGATTTCAGTTTATTGTGAAACACAATCTCTCCTAGGGATGGCACGATAAATACTGATAAAATATATATCGGTACCGTACTTAAAATTTTAATATACCGAATTTTGGTATATCGAAACTTTCGGTACCATTTATATCCAAAATTTTGATTTCGGTACTATATCAGTATATACCGATTATACTAAAAATATAATTTTAAATTTTAAAATAATTATAAAAAAATGAATATCATGTTGTTCACCACAAAAATATTATAAAAAAAATCAATAAATTTTCAATAGTCTACATTTTTTTTTTGTTATGATTTAAAAATAATTATTAATTAAATTATTTAATAAAAATAATATCGGTACAGTATGCTCGGTAAATTTCATCTCTAATCTCTTCTATACATTATAAATATTAATTATATTTTAAAATTTATAAATTATAATTTTTTTATTTTAATTAAACTATTTAGTCATTTTAATTTATAATTATTTTTATTATATTATAATTATTTTATTAATATATTCTTAAATTAAAATTCTTAGAAATTTCTTTAATTGGATGAGGGATTTAGATTTTCAATAAAAGTAACATTGCGTGTCTATATATTTAGACTTGAAAGGTTTGGACTGATTGTTTGGACATGAGTCAACCATGTGTGTTTTGGAGGCTGTTTTAGTAAACATAACATTGCTAGTGCTCTTAAAAGTAATAATTTTGTGTTTTTAATATGACCACTTTCAATCTACTCATTTCATGGCTCAAAAAATATTACTCCCTCCGTCTTACTTTCTTATTCTAACAATTATTGTTCTCTTTTTATTTTTATAAACAAAATTTACTCTTTTACCCTTACTTTATTTATTCTTTCATTTTCTATACACAAGATTAAGAGCAAATTTGTCATTTTATAACAAAAACTCTAATTGCCTAAAAATACATGTAAATATCAAATAGGATATTAGAAAATAGACGGAGGAAGTATTAAAAAGACCAAATAAATTTAGGAGTAAAAAAGTCTGTTATTTTATTATCTATAAAATACTAGTAATATTTTAAAATATACATGTAAAAAGTAAACGAATATATTGAAAGTGGGTCGAAAGAATATAAGATATGAAACGACATGAGCAAACATTACCGGTTGAACCAAAATAACTTCCAAAACTCTGTCTAAATGTAGCTAAGTGTCTGTGGTTTCGTCTTGTTGCTGAGCCTCGGCAGATTCTTCTTTACCATCACTCGACTCAGGTTGTGATGTATGTTGAGGCAAAATCTGTGTGGTGGTCTCTACAAAATCATCTATCTGATCTTCACTTAACCGAGAATCGCAACATTCTATGATCTAAAAAAAACACAAAATAAGTTGTCATGGTTGTCAATCTCGGGTAGACTTGTTCAATAAGAAAAATCTATATATTAATTCTCATGATTATTATTTAAACTAATAATATTGCCAAAAATATATAATCGTAGTTCATAGACAGTTATATAAGCAACAACAATTAGATTGCAACTCATTTGATAGATAGATAATCAAAACTAATCAGGTTCGAAATCTGATAAATAATCTTCTTTATTTTCATCATCCTCGTTTTGTATGAATATTCTTTCTTTTCTTCATTGTATGTTTGACATATTGCACAATATTCTTTTACTTTCAAGAGCTAGAAGTAGTTATAATATACTTACTATAATATAATGGTATAACATATATATTTACCAAATAACGAATATAATATTATATTATAAAATTTAAATCTACATATAAATCCAAGTGTGTTTGGTTATGATTTCAAATAAATTTTACCACTTAGCCAAAACATCACATAAAAATACTATTTAAACCAAAACTCAAATCAAAACCTTAAATCAAAACCAAACAAACCTCATATTTAAGCACAATCATATAAACTAAGTCATCAATTAGCTTTAGCTAAAATGCATGTTTCCACTTCTAACATAAAGATCTTTAATCTATTAACTCAAATCATATAATGATATTATGATAGCCCGATTAACGAGAATAACAAACTACATTATCTTAGAAATTACCATGAACGCCTCGAGTTGAGATGACGGCCTTAGGTTGACAGCATTAAGAATTTCAGCCTTTGCAAGATCAAATTTTTTACACTCTTGAACATACTTGTTGATTATATCCCTTGTCTGATTGCAAGCAGCAGTTTGCTCCAAATAATCGAAAACCTACGGCAGAAAACTGAAAACATTGAGCACATGAATATGACTTAATTTCTAACAAATCAAATTACCTAAGAATCCCTCCAACCTTAAACTCAGACGCCGACACTGAAGCAAGAACACGTGAGGGATCTTTCCCAGCCCCTCTCGATCTCAAAAGATCGAGCACTTCAAAATTAGTAAGAGAACCAGCACTACGTTCCAAACTGCAATACAAACAAAACAAGCAACAATCAGTATCACAAGAGAAATAGGGTGAGGTTGGTTGGAGTTTTCCTCAAAGATACACTTTTCGTTAATTATTTTTCCTCTCACAAATATTAAATCGAATTCTATTTTCCATTCTCTGTATTATTAATAAAAATCAATTTTATATTCAAAACATTGTATCAATATCTATTTATATCACATCAAACAATTCAATTTAAAATTTTTACTATTCACCATTTTTTTCATCTAAAAAGCTTTGAAAATTCACTCTTATTTTTCACTTTTTGTATTATAATAAAAATCAATTTTACATTCAAAATATCATATCAACACCTATTTATCTTATATCAAACAACTATTCAAATTCAAAATTCTTACTATTCAAAGTCCAAATCCAAAATTTAAAACCTCCAACCAAACACAAAATAATATGATACAGAAGGCAACTTTACATACATCTTCATTGCCAAGTTACTTGATGCCTCGGCGGTATATATCTTCTTTGGTACTTTGAACTGCAAAAAGACAACACACACCACCCCAAATAAAGCATTATCACTTATTAATTCGACAAACACAAAACCAAACTTTCTTAACATGGACTTCGACATTCCATAGCTTTCCAAATCACATCGATATTTAAGATACTAATATTGAGAGCCAAGAAATAATTAACGATAACCCAATTTCCTTGTTTCGCTGTTCAAAACAAAAGAGTACATAAAACTATTTTTATATCCAACAAATATCATTAAACAAAATATAAATCAACATTACCAAAACAATCTAAAATCCAAAGAAAACCACATAATAAATTAATCGAGGCTTCCCAAACATATGCAACCATTATGCAGAATAGATTTTTAGCAATCATCTTATTCTCAAGCTCTTTTAGGGTGTGTTTGTTTGGGGGATTGGATTGGATTTACACTATTCATCAAATTTTTTTCGCCCAAAAACATCAAATCAAACACCTATTTTTCATTTTTATTATTATACTAAAAATCAATTTTACATTCAAAACATCACATCAACACCTATTTATATCACATCATACAACTATTCAAATTTAAAATTTTTACTATTCAAATCCAACTCAAAATCCAAACCCCCAAACAAACACACCCTTAGAGAACTTATGTTTTCACAAAAGAAATTCAGAAAACGTAAAGAGTAGCACTTGTAATACAAATAATATTGGGTAAACTGTTTTTTTAGTCCGCAACTGGACCCCTTTATCATTTTATTCCCGTAAATAGAGTCTGTCGCAAACTAGTTCCATAAGTGAAAAATTTTCGTTGTTTTAGTCCTCCGGCGCCGGAGATGCCCGCGTGGCTCGCCGGAGGTAACGTGGCGACACCTGGCGGACACGTTGATTTTTTTATTTTTTTTTCATTTTTTTTAATTTTTTTTAAAACGTATTTTTAATTTATTTTAAATTTTATTTGTATTTTTTTTTTATTTCATCCAATTAAAAAATATTAAAAAAATGAAAAAAAAAATAAAAATTCCACGTGTCCGCCATATGTCGCTGACCTGGCGGGACACCTGACGGACACGTCACCTCCGGCGAGCCACGCGGGCATCTCCGGCGCCGGAAGACTAAAACAGTGAAAATTTTTCACTTACGAGACTAGTTTGCGACAGGCTCCACTTATAGGACTAAAATGATAAAGAAGTTCAATTAACAGTTTACCCAATAATATTTGAACAGATACACAATTGACAAACACATTTACGAAATCAAATATATATATATAATAAAAACATTAAAAATATCTCCAACTTTCGTCGAAAACCTTCGAACCCATAATCCACTCTAACAAAAATCTTAGGGTGTGTGTTTGTGTTTTCTATCAAGTCTCTTAACTTTTGGCCCAAAACTTATTCAATATTAAAAACCATCCCAAACCTATTGTCCACATTCTCTAACACCTGTATAAACATCAAATTCTAAAGCCTATTTTCACTAAATATATGAATAGTAAATATATGAATAGTGTAAATCCAATCCAATTTCGAACAAACACACCCTAAATCAAAAATAAAAAATCAAAGCACAAACAAACGTCAGTATGGACATGTACATCTTTACCGTTCAAGCAATATGAAAAAGATTAATATAAAGACAAAAAATAAAATAAAATAATTGGGGATTACCGACGGGGATGTGCACCACAGCAGAAGAATGAGCGAAAATTGTTGTTTACAGCTTAAACAAAGAGCGATCGTCGCCGCAATGCCTGAATTCCGTCGGAAGAGCGATTCTCTATTCAAAACCCAACTTACAAACCCTACTCTACTGCTAGGTCGTACTGTACTACCACAAATCAATTTTCGTTTTATTTATTTATTTCGCCACTGAAAAATTATGGACAAGTAAGTCTGAAACGGCAGCGGCGGCGACGGCGACCACCGGCGGAAGAAGATGAGAACGGAAACAAAAAAAAAAAAGGAAAAAGAGATGAGAAAAATATTACGACATACTCGATTTACTTGATAAATGGAAGCACAAAAGAAAGAAAGGAAAACGAGAAAATATAAAAGAACTCACCGGATATTCTAGCGCCCGGCGGATATCGAAAAGAAAGGCGGCGCGGCAACTTAGAAAAGGAAGAAGAAAGAGAAAACAGAGAGAGGAGAATGAGGAGAGAGTAACGAAGAAGAAAGATAGGGGAAGAAAGTGGGGGAGGTCGGCGGCGTGGAGGGTTTGGATCTTGAGTTAATATTTGAATAATAAAAAGGGTAAATTATATAGATAATGTTTTTTTTTTAATTTTAAATAATATATTTTTTATTTGAATTAATTATTTGATGTGATATAAATATATATTAATATTTCGAATGTAAAATTAAATTTTAATATAATAAAGTAAATAAAAATTGAGTGTTTGATTTGATGTTTTTAGAAAGAAAAGAAAGTTAGAATAGTAAAATGTAAACACATCCGTAATATTTTTGTTTTTTAGTAAATATGTACAAAATATTTTATGTTTTATTTATTATGTAAAATTTTTTGTATTAATGTAAAGTTTGTCTTAAAACACTCTCTAGTATTTAGTTTTAAATAAATATTTAAATTAAGTAAGTTTTATACAAATATTTTAAATAATTTTTTTAATAAAATTAATAAATAAATAATTAATTAATCATTTATTTTAATACAACTTTTTTTAATAATAATTTGTCTAAAAAAATTATAAAATAAATGATTAATTAATTAATTATTTAATTCAAAAAAATTATTTAAAATATTTTACGTTTTTTATTTGTATAAAACTTGCTTAATTTAAATTATTTAGAACCAAATATCAATTTTGGTCAAAAATACATTTCATGAAAGGATTTTATGCAATAAATAAAATATACGCTATTTTATGCATTTTTACTAAAAAATAAATATTTGAGTGTATACTTTGGATAGTGGAACCAACATGGTAAAAAAATATTTTTAATTGAGATGAGGTCATCTTCAATCACTTCATTTTTGCAGTAGCTACAATGATTTTACTCTAACCATAAACTTCAATTTTCACTCTAAAAAAATATATTCTCTATATATTTTTATTTATATAACTTCTCATATTTATAAATTACACTCCAATTTTAATTTATTTTATACATTATAATCCATACCATATAATTTATATTTTCTTTAAAATTTATGAAAATTAACATTTACAATTAATAACTATTACAAATAAAATAATTTTAAAAAAATAAAATTATACATTACTTTAAAAAAAATAAAATTATAGTATATTATTTTTTTAAAATATAAAATTATATATCATCATTCTTAAAAAATATAAATTACACAATACATCCAAAAAATAATAAAAATACACAAAATACCACAAAATACTACAAAAACTCCATTTAAAAAATGGAGTGAAGATACAGTGCTGCTCCATGGAGTAACACTGTACAAAACTGCATAAAATAAGGGGGAATTTTGGAGTGGGTTGGAGTGGGTTGTAGAAAGGCTTGAGCACTAATTTAGTAATTTATTACTCCTCCGTCTCAATATAATAATTTTATTTATCATTTTTGTTCGTCTCAAAGCAATAGTCTCATTTTTATAAATAATCATATCACTGTAAAATTATCTTTATTTTTTCATTATTATTACATAATTGCTACTACTTTTTACACTAATACACTCACAAAGGTAAAAAAGTATTTTATCCGTACTTTTTATCCACTGTCAATCTAATATCAATATTTCTTAAATCCTTGTTAAACCCAATCCATAGTATAGTTTTTGGGACTGAGGGAGTATAATAAAAAAAAAAATAAACTGTAGAGAAATTTAATATTCTTCAAATTTTATTAATTATTAATATATAATTTATTAAATAATTTTGCTGCAACTGAGTGCAATCTAAACCCTTGAATAAGAATATTTGAATTTGGGAGGTGTTTAAAATGAACAAATTTGAAATTGATCAAATTGAAGTTCATCCCAAATTCAAATTTCCTATCTGAATTAATTCATTATTATTATTATTATTTCAATCTCATTCTATTTTTTGAATCATGTTTATATTTGCAAAAAAATATTTAAAACATATAGTACATTTTACTAATGTTTAGAAAACCTACAAAAATATTTCAATATAAGAAAGACTAATCGAGACGTGTAGGGTTTGTTTAGATAAGGAGTTTTCGAAAATTTGAAAGTTTGAAAAAAAAAAATAAAAAGTTAGTATTTGATATAATATTTTGTGAAGGAAAAAATGTATTTGATGTGATGTTTTTTTAAAAATAAATAGTGTCAAATCAGTAAAAGTGTGTTGTGTACACAGAACCGTAATTTTATTTATTTATTTAACCTTATACACATCCTGACATGATTCAAACTCTCAGGGGTGTATTCAATTGAGATTTTAATAGATTTTTTTTTTAATTTTAAAAAGTTTATGAATTTATGTGGATTTAGAAAATCCACAGAGTAATTGATTTAGATGAATTTCTACGGATTTAATTGAATTCTTTATATATTTATATAGATTTTGTAGGATTGTAAAATAATTTTTTTTATGAATAGATATTAATTATATAACTTTATATCATATAACAAATTTTATAAATATAATAAATAATTATTAATAAAATAATATTTAATATTAATAAATAATATATAAGTATTAATAATGTAGAAGTATTGTAACAGTATATAATACTACTATATTCTATATTATTAATTTTAATTTTATAAATATTATATTATCATTCAATATATCAAATTAGTTTTATATTTCTTTATTAGTTATTATTATTATTTATATAACTATTTTACATAAAAAGTAAATATGTATATAAATAAAATAAAAAATATAATTTACGATTTTTGAAAAAAATATTAAAATAAATAAATAAATATAAATTAACGGTTAAACAAAAAATATATATTTAAATATCTATTTCATCGTTATCGTAATGATAATATACTGTAGTCGATAATTGAAAAAAAAAAAGACGACAGTAATACATATTTATTGTGATAATAATATTTTTTTAAAATTATATTTATAATATCAAAATATATATTTTAAAAAAATCATAATAATTTGCTAATATATTTTAGTTTTAAATTATTATTTTTATTAAGATTTATAATAATAGTAATAAATATTATCATATTATTGATCACATCTACAATAATAATAATTTTAAGAATAGATCAAAATCTCTAATGATTATGAGAGATTATTTCCCATACAAATTTTTTACAATTTTCTATTAAAATTCATAAACTTTCAAAGTCTATGGATTGTTGTAGGGTGTTTGTTTGGAGGATTGGATTAGATTTTTACTATTTATCCTATTTTTTTCCCCAAAAGCATCAAATTAAACATTTATTTTTTATTTTTATATTATACTAAAAATCAATTTTACATTCAAAACATCACATCAACACTTATTTATATCACATCATACAACTATTCAAATTCAAAATTTTACTATTTAAATCCCAACTCAAAATTCAAACCCCTAAACAAACACACCATTAAATTTGGATTCAATACCTCATTATTTTAAAAGACTTTCTTGATTTAATACACCTCAAATTTTGAAAGTCTACCAAAATCCTATCAAATCTATATTGAATAAATCCCCTCAATCTCAAACATGCAAATGGATTTGAAACGAGTTTTCATAGCTGGGTGAAATTGGGCCGGGCCAGCACTGATATGGGCTGGGCTGAATTTGGCTTGGGGCAATACTAAAATGGGCCGGGCTCTACTAGGTGTGCCGGGCTGGTACTTTTATGGATATTATTGGGCCAAATTTGGGCCGGGCCAACATTTATATGGGCTGGCTAGTACTTTAATGGCTAATTTAAGTTGGTTTCGATATATCGAAAAACAGCCGGTTTAAATAGTGATGAAACTAGCCCATAAGTTTGGTGAGAAAACTTTTTAAAAAAATTAAATTTAAATTATTTTTAGTATAATCAAGAAGAAAAAACAAAAGAAAAGGAATATCAACCAAATATACTCCATTCCTCCTATAACAAAGTATCCATTTTTTCATTTTAGTCCGTCCCATAACAAAGTATCAATTTCATTTTTTAGTAATTGTACTATCTACCTAACATTACAAATACCCTTACAACTTACAATATATTACACAAATGTCATTACCTTTATATCACACATACTAACAAGGTTATTTTAGTCATTTCTACTTTATTCCTACTATATCTCAATATAATACTAATATTTGTAAAACTACGTGCAAAAAACAAATGGATACTTACTTTTGGGACGGAGGAAGGAATATACTTGAAGTTGAAAAAATTTAAAACAATTACATAAATTTTATTACTCCCTCCGTCCCAGATACTATGTCCACGTTGCCGTTTATGTCCGTCCCACATACCATGTCACTTTCTTTTTTTGGAAAATGATTACACACTTTAATTTTATTTTAATTTTTTTAATTTTTTTTAATTTTAATTAAACTGATTAGTTATCTTAATCTTAATTTATAATTATTTATATTATAGGATAATTATTTTCACTAATACATTCTTAATTATCTACTAATTACAGTCCTCCTAAAATACCGTGTCTACAGTGTAGCAGACACGGTATCCGGGACGGATGATGTATGTTTTACTAAAAAAATAATACTAAAGACAAATCAATAAAATTACATAAATTAAAAACTTAAAGAGGAGACAAATTATTTAAAATACGTAAGTTTATTATATTTTAAACTTCTTTAAGAAAACAGAAAAAAAAAAAAAAAAAAAAAACACATTTGGTTTGAATTACAACCATGCATATTGTTTCATATAATATTTGTATAATAAAGTTACAAAAACATTAGTATTATATTAGTGTGTTTGTATAAAATAAAAATGTTTGAAAATATTTTTGAATTTAATGGAACAAAAAATAAAATATGTGATTGTATTTTGGTAATTGAAAATTTCTAATTAATGGTAAAGGAAACATTGAGATAGGTTTGTTTGCCAAATCAAAATTTATTGATACATTTTCAATATATTCATTCCGTCCGGCTTAGAGGTCTCATTTATCTTTTGCATTATTTAATATTAAAAATATTATTATATTTGTATAATTTTTTATATAAATATTATTATAGCAGTGTTATACTAATCGAAGTATTTTTGTCATTTTCTCTTAATTTGTACTACATTTTCAAATAATAATTAATATTCAAAGATCAACATGCAAAAAGTAAATGAAACTCTTAGAGCCGGACGAAAGTTACATATAATAGTATATATATTATATTTTCTTACCCAAAAAAAAATAAATTTTAATACTTCACATTAAAAAATATTTCAAACTAGAACACTAAACAAATAAACATATAAATTGTTTGTTTGAACGTTTTTATTTGTGCTTCTTTATGTTCTATTAATATTTTTAAAACATGTGATCCGCTAAAAATATTGTTACAGAATACAATATATACATGTAATAATAAAAATTAGTAAAAATATACAAAATATTATTTCATTATATTTTCTCCATTCTTCAATATCTTACTATAAAAATATTTTAAACTACAAAGATTAAATATATACACTTAATAATACTTAAGAATTTTTTAATTTTTATTATTAGTTACTAAAATTTATAAATATGCTATTAAAATATTTATTTATTTATTTTCTAAATATTTGATGAGATAAAATATCAATTCATTTTAATAAATAACAATACATATCGAGAATTCATAAATAATGGAAGCAAAGGTACTATAATGTGGCCAAAGATTTTATAGGTTTTTGTCAAACTTGGGGCCCATAATATAGCATGGGTCAGTTTATCATTATTCTTCTTTACTTGTTTCAAGGGTTTGTGTAGTCGTAAATTTAAATTTTTATTTAAATAATATTTTATTTTTATATTTTATAAAATAAAATAATATATATCTGATTAATTAAGAATATAATTCCAATATTGATATAAACACTCAAGCCCCCTTTAATTGATATAATCAAATTTAACATGCATAAATTGTTTTTAAACTATCGTTAATAAAATTATATATATATACATATATAATGTATAGGGATTTATATTTTAAGAATAACAAGAGATTGATATATATTAAAATCAATTATTATTATTATTTCTGTAAATAGGAGCATATCAAGAGATTGTGTATATTTACTTGTATTTGCATTTATTTTTTTTATATAATACATATATATTTTTTATAATATAATATGTGCAATTTGTTTCTGTACTATCCTTTCAACTGCCCTTAGAAATATATATATACAATATCAAGATCAGTATTTTATTAAATCAATTCCCATTAATTTTTTTTTTTTTTTTTTTTGATTACGTGGAATCCGCAGCCGCTCTATTAATCCCTCTTTTACTACGGTGTGGTTGTTATGTGGTTTTAATTGTGGGTTAATTTTAAATAATAAAATGTTTAAATTAGAATAATGGTATAATGTGATATAAATAAATATTAATGTAATATTTTGAATATAAAATTAATTTTTAGTACTCCCTCCAACCCTAATCAAATGGGCAATTTTGGTTTTTTTTAAGTAGATTAAGAAATAATAGTATTTTATTAGTTAGTAAAAGTGTGAAAGAGTTTTTGATATTTTTGCTCTTTGACTTTATGATGAAATAATTGTATGTGTAGTGATATGTTTTAATTTAAGTAAAAGTTAAGAGTATTTTGATATTAGTGTATGAGTATTTTTCTAAAATAGAAAATGGATATTTTGAAATGGGACAAACGAAAATGGTAAAAAATGGTATTTTGAATTAAGACGGATAAAATATAATATAAAAATAAAAAATAAATATTTGATTTGATATTTTTTGAGGAAAAAAGTTGTATAAATAATGTAAATTTCTCAAAATCCTTTGAACAAATACACCCTTAGTTTATCCTATCTTTCCCAATGTTTCCTACATATTGATTCATTTGTATTATTGTTTTTCTCTTTTAAAGTTTCAAATAAATTCTTTGTTTTTGCTAGTTTTTTTTTTCGCGATTGAATTTTAGTTGATGTTTGCAGGATGTTTGGACATCGAATGGGCTGTATCAATAGGTCCAATCGCGACATGAATCCAAACATTATTAAGACTCCCATTATTATTGCCTTATAAACCTGTTTGTGGTGACGGTGATTCAGAAAATGGCATGTGTAAGAGATTGATGAATCATCAATAAAAAAAAATCTAAATTTATTGTAACTAATTTTATAGTGGGATGAATTAGATTATTAGGATAATATTTTGATAGTTCCATGAGTAAACCGTGAGAGATTATTGAACATTGAGATAGTGGAGATAAGATTGAAAAAGTTTTGGGTATGGGAATGATAAAAAAATGAGTGAAATGATTTCTTGAATGTGTAGGTTCGATCGTATCTATGTATTCTTATGCTTCAATAGTTTCAATAGTGAATCAAGTCAATGTTGGAACCCTCAAGTGTAGGCTGGTGTAGCCGAATTGAGTTAACAATTATCTTTTATATTTTTGTTTTTATCATCATCATCAGTATGTAGTATATGCATTCGCAGTTCGATCGTCCAACAAATAACGAGTCTGTGTTGAAGAAAAAATTTACTTATGAATTTTGAAATGAGTTGGTGTTGCTGCAAGTGCTTAATGAATTTTTGGACCAACATTTGTTTTGCAAACATAAAATCAATTATCATATTTTTCTAGCAAATTCTTTTTCTCTATAATCTCTTCCCTTTTTTTCTTTTTTTTTTTTTTTTTCTGAACTATATTATATTGTGGGTGCCAAATATACCTCCAAAGGAGCGACCAAAAGTCTCAACCCTAGAGGTGAATTGTCCATTTTGTCCTTGGACTTTCATTAAATTCCCATTCCAATTCTTTCCCTATCCCCTTCTTCAACACGCTTCAATTCGTCTGTCACTTCCGAAGACCTCAATCAAACCCATATCCATGGCCAAGAGACCTCGCCCTCCCGACCACCTCAAATTCCCCGACGACGACGCCATTAACGATGTCCGCAGCCTCCTTCCACCCTACTCCTCCGCTAGATCCCAGCACGACACCTTCGCCATGGTCGCCGTCCTCTCCAGAGTCCTCCAAGGCGGCGGAGATCAACAACCACCACAACTACCGCCGCCGCAGATTTCCGGCGACAATTCCCCCGCCGGAACCCTAGCCGCCGCCCAATCCTCCCACCACCAACCACAACCAGGTAAATTCAATTAAATACATACAAAATAATTATATATATATGTATGTAGGTATGTATATCTGTGTTTAATTTAAAAATCGACGAATTAATTGACGATTATGGCGTAGAAATCAAAATTGGGGATAAGGAAACCCTAATTCGGAGAAATCACTACCGGGGAGTGCGGCGGCGGCCATGGGGGAAGTGGGCGGCGGAGATTCGCGACCCGGTGAAGGCCGCCAGGGTGTGGCTGGGGACATTCGACTCCGCCGAGGCCGCGGCGGTGGCGTACGACGCCGCCGCCTTCAGATTCAAGGGCAGCAAGGCGAAGCTGAACTTCCCCGAGAGGGTTCCCGTCGGAAAACAACCGCCGGCGACGGCTCACCAGGCGCCACGTCAGAACTCCGATGATCATCAAAGCCCTAATTTTAATTACGTCTCTGCAATTCAAGGGTTTCGTCGTGAAGGCTCCTTGTCATTGTCTTCGTCGTCTAATCTAATTGTTTCTGGTCAGGTTTCTTCGACAGGTACGATCATGGCGTCGGCGCCATTGCAGCTGGATTCTCAGCAAGAAGAAGGGTTTCATCGGAGGGTTCATGAGTGTGGATTTGAAGATTCTGATACGAACATTTGGGGATCAGAATCTGATCGACAGTCGTAAGAGGTAATGAAGAATATATATATATATATATTTATAATTCATATGCAAGCTTGAAGTTAAATTTGAGATTGAGATTGAGATTTTATGTGTGAAAAATAATTATACATTTGGAACTTGATAGTCTAAAATTCAGCATGCGCGGAATAGGCACAACGGATAATACATAGTATTATGACATACAAGACAATATGTCTTAATATAATAAAAATACAATACATAATATAGTCTCACATAACACATACAATAAATAATTTTAGCACATGACGTATGCTCATACAACATATTCAGAAATTATGAACAAACAACATATACTGTGTGTAATAAAAATATATTTTATTTCTATATTTTATTTGTGCTGATTTGAACGGTGCTAATTTTCAAGCTGCGGTTACCTATTAAATATAGTGATAGCACATGAGAGTATACCACACAAGACATACTAATACTTGAATGATTTTCTTGTGTGTTATAGTTTGAGTTTGAGTTATGAATAATAAAATTTTAATTTAAAATAATTATTTTATACGATATAAATAAATGTAATGTGATTTCAAATATAAAATTAATTTTCAATAATATAAAAATAATAAAAAATATTTTATCTAATATCTTTGGAGTTAAAAAAATCAATAATAATAAAAAAAGTAGAAAACCCCAATCTAACACAACCTCTATGTTTGGGGAAGTAATAAAATTATTATTCATATAAGAAAACATTTTTCCAATATATTTCTCATTTGAAAAAAAAAATAAAATTGAGAACAATACATTAATTTTATTTTCAACATCCATAAGATATATAAATATGAAGTTTTGGATGAAATGCAAATATATTTGAAGAACCCAAGAAATAGAAAGAATTACATATCAGGTGACAAATTTTGAGCTATTTAAGATTGTCCTAAACTAAAATATGCCTATAGAATTTATACATATACTCAAGCAATTTTCTTACTTTGTTCGAAATTTATGAAATAATGAAAAATATTTTATTGTATACGTGATATATATATATAAAGACAACCATTTCTGAAGAATCGATACTCTTTTAAGATTTTTTTTTTTGGAATTTAAAAACAATTCATTTGGATTTTTAGCTTCCTATATAAGATATATGTGCAAGTTCCGATGAAATACGATAAACTCGAGGAGTGGTAATTACGAATAAGTTAAAAATCTTTAGCTGGTTGAAAATTTTCGAGACTTTTTATTGAAGAAAAACTAAAAAAGAACAAAATCAAATAAAAGATAGCTGAAATGTCCGAAGGTCTTTTTTTTATTATTATTATTAATATAATTCGGTGTAAAATTATAAAACTAATATAGAAAAGGATATGTATCTATTTTTTTTAGTCTGTTACACAATTTTTTGGTATTTATATTAAACATTGTTTAAATAAAAAAATTCAAACGTGGCTGAAAAAATACTTTATATTTCATTCTATCCGACAAATTAAGCATATATTTTGTGATATTTAATTTTTATAGATTTGTTAGTATCAAAATTTTGGAATACAAATAATTGTAGACCTTGTGTATAAGTGTGTGTTGAATATTTTTTGTATCAATATGATGAACCCTCAATGAAATATAATTTCACACATTAGATTTCGAAAATTAAAAGCAATCATTTAAGTCTCTTATTTAGATTTAGTAAAATGCAATAATTTGTGATTTTGTTCATATTATTTAGATATATGTCATGTGAGATTTATGTGAATTTATAAAACTAAAATACAATTAAAATTTATAAGTATAAAACGATATAATAAAACGAATAATCATATCTACGAGACACGAAAAAAACATGCAATTTTTCCTATTGAAATGCATTCATCACATATATATATAATGTCATAATTTTGATCTTGAATTTCTTTTTTTTCTCTATTCAATATACTCCCTCCGTCCGGTATTAAGGGCCACACTTATCTTTTTACATTATTATATTAATATTAAAAATATTTTTGTCATTTTTTTTAATTTGTACTACGTTTTTATATAAAAATTAATATTCAAATATCAACATTTAAAAAATAAATGAGATCTGCCGGACGGAGATAGTAATATTTACCATAAATATATATTATTTTCTATTATAAAATATTACTATCCAAACAAAAAACTAAAACTTCAAAACAACACACCCTCCAATTTACTAAAATAAAATAATGTGTGATATTTTAAATATTTGTTTGTATTTTTATATTAATTCAATCTAAAAGATAATATATCTATTTTTATCTACTCATATATAAGTATTATACTCGCTCTGTCCCAATACAATAAACTTGTTTACCATTTATGTTTATCTCAAAACAATAGTCTTATTTTTATAAATAACCATATTACTATAAAACTACAATTACTTTTTCATTTTTATTACACAATTACCGCTACTTTCTACACTAATACTCTTACAAGGACAAAAAAGTCTTTTATCCATACTTTTTACCAACTACCAATATAATATCAATATTTTTTAAATCTCATATCCAACCAATTAAGATTATAAATTTGGAACAGATGGAGTATTCAAAATTTATTTTCAACTTTCTCTGTATAATATGTTGGCTTATGTGTATTTCTACAAGATAAGAATTGACCCCATAATATAAAATAAAGCAAAATTACAAACAAACACATTGGATACTATGTCTTGTTTACTACAAAAAAAAAAAAAAAAAAAAATTATGTTGATTTGATCGGGGCATAAATTTTATATAAAAAAAATATAATAAAATTTTTTTTCTTTAATGGTCTAAAAAAAGTGGAAATATAATTTTTTTTTACAAAAAAATAGAAAAAAAATAAATTTGAATGACAATTAAAAAAATAAAACGAGAATAGAGTATTTTTGTTAAATTTTTATTGTTTCTTTCAAACGAGAATATATATAATTTTTGTTAAAAAAATTTGCATATATTATTGAAATATTATAAAATAAATATTAAAATACTATTATTTTTTTATTAAAAAAAATATATTAAATATTAAAATACTTTTATTTTTTTGATAAAAAGAAAAAAAAAAAACACACACACACTAAACTAATGTGGATGTAACTTACTTGTAGTCACACAAATTTGACATTTTTCCCTAAAGTTATGTGTGAAGCTAATTATTGAGCGAAATATTCATAAAAAATAATAACATTTTTTTATTAAAAAAATCAGGAAAAAAAATATCAAATGTATTAAATTGAGTCAGCTCTCCTTGATTATTCAATATTTATTTTATCAATGATAATGCAATAATTAATAAACCATGGCGTGTTCTTCCATCTATTCTATAAAATACATTTCTTTAAAAAAAAAATTAATATATTATATAAATTTATTATTTTTATATTATTTATTTAATTTTTTATATTTTAGATTTAAAAAAATAATAAAATATCTTTTTAAATAATTTCACCAAACAAAACATACGTATAAACATATGACTAATCTCTCCAACAAGTTCATACGTTCTCTATACAAAACTATATATTTGATTTAATATTTTATTAGATAAAATAGATATTTGATATGATTTTATACAAAAATTATTATCGACTGATCATGTAAAACTTTTACAAATACATATGTAAACAGAGGTTAAATTTACATAAATACCGCAAATAAATACTCATTTTGTTTGAAAATTTTATATAAATTTGATTTGACACATAATTAATAATAATAATAATAATGTTAAAGTAAGATATTATGAAAATTATATTTGAAAATTAATAAAAATAAATAAAAAATAAAAATTTTATGAGATAAGTAGACAGAGTAGTGACCATTTTTTTATTATTTATTAAAATAAATATAATAAAATTACAAGTAGATAAAATTAGTTACTCACTCCTCCACGTACTGCTACACCGTAGACACTGTATTTTAGGAGGGGTGTAATTAGTAGATAATTAAGAATATATTAGTGAAAATAATTATCCAATAATATAAATAATTATAAATTAAGATTAAGATAACTAATTAATTTAATTAAAAATTCTAAAAAAATAAAATTAAAAAATTTAAAATGAGATTAAAGTGTGTAATCATTTTCCAAAAAAAGAAAATGACATGGTATGTGGGACGAACAGAAACGACAACGTGGACATGGTATGTGGGACAGATGGAGTATTATAAATTAATCTAAATTTTACAGACAAAAAAAAATGACATAATTTTATCAGATAAATGATAAATGTGATAAGTAAGCTTCTATAAAATTTCCTCTCTGACGTAAGCTAGACATCTCATCTTCTTGGGGATAAGGATGTGTTTGTTTGTGTTTTTATTTGTTTTCGCACAATACCATGAATATATACATATATATATATATAATAAAAAATAAAACTCTTTTCTAGAATATATATTAAACAAAATATCTATATCCATTTTAATTCAAAGTTCGTCATATTCGAAACTTACTTTTAAATGGAAAATTTCAAATCCACAACAATTTTCATAAATATTATAAAAAAAAAAAATAACAATCAATGTACATATATAATATATACTTTATTTGTTCACAAAGAGTCAATAACTCAATACAAAAAAATTATTTTTTATATCAGCAATATAATTTTTTATACTTAATATGATTCTTCATACTTAATGCTCATTCTGATCCAACTTAAAGTATTATTTTTACTATTTTCGTTCGTCTCACCCAAAATATCTTTTTTCTATTTTAGTAAAAGTAATCATACAATAATACAAAGATACCCTTAACTTTTACCTAAATTACAAACATACTATTACACGTACAATTATATTGTACATAAAGTCAAATGACAAAAATGTCAAACTTTTATATAAACAATATAATTTTTCATACCTAATATGATTTTTCATACTTAATACTCTTTCTGTTCCAACTCAAAGTATTATTTTACTATTTTCGTTCGTCCCATCCAATATATATATATTTTTTTCTATTTTAGTAAAATTAATCATACACTAAAACTAAGATACCCTTAACTTTAACCAAAATTACAAACATACCATTACAAATACAATTATATTTTACATAAAATCAAATGACAAAAATGTCAAACTTTTTACACTTCCACTAACTAATAAAATATTTGACCTTTCGACCGGGATGATGAGAGTATAATTTCTCGTGCCTAACATAAAAAATTTACACACACCAAAAACACTAACAAACCCTAAAATTACACTCCAAAACCAAACATCAATTTATATACTCCATTCGTCTCATAACAAAGTATCAATTTTTTTATTTTGGTCTATCCCATAACAAAGTATCTATTTTTTTTTTTAAAGTAAATGTACTATCTATATAATATTACAAATATTTTTACAACTTCCAATATATTACACAAATATCATTACCTTTACATCACATAAAACTAATAAGATCATTTTAATCGTTTATATTTTATTTCTAATATATCTCAATATAATACTAATATTTCTAAAATTTCATGCAAAAAAACAAATGAATACATATTTATGAGATGAAAAAAGTATATGCAGTAGGAATTGAACTTCCATGAAAGAAAACAATATATATATATGCAGTGTGTCTCTATATACATCTCTCTCTCTATATATATATATAAAAGAAATGAAAATTAGAGCTGGGTTATTAATTACTTACCTGTGGAAAGACGATAATTCTTCGAACATCGTTATGCTCCTTCTGCAATTCCAAAGCTTAAAAAATATGAGAGAGAGAGAGATTGTATCTATCTATCCCTCTCTCTCTCTCTATATATATATATATATAGATATGGATATATGATAATGACACAAGGGTTGGTAGTAACATGAGAAGAAGGAAGGATAAGAATTGCTCAATACTTTTTCTTTTCAAAATTTTAATAATCAAACTCTAATTATTATCTAATACTCAGTTCGTCCGGCTACAAAATATACATATTATTATTTTAAGATGTTCAATTACAAAGTAACTATTTTATTAAATGTCTTTTTTTTTTTTTCCACAAATACTCTTACTTTATATAATATTATTAGTTTTATACCAAAAAAAACAAGAGCAAGAATGTCATTACACTATTTTTATCTATCTATTATAATTAAAATACTATTATTTTTTTAAAATTCTGCGTCAAAAGTAAATATATATTTATTGTTTGGACGGAGGAAGTACTATTGTGATATATTTTTCTTTTATACAAAATATCTTACATTTAAAAATAAAGTTAATATTAAAAACAAAATCATACGCGAAAAAATACTTGGTCAATATGTTTTTATATACCTATCTTTGTCTTAATTTATTTATCAGTTTTTGTTCAAGTGGATGTGTTTGTTTTGTGAAAATATTGAAAGGAAATTTTTTTATTTAAATTGTATTTATAAAATACAAAATATGTATATATAAAAATAAACTTAAAATAATAAGGTAAAATTGCTTATAACTCCCATGTGGTTTCAAAATTCAGCGTAAAATCTCATTGTACTTTAAAAAAGTATGGTACCCCTTATACTTTAAAAAACATTGCATAAAACTCCACCACCATGAAACTTTTCTCGTGTGATAAGAAGATGATTTTCTATCTATATGTTTTGCATGCAGGGGGATTTTATGCAATATTTTTTAAAGTATAAGTGAGCGTCATGTAATTTTTTAAAGTAAAATGGGTATTTATGTTAAGTTTCGAAGCCACAAAGTGGTTTCATGCAACATTTTTTTAAGTATAAGGGGACGTCACACAATTTTTAAAGTAAATGGAGAATTTACGCGAAGTTTAAAAATCACGAGTGAGTTATGGACAATTTTGCCAAATAATAATAAAACAATCGGACCAAAGGAAGTATAAATTCTGAGGATAGGCGATAGATGAATTTGTTTGGTACTTTATTTGACTTTTTTTTTTTTTATTTAAATAGTATTTTATTTTAATATTTTATAAAAGAATATACAATTTTTATCAAAACTTTAAAAATCGAATAATATTTATTTGTATTTAAAATAAATAATAAATAAACCCGTCAATTTAAGAAAATATAAAGTGCGGCAAATGTGAACGGAATATCTTACTCCACAAGCTATTTAGCTGAACTAATCTAGGTAGAAATGAAAATTAATACTAGGCGTTTGTTTGGCTTTCTAATTCGTAATTTTCGTGTTTGAGTGGAAGTTTTGAAAATATTTTATTTGTCATGTATGTCAAAATTAATTTTTTTTTTTTTATCAACTAAATATTAAAATATTCCTACTGTTTAGTAAATTTATATTTTAAAAATATGTAATAAAAAATTTACTGGTCGGCGTAGGGACTATACATTTTTATTTTTTAATATTAATTTAAAAATTAATTTTTCTTTTATCTTTTAGTAATTGTGAACCACACAATTCAATGTAAACACATATTATTTATTTTGTGAAATAATTAAAAAAATATATAAAATATTATGTAAATAATATAAAAATAATAAATATATATAATATATTAATTATTTTTTTAAAAAAAAAAAATCTCCAGTATTTTACTTTACTTTATCTTAATATTGGAAGACGTGAGTGATATATGTGAAAAGGCTTCTAGAAAGTGGTTATATAGTCATAGAATTCGGCCAACCAACCGTATCTGAACAGGTCTGCTTTCGTATGTTTCCTCACTAAATTTATACTCCATCAAATTTATTTTATTTTTTATTTGTATATTAAATTATCTTATTCCGTCTCAAGTAATATGGATGTATTACTGTACATACGGAAATTTACGTAAATTATAATTAGTAAGTAATTAAGAAGTGTATTAGAAAAATAATTATAAATTAAAATTAAAATAAATAAATAGTTTAATTAAAATTAAAAAAATTATAAAATTTAAAATTTAAAATGCGATTAAAGTATATAATTATATTTTCAAAAATAGAAATGATAAGTTATATGGGACGAACAAAAATAGAAAATAGAGACAAATTATGTGGGACAGAGGGAGTATAAATTATAATGAAATTTAAAAATTATTACTCCCTCCCTCCGGCTACAAAGTATACATATTTCTATTTTGGGACGTCCAATTACAAAGTAAACATTTAATTAAATAGCCCATTTTTTTCTACAAATACCCTTACTTTACATCACACAATTACTTTTATGCCAAAAAGTAAGGGCAAAAATATTATTACACTACTTTTACCTATCAACTATAATTAAAATACTATTATTTCTTAAACTTCGCGCCAAAGTAGATATATACTTATTGTGTAAACGGAGGGAGTATTTAATTATTATTTTTTATTTAATTTTTTTTTACTGTAAATATCTTTATTTTTATTACATCTCTCCCTATTCTCTTTGATGATTAATTAATTTTTCAAATATATTATAACTACGTTTATTTTTTTCCTAATTTTTTAATAGAACTTTGGCTCCATTCATTCAGTATTATAGAAAAAATAATTTTTACCGTGTGGTACAGAGAATTATATCAAAATATAAAATATATTTAATTTATTTTATAACAATCGATACGTTTTCAATTTTTATATGTTCTATAATAATTGATATTTTTCTATTTCGGTAAAATTTACTAAATTAAAACATATTTAACAAATGTCTTCTTTCGTCCAATAAAAATTGATATATTTTCTACTTTTATATGTCCCATAACAATTGAATATTTTTTATTTTTATTTGTCTCGTAACAATTGATATATTTCTATTTTTGTAAATTTATTAAATTAAAATTTACTTAACAAATATAAATCAATTTAATCATCTAGTACATAACATATAACATTATAAATAAGTAAAAAATCCACTCAAAATTTATTTATTTTTATTTTTCTCCGAAAAAAAATACTTGTATTATAAAAAAAATTATTCTCTACGAAATGATATTTATATTTTATATATTTTTCATTGCAAATATAATTTTTAAAATATTTAAATACATATTCTAATTTTTTAATTATATATATTAAATTTAAAATTTAAATTTAAATTTATTAATATTATTGATTACATAGTAAATAGTTATTCGTTTATTTAAAATTTTATATTTTATACATAACACATGTATTATACTTCTTTAATTGCGGACAACAATATTATTTAAATTTTTTTTTATAGTAAATTAATAAATAAATTTATTAATAGAAATATATAAGATATTTAAATATTATATATATATATATATAATTGTCATTAATTGAAATAGAAATAACAGAAATAAGAAAAAATGCTACAGTTCAATTGGAATCGAAACAGTATTAAATATTCACTTTACGTCCAAATCATTACTAGAAAAGATTTGGGATGGTGTGGTTGTTGCGCGGCCTATTTGACTTGACCGTGTCAACTCCATAAAAACGACGCCGTATTAGCTATGTACACTTTTTACGTGGCAATTCTACAGTTTTCAACGTAGTAATAATAATAATAATAATAATAATAATAATAATATTTATTTTTACATGAATGTGATTATATAAAATATAATATAATATAAAAATAAAAAAAATTCTATATTTAAATGATTAAAAATTATAATACATTCATCCGACTCTAAATATCTCATTTGTTTTTTATATGTTAAATTTTTAAATATTAATTATTATATCAAAACTTAGTACAAAATTAAGAAAAAAACTACAAAATACTTCTATTAGTTTATTATTATACTAATAGAAGAACACTTAATACAAAAAATTATACAAATATAAAAATATTTTTAATGTTAAGTACAAAGACGCAAAAGGTAAATGCGACCATTAGAGACGGATGAAGAGTGTATATGATATATATTGAATTAATATATATATATTATTGTTTCAAAATAATACTCCCTTCGTCGCTTAACAATCTATCTATTTTTTCATTTTGGTTCGTCCCATAACAAATATTCATTTCTTTTTTACTAATAGTCTATGTATCTAACATTACAAATACTCTTCCAATGTACAATATATTACACTAATGTCATCACTTTTATATCATACAAGACTAACAAGGTTAGTTTAATCTTTTTACTTTTATTTATACTATAATCCAATATAATATTAATATTTTTAAAACTTCGTGCAAAAGACATACGGATAGATAAATTTGGGACGGAGGGAATAATATTTGTTTGGGGGTTTGGATTTTGAGTTGAGATTTGAATAGTAAAAAAATTTGAATTGAAATAGCGTTGATGTGATATAAATAAGTATTGATATAATATTTTGAATATAAAATTAATTTTTAATATAATATAAAAAATAAAAAATAAATACTTAATTTGATATTTTTTAATTTTTTTTTTAATAATATAAATCTTTGGAAATCCTTCCGACAAATACTCCTTAAAAAAACACCAATAGAACAAACCCAAAATAGCCACCTTCTCTCATTATTGTGAGGAGACTCAATAAATATCTCAACACATCCATTCAAAATTATACTATTTTCGTATCACTTAATTTATCAATTTTTTTTCATATTTGTCCGTCTCATATAATTTATTTCTTTCATTTTTCTAAAATACAATTATACACTTTAATCACATTTTAAATTTCATAATTATTAACTTTTTATTTTAATTAAACTATTAATCTATCTTAATGTTAATTTATAATTATATTTATTATATCATTTTTTTTAGCAATACACTTACTAATTACTTACTCCCTCTATCCCAATACATAGTCTTGTTTACTTATTTTTGTCCGTTCCAAAACAATAATCTCATTTCCATAAATAACAATATCACTATAAAACTATCATTATTTTTTTCATTATTATTACACAATTGCCACTACTTTTTACACTAATACACTTACAAGGGCAAAAAAGTCTTTTACTCGTACTTTTTACCCACTACCAATATAATATCAATATTCCTTAAATCCCGTGCCAAACCAAACCCAAACTATAGTTCTGGGACGGAGGGAGTACTATTTACATCGTATTTAAAACTCCATATCTCAGCTAATGTGGACAAATTAGTTGGGACAAAAAAAATACTAATAATAATTTAAAAAATGACAACTTATAAAATTATAATACACGACAATAAAATAAAAAGTTAATTCTAAAATTTCTAATTTTCAATTTATTTTTCCAGTTGGTCCTCTATATTCTGTTTTTTATCGATTTTTTTTTTTTTTAATCTCTAATAACTTCCACTCATATATTTTATTTTACACTTCAAATTAAAAGTGAAAAATTAAAAGTGTAACATTGAAAGTGTTTATAATTTGTTTATAGTTTGAAAATTATAAGCTATAATTTTTTATAATGTAAAGAATTTTTTTAAAATGGCATAAAACTCTATTATGTTTTTTAAAATATTTCAAATGGTTCTCAATTTTGTTCAATATTTTGAAAATATAAGAAAATTTTATATAATTTGTATTGGACTTAAATAAACAGTTTTTACTGAACAATATAATACTCCCTTCGCCCCACTTATCATATCCTCGTTTATGTCCATCCATCTTAATTTTATTTTAAATTTTTTAATTTAATTTTTCTTATTTTAATTAAACTAATTAGTTATCTTAATTTTAATTTATAATAATTTATATTATAAATTAATTATTTTTATTAATATATTTTAATTATTTACCAATTACATTTATCTTAAATTTTCGTATTTACCGTCATAAAAAAAAATGCAATGTGAGACGGGTAGTATTAACATACTATTTAAATAAGAATTAAAAATTAAAACTTAATAATTGATTGATGTAGACATAGCAAGTCAGCGCCGAAGTTTGACTTTTGTCGTGATGTTAATGTCAACCTTTCCAGCATGTCATGTTACATGTTCACATGCATAACCACGTAATTCCCATTATTCAATTAATTATAAAATATAAAATTTAAAATATAATTAAAATGTATAATTATATTTCTAAAAAAATAATAAGATATATGAGACGAACAAAAATAAAAAATAGGGACAAATTATGTAGAATAGAAGAAGTATAATATTATATAAAAATAAAAAATAATATTTTTTCAATTCAATTTTAATATTATTTTTACTATTTTAACACATCATATTCAAATTTATATCTTTATTATTATAATTATAATAATTATATATTATTATCAAAAATATTATCTTTTCCTTCCGTTTCAAAACAATAGGAAAATTTGAAATTGATACCAGATTTAAGGAATAATAATAGTATTATATTGATAGTGAGTGTAAAAGTGTTTCTAAAAGACCAAAATGCTTATACTTTATGTAATTATTGTGAATAAATTGGAATAATATTGTATAATAATGGAGAGTTTGTTACCAAAAAGATAAATAAACTATTGTTTTGAAACGAATAAAATGAAACTATTATTTTCAGACAAATTTTTTTTGAACTTTCACATAAATTACAAGCACATAATTACAATGTAATTTAAAAATTATTTAATAGTTTTTATAATGTTGAAAAATATATTTATATATTATTTAATTATTAATTACATTATATAAAAAAAAAAATTATTTTTATTTAACATTAATAATTTCAAATTTTGTCTAAGTTTGTAGAAGTGATGTGAAATTATATACTAGTAATTTGATGTAATATTTTTTAATAAAAAGTTATAGATAATTATTGAGTATTGTATATAAAATATAATATGAAAAATTTCGAGATAATACTATGAAAATACAATATGTATATTTTTTTATTATTATTATTTTTTATTTAGATTGATAAATACTTGTATTATACGTATGGTAGTAGTACATAGTAGTATATTAACTAAAATATATTTAAAAGTATAAAAAATTAGATTGTAAATAAAATAATTGATAAATAAAATGTAATGATGATTTATTTAATATGTGGGCTCTATCGAAACAGTAAAATGAATTCATTTTGATTGAGCCTAACAAAAGTGGGCTACTGACACATTTGGGCCTTTATGGGCCTCGTGGCCCGACCTATTATTTAAACGGGCTATGTTGTGGTTAAGCCCATGGGCCACCAAATCATTTTTCTAAAAAATATTAAAATTTATATGTAATACTCCCTCGTTCCCACATAATTTGTCCCTATTTTTTATTTTCGTATATTCCAAATAATTTGTCCTTTTTATTTTTAAAAATATGATTATGCACTTTAATCATATTTTAAATTTTAAATTTTATAATTTTTTTAATTTTAATTAAACTATTTACTTATTTTAATTTTAATTTATAATTATTTTTACTAATACTTACTAATTATATTTTACCTAAATTTGCGTATGGAACAAAATAAAAGGAAACTTTTTATTTATTTTTTAAAAAATACGTTTTTATTTTTAAATTTATTTTTTATAAAGCTTAATTTTCAAGGTTGGAGGCGCTTGGCGTGAAAACAAAGGAGTCGACAAAAGTCGAATAGGATTAAGCCATGTGGCAGCGTAGGGGCCACACGATTGCAGAGGGACAACAAACCGAGGCATAAACTGCCAACAACGGACAAATCTGGGCCGTCCAAATATAGACATCGGTCAGTCCGTTACCACCGCTACAAATTAATATCGATTTTTATTATTTTTAATTTTTATATTTATTAATAATTTTCTTCCTTAGCCTTTTCCTCCATCTCTGGAATTGCTCGAGCTTTTGCGAGGTGGTGCGAGGGCGGAATTCGAGGAGCGAATTTTGAAAATTTTGAGCGCGTGGAGGCGTAGGGAGCTCGGTTTGGATGCGGAGTGGTTGAATTCGGGGAGGAGTTATGGAGGAAGGTATGAAGAAGGTAGAAGGGGGGGTTTTGAATGTCAGCGGATTCTCTCCGGCGTCTTCGACTCCGGTGTTCTGGAAATCCAGGAGGAGATCAGGTTCTGTGTTTTCTGCGGAATTGATTACGGTTTATTTATTAATTTATTCAATTTATGGTTTCGAGATTCCTTCCGCTTTGAGTTTTGAACTCGATTTGCAATTTTGAGCTGCCTGCTTGCGTTTGTTTGTGAGAATTCTCGTTTTTCGTTCGTTTATGCTGCGTGTGTATGAATTGGATGCATGCTGCAGTTAGAATTCAGATTCAGGTCCCTCTCCGGTGAAATTGAATCTCGTTTGACTTTCTCATTAGCTAATTAGCTTCCATTTCCGAGCTCTGTATCTGATTTTTTTAGAATTAATTTTTTTGGCTGAAGATTGGGTAGTTGTGTGCGTTAGAGGAGGTTGTTGGCTGAGTAGTTATGGAGGATGTAGAGAGAAAGAGAGAGAGAGAGGGTAATATGGTTTGGCTTTCCTGATTCGTCACTCAACTGTGATAACAATGGCAAATAATTGTTTATCACTTTCGTGTGGCTGCTCTTCATTACTGATGGGTGACTATCAATTATTTTCCTTTACCCATCATTGTGTTCGTGTAGCCATTTTAGTTGTCCATAAATAGCCGTTTCCATTAAATAAGGCATTTCAATCTACATTTAGATCAAATTTTTATCCAGTTAGGTTTGAATTAGTTGAATTTAGACATCAGGAAGATGGTTTTTTACAGATTTGTTCATAATTGATGTTTATGCTTTTCTTATCTGGAAGTTGTTCTGTGAGGGTGTGTTACTAATGTGTTTATTTTATTTCATCTAATCAATTGTTTTACTTCAATTGATTAAAATTTGGAATTGATTAAAGTCTGAAATAATAATACATTAATTCATTAGGATAATCAATCGTATTTAGATGGATGAGATTAATTTATCTCAAGTAATAATTTACTAAAATTTACGCTATTCTATATTTAATCGAACAAAGTAAGCATGATATTAATTAGTCTCGTAATTATATAATCCATTAAAATAAAATTGATATTATAATCCCATTCTACATTTGGTCTAAATTTATATCTTTGAAGCCTGTGTTCTGCACATATGTAATTAGCACCTTGTGGAGTATAGCTATTTGTAATTAGGAAGTAACATAGTTTTTCGACCATATAAGGGTGTGTTTGGTTGTATTTGAAAATTTTCTTTCAAAAAATATATTGTAGATGCGACGTTTTAAATAAAATAATAAATATTGACTTGATTTTTCCGGTAAGCTAAATAGTACTAAAACAAAATCGCAAACGTGTCCTATGTTTCTAGGCTATTCGACGAAGAGAGTAATAGCATTTTTATGATTTGGATTAGATATTGTTTAGTTATCTATATGCTTTGTTTCTTTAGAAACATAGAGGGAGCTAGCTGACCATATACAAATGGTTATCAGAATCATGTTTCATGGTCAATCCGGAAAAATGTATCCTTTACGGCTAAGAGTAATAGGACGATGGTTCGTTTATATCGCCACAATTTACTTACATGACAACATGTAATAAGATCAAGCTAGATAAGAATGTGAACCATTTGGCAATGAATCCTATTACAGATTAGTGATGATTCAAATTCGATAAATTTTCGCACCTCTTTTAAGACTGATAGTATTGGAAAAAAATCTAGTAAGGTTGCGCCGAAGGGATCTAACATTTATGGAAAATGGGCTGTTTTAAGAAAAATTATTGTCCTTATAATCAGCAGTGAATGTGGCTGCAGTTAGGAATATAGATAAGGCAGTAGATGGTCTGGCTGCAGATAAAACCGTCGAGAAGCAGCCGACATCTGATGCCTCTCCTGCTGATAAATCCCTGGAAAATCTCGAGAATGCATCGGCAGAGGAAATGCAGCTAGAGCCAAACAGCCTGCCCAATCTCTCCGAGAAGCGCAAGGCTTTGTTTGAGCCACTGGAGCCGGTCACTAATGTAAATGGTAAACGTCCGTCAGCAGAGTCGCTGCTCCCACCTCCCGACTTCGAGTCAGCTAGCTACCCGCGAGGTTGGCTTATTGGGAAGAAGCGGAAGCTCGTCAATGTGGATGTTGTCGAGAGTATGCGCAGAATTGCCGTACAAGAAATGAACCGAAAGGTTTCGAAACTTTTTAAATATATATATACAGGGTAAACTAATTTTTTAGTCCAGTATCTGGATCCTTTTATCATTTTAGTCCGTAAGTGGAAAATTTTCGCACTTTTAGTTCTCCGGTGCCGAAGATGCCTACGTGGCACCAGCATGACTCGCTGGAGGATACGACACCTAGCGGACATGTGGATTTTAAATTTTCAAAATTTTATTTTTGAAATTTTTTTAATTTTTTAAAAATATTAAATACATAAATTAAAATATTTTTAAAAAATTAAAAAAATCCAGGTGTCTGCCAAGTATTGCTAACCCGGGGGATACGTGTCCTCCGATGAGCCATGCGGGTGCCACGTAAGCATTTCTGGTGTCGAAGAATTAAAAATACAAAAATTTTCCACTGTGACAGAGTCCAGTTACGGGACAAAAATGATAAAGCATCCGGTTACGGAAAGAAAAAAATAGTGTACCCATATATATATATATATATCTGTTCTATCTTTCTCCTTACAAGACTAAAAATATCGAATATGGTGCAGGACAGAGAAATTGATGGGCTGAACGAGCAACTGGAGGAGGACGCGCGATGCCTGGAGCACCTTCAAATTCAGCTGCTGGAAGAGCGGAGCAAACGGGCCGAGGTGGAGAGACAGAACAACGTGCTCCAAAATCAAATAACGATGCTTATGGACATGTTGCAGGAGAACGATGCAGTCGAGGATGACGAGGAGGAAGAGGATCAAGGGCCTTGAAGGTTTTTTTCCTTTTATCCCATTCTTCGCTGCTCGATCTTTCTTCTTGATCTATATATGCCTTCATTTTTTTTGCATGTGTGTGATAAGGTAAAAAAGTATTTGAACGTAAAAAATGAGTCGAGAACGGACTTAACACGTATGGTTAGTATTCGTTGCGATTGTGATCTGGTTCGATGTTCCTCTGCTCGATTATGATGTGATCATAGCGAGAGAGGGATGTCGAATAGATATGTATAAATAACTTAGCTTTTGTTTATATATTGGTTGATAATCGATGCCCCTGTTGAGGTTGTGTATAGTTATGGTTGAGGAAAATCTAGTGAGTAGAGTTGTTACCTAGAATTGAACCGATCGAAAGCTCGGCTCAATTCGGTTTGTTAATTATAATAGGAATTTGAATTTGAGATTTATTTTCTAGCTAAAAGTTGGAGTTGAGTCTATTAAGTTTTAATATATACTAATATATTTTTAATTATTTATTTATTATATAATTTTTAATGTCGGAGGAAATAATAAAAAATATAATAATCATCTTTATATAATATAATTTAATATATATTTTATTTTCTTATAAGAAATTAACAATTTACAATTCAATTTCACTCAATACATGAATAACAATTTTACCAAGGGAATATATGAATATGCTAGGGTGTGTTTGTTTGGGGATTGGATTTTAAATACACTATTTATCTTATTTTTTTCTCTAAAATATTAAATAAATTTTTATTTTTTATATTATACTGAAAATAAATTTTACATTCGAAACATCACATCAACACCTATTTATATCACATATTATACTGAAAATAAATTTTACATTCGAAACATCACATTAACACCTATTTATATCACATCATACAGCTATTCAAATTCAAATTTTTTACTTCTTATTTTTGTTGTTATATTTGTTAAATATTTTCATTTGCCCGTGTAGATTAATAAATCAATAATGCTTATCTCTAATAACTTAAACTTTTAGATAATATTGTTATTTTAATCATATAATAATATTGTACCAAATTCCAATTTGATGACATAAATTTGCGTTTTCATAAAAAGTTAAACTGAACTTTGAATTAGTGAACTCAACTCAACCAATTCGTATATTCTAGGAGAATTGTTCGAGTCAAGAAAAGTTTTGTCATCAATCACTCTTTTATTAAAAATAACAATAATAAAATATCATTTGAAAATAGTAACAAGATAATTATTATGTATAAATAATAAAATTATTAGTGCATAAAATTCACCCAGTGTTTTTATATGAATTAATTTTTGTGTGGTGCGGTATAAACTATATATTATTTTAAGTTAAAATATTTTACTTTTTTTTAATGAATATTTGAATGATTTTTTATTTCTTACTTTTTGACTTATACAATAAAGTATTTTGTATTATTTATTAGGGTAAATTGTTTTTTTAATCCCGTAATTGGACCTCTTTGTCATTTTAGTCCCGTAAGTGGAGCCTGTCGCAACTAGTCCCATAAGTGAAAAATTTTCGCTGTTTTAATCCTCCGCGCCGGAGACGCCCGCGTGGCTCGCCGGAGGTGACGTGTCCGTCAGGTCAGCGACACCTGACGGAGAAGTGGACTTTTTAATTTTTTTAAATTTTTTTTAAAACTTATTTTTAATTTTATTTGTATTTTTTTATTTGGTCCAATTAATAAAAAAATTTAAAAAATACAAAATTCCACGTGTCCGCCAGGTGTCACTGACTTGGCGGGACACCTGGCGGACACGTCATCTCCGGCAAGCCACGCGGGCGTCTCCGGCGCCGGAGAAGGACTAAAACAGCGAAAATTTTTCACTTATGGAACTAGTTTGCGACAGACTCCACTTACGGGATTAAAATAATAAAGGGGTTCAGTTACGAGACTAAAAAACCAGTTTACCCGAGAAAGTATTTTGTATTATTTGTTATTATTTTTATCGCAGTAGTATTGGGTGATCAAAGCTCAATTTCATGCATAAATTTAATAGACAATAGAGGCCAGTAATGATAGATAGTGTATTCAAAAGCTGTCATTTTCTAATGATATACAGGCCAGTAAAATTAACCATGATACTTAATCATAAAAATAATAATATTAAAATTAAATTTACAAATAAATCATCTTCAGAGAATGAACACACAAAGACAAAGACAGCCCAGCCAGCAGCTGCAACTTCCCTCACTCTCTCATATTCATACTCATCATACTGAGCAGCAGAGTTTTGAATCAATGGATGCCAAACATATACAAAATGCTTGGTAACCACTCATTGGATATCTGTTCAATCCAAATTATTATTATTATTATTAATTATATGAATAAATAAATAAAGCAAAATTCTCCATAACTCCCATCTAGTTTCAAAATTTAGCATAAATTTCTTTATACTTTCAAAATTGTATTGCGCCCTCTTATATTTTAAAAAATATTGCATGAAACCTCCCATGCAAAAAAATATAGATGAGAAATCATCTTTTCATCACGCAAAAAATGTAAAAAAAGATTTCATGCAACGTTTTTAAAAGTATAAGGGATGCCATACAGTTTATAAAGATTTACGTTGAGTTTCGAATTCACAGGAGAGTTATAAATAAATAATACCTGTAGTCCATTAGGTATTGAGACTTCCCAACTCTTCCCAGCTGAAGGATTGTTTGCTTTCCATTCCTCTGTTCCAAATATTAATTAATTCTTAGACATCTAATCTAATCTCACCAAAATGAGGGGAGTAACTCTAAGAAATCTTACCTCCAGAGTTAATTGGAAGTTCTTCATTGAGCTTAGAATCTGATACCCTGCACCACCCCCACCCCCCCTCCCTCTGTCTCTGTAATCCAACTCGTACTGTTTCGAATACTGAAACAATAAAATATAAGCCTACAGTTTCGATTCGATGTTTTATTGATTCGACCTTAAGTTGTTAAGAGTATTGTTGTTACTACCTTGTTGTAAGAAGGGATCTTGGAGAAGAGCTGATGAACTCTGTCCTTGTTGTTCTCCCACTCCATTGGTAATCCATTCATATGCTGCTGCTGTACCTGTAAAAGTTTGGGAAGATGATGACTAACCCGTTCATTAAAATTACCTCATTTGGGTCCAATACGGAAATAAAATAAAAAAAATAAATGTTTTATTGAAAAAGTTAGTAAAAAAACAGTTAGAGAGTATTTTTGAAAATTTTGCTAGAAATCAAAGTAAATGAAAAGATAATGTAATAAAGATAATAATATTTATTGTAAATAAGTGTTGAATTAAAAGTAATAATTAAATATGAGATAAAATTTAGGGACAGACTAAAAAGTATAGCAAGAATAAATTTAGCTGACGGAGGGGAGTATAAGATATAATACCTGGTTTGTATTCTTGAGCTGCATTGATTGATGCTTGGGTATCCAGGCTCTCATGCTTCTGTAATTCCCGGTCCAAGTCGACACCGTTGGCGCAAAGCTACTCATTCAAACATTCGAAAAAAAGAAAAAAGAAAAAAATGGCATGTCAACAATCATTGTCAAATTATCATCCTAGTAGTAAAACAAATTCAATAATACAACAACGGGTCCGATAGAGAAGCGCCCACTAACTAGATAATTATTTACTATGATCCTATTAGAAAAGCAAATTCAATAATATAACAATGGGTACAATAGAGAAACGCCCATAAACAAGATAAAGATTATTTATGGGTATCCTATTAGAAAAGCCAATTCAATAATACAACAGGAGAGGAGGGGCCTATAAACTAAATAAAGATTATTTAGTTTGTGATCCTATTTGCGAAGCAAATTCAATAATACAACAATGTATGTGTAGGTACGATAGAGAAGCACTCATAAACTAGATGAAGATTATATACTATTATCCTATTAGCGAAGTAAACTCAATAATTCAATAACGGGTACAATAGGAAGCGTCCATAAACTAGATAAAGATTATTTTTGGTGAGCCTATTATGAAGAAAATTCGAAAAAAACAACAATGGGAACCATAAAGACAGGCTCATTAATTAGATAGTCTCAACAAAATTGAAAGACCATTTGGGGTGTGTAGTAATTGTTTGGCAGATTTTTCAGAATTTTTACTATTCACTGAATTTTTCTTCCTGAAAAACAAAAAACAAAATATCTATTTTTTATATTATACCAAAAATCAATGTTACATTCAAAATATCACGTGAACACCTATTTATATCCGTCATCATGTAATTATTTCAATTCAAAATTTTTACTATTTAAATTCCAATTCAAAATCCAAACCCCCAAACAAACACACCCTTAATGTAATTGCTATCCTATTAGGAAGCAAATTCAATGAACAACGGGGTACAATACCATTGAGAGTCTTGACCAATTCGAACAGTCATTTAATGTAGTTGTGAACCTATTAGCAAAGCAAATTCAATAAAAACAACGGGTACCATAGGGAAACGGCCATATACTAGAGTCTCGACGAATTCAGTTGAATTCAAGTAAAGGAAATTCAATTGAATTTTCACCATTAACTAAACATAGAAACTTGAAAGACCATCGATTCCTTATCGAGCCTTGACCAAATCTAGCAGTCATCTAATGTAGTTGTGCATCTATTAGCGAAGAAAATTCAATAAAAACAGCAACGGGTACCATAGAGAAACAGCCATATACTAGAGTCTCGACAAATTCAGTTGAGTTCAAGTAAAGGAAATTCATCGGAATTTTCGCCATTAACTAAACATGGAAACTTGAAAGACCATCGATACCTTATCAAGTCTTGACCAAATCTAAACAGTCATTTAACATAGTTGTGTATCTATTAGCGAAGCAAATTCAATAAAAACAGCAATGGGTAACCCATACCATAGAAAAACAGCCATAAACTACAGTCTCGAATAATTCATAGGAACTCAAGTGAACGAAATTCAATGGAATTTTCAAATAATCTAAACAAGAACATTCGAACAGATTACCTAACAGAAGCCAACAATTTGGGGTGGATTCGGGTCAGCGAATTCCGACAATCGCCTTGATCCCAAATATGATATTTAGTACCAACAATGTTAGCATTCATTGTCCCAATCAAACTCTCATCTGAAGGTGTCACTATGCCTCTCACATTCTGCGCCACCGTGAACTCCGATCTCCCTTTCCGCCTCCGGTGCCGCGCCACCGCCAGCTTTCGATTCCGCCTCCCCTTCCCCTCCTGCACACCTCAAATCAAATCAAATCAAAATCAAACCCTAGGTTGAATCAGAAACATCAATTCAAAAATTTCAATCCCTACATTGGTGTAAAGTGTGTACAAAGTTCCTCCATCGAATCCATTTGGGGATGATTCCTTCACTATGATACAAGTGCATCTCCCAACATCTACTGGCAAAGGCCTAAACAGCAACGATCTGCGATGAACACAGAGTTATGAATGAAATCGATCTTCTGCAACAAATTCATGAGGTGTAAAATGGAATTGCTGCGGCGAATCTAACCGATTTGGAAGCGTGGACCACGGCGGAGCTGGAGCGGCTTCCGAATCGGAATGGTGGTCCCATAAGTGGCCGGACTTCTCCGACGAATCGTACGGTTCGTCCCAAATCTTCAACCCTAGATCCGAATCAGGTTCGTGTTTCTTCATACACGATTGGAGCGACGATTTTTTGATAGGTTCGTTCTTCGATTGAGCTTTCGCATTCGAAAACGGTTTAGAATTCGGTGCGTGTTCATCGGCGGTTTCTCTCCGATTGAGCTTTTCTTCAGGATTCGCGCAATTCGGTGAGGAATTCTCTTTGTTATCCCCGATTATAGCCACACTTCTCCTAATCTGCGTCCCGAGGGAGACGACGCCTGCGGTGGAGCTGCGGTGGTGATGTCGGTTCTCGATTAAGGGATTGCGGTGAGGAGAGTGTGAAGAAACTGCTGATTTCCTGCAACCAGCCATGGACGATGCTTGGCGTGAGTGTTCAAGGAGGAGCTAGGAGAGAGTGAAGTGGAGGATATTGAGGAAGAGTGTGGTCTGCGATGGCGACCGCCATTAATGAGGTGAAGGTGAGCAACGGCTAATGCTCAATTTGAATTTGTTGACATTGGGAACTGTGCGTGGTGACAAGTTTTGAATTTCAATTTTGAAAATATTGAATAAGGAGTAGTATATATTGAAATTATAAAAACGAATTAAAAAAAGTACGAACAAACACAACTTAAGATTTTAGTTTTGTTTCAATTATTGTAATTCATATAAAAATATTTATTTCATCCGATAAAACAAATACTGAAAGAGTGAGGTTTATTTTTTGGACGAGATGTTTTAATATTAATATTATATTAGGTTGTAGTAAAAAAAATAAAAATATTTCTATCTGTGTTTTGTAGTATGATATTTGTATAATATATTGTAAGTCGTTAAGAATATTTATTATATTTGGTAGTAGTACAATTATTAAATAAAAATAATAATAATTTTATTTTGGGAGTGACGAAAATAGAAAATAACAACTTTTCAACGGATATAAGTTAAACTTTTAAAAATATTTATTTCATCCAATAATTCAAATCAATATACTTAAATTATTAATTATACCTTTTAAAAATATTTTAATATAAAAACATTTAAACTATCACATCAATATATCAATTTTTAATAAAAAATAATAATTTCTTCTAATATAATTATTATAAAATTAAAACTCCAAACAAACTTAACTTCAAAATTTCTACTCCAAAATCCTCGAAAATCCAAACCTTCAAAACAAATACACCCTATGTATATTTTATAAAATAATAAAAATAATATATTTAATTGAATGATCGAATATTTTTTATATAAAATAATAAAATAAATATTATTTATATTATATTTTTTTATGTGTATTTATTGAAAAATTTATTTAAAAAAAATTAGGTTAACATACCTTTAGCCTATATACTTTAAAGAATATTGTACTAATTTATATTTATTTAACATTTAACATCAAATATATTTTTTATTTAAAATATAATTTCAAAACTTATTTTTATATATCAAATATATCGAATTCAAAATTTATTATTGTTTTTAGATGTCGTTTAAATGTGTTGAATTTTGTATTAATTTATAATAAAGAACAATGGCTTTGTTCCCTTTAAAGTTTTTTAAAAAAAAAAAATTAAAAATTTCTATTATACAACTAATATGAATCTCAATTATAAAAAATATGTATATATTTTTTTTCTTTTGTTTGTTTCACATAATTTATTTATGTTTTTAAAAAAATAATTATACAATATAATTATATTTTAAATTTAATAATTTTTAAAGTTTAAATTAAATTATTAAATTATTTTAATTTTAATCTATAATTATTATAATTATTTGTATTATATAATAATTATATATTTTTAATTATTCACTAATTATATTTTTTAAAAATTTTATATCTAATGTAAACAATTATAAAGATGCAATAAAAATTAGTACCATGATTGTTTGGGAGATTGGATTTAATTTCCCATTTTTTCCCCAAAAAAATATCAAATCAAATACCTATTTTTTATTTTTTATATTATACCAAAAATTAATTTTACATTCAAAACATCACATCAACACCTATTTATATGACATCATATAACTATTTAAATTCAAAATTTTTACTATTCAAATCCCAACTCAAAATCCAAACCCCCGAACAAACACGCACTAAGTTTCACAAAATTTCAAAATAAAGTCTGCCAACACTATACAATTAATTATCAACAAAATAACCTTTAAATATAATATTCAATTAAATTACATAGCTAAAAACAAACCAACAAAGATTCGAAATCGTCCCCGCCGCCTCTGTGTGTGGAAGAAAGAGTGGAGTAATAAAATTGGGGTTAAGGCACAATTTTAATTTACAGAACTAAAGATATTGACTGAATTCCACAAAATTTACATATGATTTTACTAAATTTGTGTTAAATTTCTCGTACTTTTAAATTGTAGAAATTTTTTTATAAAATTTTTTATTATTTTATAAATTATGCCTCTAATTCTCTGGTCTGTCATATTATTTAAGGGTGTTTGATCTACATAAGCTCAAATTGCTAATGGATTTTAAAATTTTCATTTCTAAATTTTTTAAATTATAATAATATTTATTCTTTTTATATTTAACTTAAAAAAAACTCTTATAGCCAGAAAAGAATAACTATTTATGGTACTATCTTTTAAAGTTAAATATAAGAATAATGAATATATATTTGTAATTTTAAAGATTAAATGAAAATTTTTTAAATTTATTCTCAATTTGAGCACAGAAAGATCAAACATCGACAACAAATCAATTATACGGAGAGTCTATGAAATCACAAAAAAGTCTAACGCAATTATAAGTATAAAGATTTTGAAGCATTTTATGAAAAACAAGTGAATTTTGTGCAATTTCGGCAAAAATATTTAATCTGGTCACATAATTTAATATTATATGTTACAAATTGATAATTCTTTTGTAATATTATTTATTTTCATTAAAATATATGCCTAAATACTTTGAGCATATATATATACCATGGAGAAAATATTTTATTTTAAAACATATTACATCAATTTTTTTACAATTAAAATAATAATAATAATAATAAAAAATTCATTTCAAGCAATATTATTATAACAGACCGGAATCAGTTTCCAGAAGGTTCCCGCCAAGCCACCGCACAATTGTATGCCAACCGCCGTTGGTATCTCTCAACTCCTCTCTCCCTCACCGTTCGCATTTCCGCCGCCGATTCCTCCAAATCTACCACTCGATTTTTTGCCTCGAAGATCGAGCGAGCATCAATGGCGGAGAATCAGAAGCTCCAGGCGCAACTAGAAATCAAATCCATTCAACCGTCGTCGGCGGCGTCGCAACCGCGAACCTCAACCGATTTCACGGCGGAGGAACTGGTCAAGGAGCAGCAGAGGATTCCTTTCCCGTTCTTCAGGCCACTGTCTCGGAGGAAGGAGAACACTTGGGTAATTTCTGTGTTCTTTATTCTCCACTTCATTGCCTTCGCCGCTACGATGTTTGTCAATGATTGCTGGGGGAATTCGCACGGACAGTGCGAGTTCAAACAGCTCGGGAAGTTCTCGTTCCAGCCGATCGCCGAGAATCCTCTGCTCGGACCCTCTGCTTCTGCGTGAGTCCATACTTTTCTGGTTTTGTACTGTTTAGCTTTTGATCGTTTAGATTTTTTGTGATTTGCTGCGCATAATTTCGTTATATCCGAATCAATTTGTGTTTGTTGATTGCTGCAAACTTCTACTCAGTTCAGCGTTATTTAGTAAATCTAGTTTTTAATATCCTCATTCCAAAATGATCGATTAAAGGTTTCGAAAATCAAACTGATTTTTGCTGCTGTTTTACATAAATAGTCAATAACACGAATGCATTTCATTGCCTTATCATCAGCTACCTAAAGGAATTTGAATAGTTTCAGTCCTGTGCTCTACAATTGTTGTTGTCAAATTACATTTCCACTGTAGAATTGCATAAACATCTATTAATATTCATCATAAGAACACCAAAATGGTTGATCAAAGGCTTTAGAATCCAACCTGGTTTTTGCTGCTATTTTACATAAATCTTTGATAAGAAAAATGCATTCCATTGCCTTATCACCAGCTGCCAAAAGGAATTTGAATAATTTCAGTCCTGTGCTCTACAATTGTTGTCGAATTACACTTCTGCTGTAGATTTGCATAAACATCAATTAATTTTCATCATAAGAACACCAAAATGGTTAATCAAAGGTTTCGAGAATCAAACTGACTTTTGCTGCTGTTTTACATAAATCATCAATAAGAAGAATGCATTTCATGGTCTACTCATAAGCTAAAGAAATTTGAATAATTTCTGTCCTGTTCTCTACCATTGTTGCTGTCGAATTATACGTCTAGCTGTAGAATTGCATAACATTTAATTTTCATCAAAAGAACAACAAAATGTTTTTCATCTATGACTCAATAACCAATTAAAAATTTGTATCTGTATTAGGCTCGACGCAATGGGAGCTCTTCGTCAGAGATATCTGATAAAAGATAATCAATATTGGCGACTTTTCGCGAGTCCTTGCTTGCATGCCGGGGTTTTCCATATCATCATCAACCTTTCCAGTGTGGTTTTTGTTGGAGTTCACATGGAGCAAGAGTTTGGTTCATGTATAGTTTCTCATCCAAATCTCTATACCTTTCGATAAAATACAGAAATCCTAATTCACCTATTGTGGCGATGTTTTTGTTTTATTCCCTTTGCAGTAAGGATTGGAATTATTTACATACTCTCGGCTCTTACCGGTAGTTCTGTGGCTGCTCTGTTTCTCCAAGATAGGCCATCAGTTGCTTCCTCTGGCGCACTGTTCGGGTTGCTCGGCGCCACACTATCCGGGCTTATCTGGAATTGGAAAGTATACACCCGAAAAGTAAGATTCTCTTAGTTGTGCAATGTTTTGTATAGAAAAATAAATTTTCGATATAATTTCTTAAATGAAAAGTAAGTATTTGATGCTATGAGTTTCTAAGAGTTACGGTAGGTATAATGTGATATTTTTTTATAAAAAATAAATTTTTCATATAATATTTTAAATGAAAAAGTAGGTATTTGATGCGATAATTTTCTAAAAGTTAACGTCAGATATAATGTATATTTTTCTATAGAAAATAAATTTTCAATATAATATTTCAAATGTATCTGATACAATAAACTTTTAAAAAGTTACCGTATATATTTTTGAGTATATGTTGAAAAGTGAATTTCTTTTTAGTTATGTGATGTTTTGTATAGAATAAATTTTCGTTATACTATTTTAAACAAAAAATTAATATTTGATGCGATGTTTTTTAAAAAACTACAGTCGATGATTTTTTTGAGTGTACGTAAACAGTGCCTAACGCATCCCGTGCTTACTTTCAGATGGCGACTCTCGTTGCATTCTTCATCATCTTGGTGATGAACACCATCCTTGGTCTGATGCCTTATGTAAACAATTTTTCAAATGTCGGAGGATTTATTTCTGGAATCCTTATTGGTTTTGTGATCCTGTTCAAGCCGCAAGCCGGGCAAATATACCAAGCAAAAGGAGGTATTTTCGATTATGACATCAAGCATTCTGTGAAACTCAAGCAGAAATTGGACAAACCAGTTGTTAGAAGTGTCTCTCTTTTACTCTTCATGCTTTTGTGAGTATATTCTCCTTCTTTCTTCTTCTTCGTTTTATGGAAAGTTGTTTTAATTCGAGTAAATTTCGATTATTCAGATTTATTGGAGTTGGTGTGGCAATTCTTCAGAGCATAAACATGAACAAATACTGTAGCTGGTGCCATTACATCAATTGTGTTCCCTTCAAATGGTGGAGCTGCAACAATAAAAGCATGAATTGTGAGGTGAGTTGAAGAACTAAACTTACCATGAAAATAGTAGTAGCATTTTATAGGTATTACTGGAAATAGAATTATTAATAGAGGCTCGACTTGGCTCGTTTAAAGTTCGAGGTAGAATGGTGACTCAAGCTCGCGGCTCGACTTCAAACTTGAGCTCAGCTTGTAGGGGTCAAGAGTTCGACTTGATTTTATACATATTATATATTTTTGAATATATAAATTTACTTTTATTCATAATTTTTTGTAATAAAATAATACAAACTTTATAAATAAATATAAATTTTAATATAAAAAGTTAAAATATACTATATTATATAAAATAAATAATACAAATATACTATCACTAACAAGTTCAATTTAGCTATACTATCTCAAATTCGTGAATTATTTTTGTTACAGCGGTTAAATGAATTGAATAGTTCGTAAGTCAAGCTCAACTTAATTCATTATATTTATAAACAAGTCGAGTTGATCTAAGCCAAGTTCAGTTTGACCGGCGAGCCATTCAGTTCGTTAAACAGCTCTAACCGGAAGCAATCCATGAAATGGGATCCGAGATGGGATGGGGAGCAAGATCAATTTGAATTTCTATACTTCTTGTGGTTATTTTTTTCTGTTACTGTGGTTATCATCGTCGAACTGATCCGAGTTTATTTTTACTTTTACGCAGACGATGATAAGCTTGGAGAAGATGACTATGACTTGTTCCAGCACCGGAAACTACAAAGTCTTCCCCTTCACCAATGTCACACAAGCTAGGCTCGAGGACCTCTGCAATCTCGTGTGCTTGTAAATACTCAGGTGATTCGCCGCGCCTCGCAGACTCACTCAATCACCGTAAAGCTATACAACAAATCTATCGGTATGGTATTATAATACGATCGAAGAAAAACTGGTACGATCATCATTCTTTCAAGCATTAGGAACATATGATTCCACCCCACGAATCGTCGTCTGGTTATTTTAGAGCCCTCTGTGCGCAGTTTCGTCAACTTTCTTCTCTTCTGCAAAATAACCACATCTGAACAAAACTAGTCGTCGTAGACACGATCAAATATTTCGATCTCATTTCTTCATATTTTTCTTCCCATAAGTTCCCAAATGTGATTCACTTCAAAGATGCAAAAATCGTACAAAAAAAGAATTTGTCGCGATTCACTAAAACCAGCTATGATCGAAATTAGAGCAAGATGACCTAGACGACGATAGTAGTAGTAGTAGTAGTATATATATATATATAGATAACTTAATACTGTTCGACGAATTTATCGGGAGCTAAAAGACCTTGAGCTTTCCTTTGGACACAGATGCCTTCGCCTGCTGCAATTGACACGTTACCTTTTGGGCGCCCGTCAATCCGGAGCATGTGTTGCTCCCATCGCCCAAAGTGACTGCGAAATAGAGATAAACGGTGCATAGAAATGCGAGGAGAACGAGCGCAGTGAGAAGGAAGCGGTGGCGCTGTATCAGGGTCGAGCAGCTTCCTAATTCATCGGATCGCGGGTACTGCCTCTTCGATGATGGCGGGGAGAATGCAGTTTGCGTCTGAGTTCTTCGATGAGGTGAAGTTATTACGTTTTCAATCGCCATTATTTTTGCTCTTTATCTGCCGCAGCGTTAATTCCTGCACATATTTTGAAATTTATGAATCTTGAGAGAACGCGACACAAATATTCTTCCATAAGATACATAACCGAACCCAAAAAAATGATGAAACATGAAGATAAGATAAATGGTCGTGTTAACTACGACATAACCGAACAAAAATGTGTTGAAATACCGGAGAATTAGGGGATAATAGAATTTAAGAAATCGATGACTGCGTATGATTAGAGCAAAGCTTTAGAGGAAGGTATTTCTTAGATTTCTGCCTCTACAATGGACCTCATACATTAACTCTACACACTCGGCAATGGCTGCCGAATATCTTCAAACAAAGTATGACATCCAACCATGGCTATTTTTACGGCAAATAAATGCCGTAATACATCAGCCATTCGAGCAATAACCAAAACGCGTTTAAAAAAAAACCATTCAAAATTCCTTTCGTAGGATCAAGATCGCGATCGATGTAAAATTCAGAAGAAAAACGAACTATAAGGCTCACAATCGACGATAAATCCAAAAAAAGAACTATACGGCTCGCCCAATCGTCGAAAAAATCAAGTACAAAAGAACCAATATCTTTAAGAAAAGCCGATCCAAAACCCAAAAATGATACAAAACATCACTACAAGGATCCATTTCTTTTGAGTCTTTCCAATATTATTCTATTTCGACTTTCTCGGGAGAAAAAAATAAATATTTTTAGACTGCAAAACATCACATCAAACAAATACATATTTTTCGATCGCAAAACATCACATCAAACAATAAAATGCAATGCTGTATGGCATCAAAGATCAAAACAAGATCAACTGTGCCAAACAAACAAAACCATACAATACAGATGATCATCTGTTCTGAAAGCTATTTGCGTTTTGCAGATGCAAGAAATGAAACAAAGAATTCAACCAAATTGATTCCCCAATCTAACACATCTCCAATCTGTTCCTCCTAATCATCATCAAAACTGAGATGAAAATCTTCAAATTCAATCGATTGGATCAAACCTAATTCCATCTATATTCCCCAACCATAATACATCATCCTACCTAAATCTCAACCATCGAAACCAAACCAAAACCTACAATAATTCAACCAAATCCTCAACCAGATCATCAATGATCGATCTATTTCCCCAAATCCGTTCCAACGGATAAACGAAATGGAAGAAAAAACTAAAACAGCACAGATCTGCCACAATACGAATCAGGAATGGAACTTACACAGATGAAGAGGAAATGTCGAAGAGCGGCGCCTCCCAACCAAACCTTTCCGGCCGGCAACGAATCCCTTCCTCAACCAAATCGAATCGAGCGCGGCGAAATTGTTTGCCACCAAATAAATTGGAAAAAGCCTACTACCGGCGATTCAATCAATCCTCTCTCTCTCCTCAAAATGCTTCCTCTACCATCGATCGATTCGACTCTTCAACAAACTTTTTTTCCCCGAAATTTATCGTCTTTCCTTTTTTTGTGTGCGACGTGCCACGCGCTTTTTGACAGAAGGAAAAAGGATAAAGAAAAGTAGCAGGTCGGGATAACGTGTACCTTGCTCGGGTCGGGTCGGGTTCAAGTATTCGTTGGGGACGCCGACCCTTCAAAATATGGGAGGTCATGTTCTATGCTTGCCAAAAAGCCGTTGGATTTGTTTGTTATTTATTTTAAGATACAAATTAACAGATATGATTTGAAAAAATATATTATTATATTAATTGATTGTAATATGTAAGAATATTTTTTAAAAAATGAGTGTATTAATAAAATAAATAATTTTTTTAAAGAACTAATAAGTGCCTAAATAATTAGTGGTTTAATTATAAATAAATATAATATTAAAATACTATAAATTATTAAAAAATATATAACTGCGTGTTTGTATGTTGGTTTTAGTTTTTGTGTTTGAATGTTTAACAGTAAAAAATTGAATTTGAATAATTATTTGATGTGATATTAAATAGAGGTTGATGTATTATTTTGAATGTAAAATAAATTTATAATATAATATAATATAAAAAAATAATTGTTTGATGTAATATTTTTTTTAAAAAAAAAATCTGTATAATAAAACCTGTGGTAAAACAAAAAAAAAACACAATCTAAAATTTTTATAAAAATACATAATTTTTGGACAAAAATAAAAGAACACATATATTTGGACCAAATATTTAATTTTAAAAATTTCATATTCTTTCTATTCCCTCTAATAAAAGAGTGACATGTGTCTATAGAGAGAAATAGACAATTTTATGATATTAATATTTTATTTCAATTTTTCTTTTAAATAGAATATAATTTTCCCTTAGTCCTATATTATTTTTATTTTAATCTTTTTTAACAAAAAGTAATATATTTTTATATTTGATAAATTTTACTAAGATGTACTTTTGTCGGAGCCTATTCCTCTGGTCAATCCCACTATCCTCATCTTCGATGCTTAAATCCAGAATCCAATCCGCCGTCGATCTTGTCGATCATGCACTCTCCGGCGGCGCTTTCTCCTCTTATCAGAGTAAAATCACTACGGACTTCTTGGACTGGCCTATATATAAAAATAAAATAAAATAATATTATTAACTAATTAAATATTATTATCCTAAAAACTGTGCCTTTAATCAAATATATCATTTATAATAAAAAAATAAATTATTGTAAACATCAATTTATATCACAAAAGAATAAACTCTTAAAATACATCAAAATATTGGGATCATAGAGAAAGTATATTTAACCAAAATTTATTTTTATTTAAACTATTATGATAATACTTATTTATACTATATTACTTTTTATTTTAATTGAAATTAATAAAGGATAACAAAATATACTATATTGATTTAAATATTATTAATCTATTTATATATTATCAAATAAATTTTATATTTAAAAGAAATAAAATAGGAATAAAATTATTTTAATATATAAGTATAGTAAATAATAAATTTAATAATTATTATTTTAAAAATAAAATATTCAAATATTCTTAATGGCTATTTTATATATATAAACAATTAATATGTATCAGCGGCTACGGCTACGGCTACGGTGCTAATTCAATTAAATCAGTATGGTGCTGATTTGATCGATTCAATATATATTATATACTATCATAACATATTTATGATCTAATATATGTTATGTTATAATATCAACATATGATATTTTTATAATACAATATATATTGTATTATGTAAAAATATATTCATTCGTCTCAATACAATAGTCATGTTTACCAGTTTTGTTCGTCCCAAAACAATAGTCTCATTTCCATAAATAATCATATCACTATAAAACTATCCTTACCTTTTTTCATTATTATTACACAATTTCCACTACTTTTTACACTAATACATCCACAAGGACAAAAAAGTCTTTTACTCGTACTTTTTATCCACTGCTAATATAATATCAATATTCTTTAAATCCTGTACCAAACACAATTCAGACTATAGTTCTGTGACGGAGAGAGTATCATTTAAGTAATAGGTTAACCCGATCAAATTAGTCCGCACATTGAATCAGTTGTTTTACCAAATACTTTAACACAAACAACTAATATAACTAGCTAGTCAATTTAACTAATAACTATCAGCTAATTGTCAAACACTACTAAATGTTTGTACAATTTTCAATAAAAATACATCACAAAATGTTATAATCAAATATTATTTAAATAAAAATTCAAATCAACACTTTAATTTTAAAATAATTTGAAACTACACTGAGAAAAAAACGAAAAGAAAAGAAAATTCTGAATTTATTGGATTTGTTTGCCTTTTGTTTTGAATATAACATTTTAATTTAAATATTATTTTAACGTGATATTTTATATAAAAAATATATATTTTTTTTTATTAAAAACGGTGTAGATTAAATAATAGTATAATTTAAGTTTGAAACTCAACCACTATATTTGGGCCTCTGTTCAGGAAATGATGGGCAGCCCAAAATTGGTTTATTTGAGGATAATGGATTGACCTTTTTTTTTTTTTTGGGCCCAAATTGTTTTTCATTATTTTGAATATTGTTTACATAGAATTTCTTTGAAGCTTTTGGGTTAAGGGTAATAATAGCAAAATGATATAATAATAATAATAATAATAATAATAATAAGAGAATTGATAAAAGGTATTAATATTTTTGGTAAAATTATATAGTTTTGTTTAGGCACCAAATTGAATAATAATGATATTTTAATATTAAATAATTTAGATAAAAGATAAGGTAGAAGGATTCTAAAAAATTTATTAAATGATTGATAAAAAAAAATGGTGAATTAAGTAGAAGATTGTGTGTGAATATAGCGATTTACTATTAAATTTGGAGATGTCGGAAATTTGAATTTATAATCTCACAGTTACATATTCATCATTACTTCACTTAGTTATCCGCCACTTAACATGTTAAAAGAAAAAATAATAATAAAAAATTCTTAAATTTTCAAAGTATGAGATTGAAAGATATTTCTTAAAAAATATATTTTAATAAAAAATTCTATCATGTGTCATATTTAAATAGTAAAAATAAGTTGATTTAATTTGAATATAAGTTTTAATTGGATGTGTTTTTACTTTTTTCTAATAATTCTTTTTTATATAAATTTATTCTCACTTAAAAAAATAATTTTTTTTTAAACTTTTTTTTAGCATTAAAAGAAAAAGTTTCTATTTTTCTTTATTTTATTAAAATACATATATTATCAAATGAGCCCATAATTACGATGAAATTAGTATTATTTTTTTCTGTTAAAAATAAAATAGACTTATTTTTAATAACAGACAAATAAAAGAAATTAGTATTATTTATTTTTTATGATAGAGAATGTATAAAAATAAATATTTACAATATGTAATTATTGTCGTAGTTCGTTATATCATAATGCTTTCAAAATGATTCTCATGTATAAAATTATTAAATAATAAATAGATTTTATTATTTTAAAATTTTACTTCATTTGATCGAATTTAGATTTTGCCAGTGTGCACGAGACAATCACACTATTTACTTCTAGTACAAAAATAGTACTTCCTCTATTCAAAATTGTTGTATTTATTTATTTTTTACGTGAATTTAAAAATAAATTATTTTTTTATTATTTTTTATTGTCCGATCAAAGAATTTTTATTTTCTATTACAAAAAAATAATTACAATAATACTAAAATATTATTTAATTTTATGTAATTTATAAATATATTATTATATTTACAATCAATTTTTAAAAAACACAAAAATATGAAAACTATCTCTAAATACTTTCAAAAATATAATAGAAAAAAGTGACATAATTGTAAATTTAAATAGAATACTATAATTTTAGCATTTTGCTCATACAAAGCATCTATATTTACTAAAATAATAAGAAAATAAATATTGGATAACTTTTAACAAAAATAATAAGATAGATACATTTTATTATGAATAATTCAAACATAATATAATGGAAAGTGTATAGCATTATTGACGTGCTAAATGTTTCTTTTTAATTTTATTATTATTTTTTTATCATATATACTTTTTACATATTTTAAAGGTAAAATACTATTCCCTTCATCTTTTAAAGATCAATCTATTTTTTCATTTTTATTCGATAAGAAAGTATCTATTTTCTTTTTTAAATTGTAACGTGCCAGAAGCTGACACACCCGACGCTCAGACCCAAAGGCCCAAGCCAGTTGTCCCTTGCGCGCAATAAGTCTGAGTATACCATATAATGCTGGAGAAATAAGGCGGGACTCGTACCTGCACCAAGACATATGCCGTTGATTAATTGTACAGGATCAGGGCTTACAAACGTGAGACGGACTATGGCCGAGAACTTGGGCAAAAATGTAATTAATATTTCTAAAATTTCGTGTGAAAAATAAACGGATATATATATATATATATATGAAAAGGAGGAGTATAGATATAAATCAAATTGACTCCACTGGATTAATTGATTTTTTATGTGTGACATGACAATTGTATACAAAAGTATAAAATATATTATTTTAAGTTATATTTGACTTTTTTGACTTTTTTTAATAAATATTTGAAGTTTTTTTTTTTTTTTTTTTTTTTTTTTGAGTTTTTAATTGTCTTTTAAAAATGTTTTAGTATTATTTATTATTATTTTTTAGAAATTGCAATTGAAAAATTGTGATAGAATAACATAGTGATTTTTTATGGAGAAATAATATTTTTATAAATGAAAATATGATAAAAGTACTTCCATTCAATTTATAAACCCATTCAAACTAGTAAAATGCAAATAAATAAATTCTTAAAGTAGTATCTTAAATAAAACATTAAAATATTAGAATTATTTTTTTAAGGAAAAAAATATTGAATAACTAACGTGAAAATACTGGAAACCATTTTAATTCTACCTTTAATTAAAGAAAAGAACAAAAATAAAATAAATAAATAAAATCCATAAGAAATCTATAATTATATATATATATATATATATATATATAATGCTAATCACATTATTCCGTATCAGCGTTGCAGAGATCAGTCTGTCACAGCCTCCACTCCGGAGAGCATTCCGCCGTCCGTGTCCTATTTCGCTTTGCTGAACAGATTCGGAGGTCTGGATTGTTCATGTGCACTGAATCTGCGTGTGATTTCAGGTACCTTCTACCAGTTTCACGTAGCATTGTTTTTTCTTTAATTTCTCCTTTTTGATTTTTTATGGATCCGGAGTGTTTTGTTGTTGGTTCGATGTATTGGAGCCTCGTGGAGGCAAGCTCGTTGCTCGTGAGTTATTTTTGTTATTTGTTAATTCTATGGCTGCATTTATTCGCATTCGTATATTGGATCACATGCATTGAAGCCTGAGCATAGAGATTTTTTTTTTTGCTGTTTTTGTTTGCGGATCCGTGTGGAGATTTTTATTCATTATTAATTTGGTTGTGTTTTTGTGTATGTGTTGAAATCTACGTTGTCAGTTTGGTGCGTGGGAAGTGAAAAATTGAGGTTTGATTGCGATGGAGAAGGAGAGGAAGAAGTATCCGACTGGAGCAGAGCATTACACTCTGTATGAAGAGGTGGGGACAGGAGTCAGTGCTTCGGTTTATCGTGCATTGTGCAATACCATTAATGAGATCGTTGCGATCAAAATTCTCGACTTTGAACGCAATAATAGCGATCTGGTAAGTCTTTATTGATCATCGAACTACGCTGGTAGGGTTTAAATTTTTGGCGCAACTTTCTTTGCAGGTAAATGTGGTCTGATTTTTCTGATTCTTTTAGGAATTTGACTTGAATTTTGTTTTGATATCTAAAGGTTTACGTTCTTGAATCTTGGGGATAGACTGCTTAGTGTTATGTAACGAACAATATTCAGGCACTTAAATATGGATTTCCCATCAGAATACTGTTTTTACATTTAATTTCTTGCCTCGTTATTTCGATTTGGCTAGTGATCATGCAAGCTTTAGTTGCCGATTTAACACTGGTAGAATTCTCTATAATTTTACAGCAGTTGTTAGTAGGAGAGAATGAAAAAATTACCGAATGAGCTTGTTTCGATGCTTTAGAGCTACTTTTGGTTTCATTTCCTGATTTCCTGTCCGAAAACAGGTTCAATAAGCTTTTCTAATCTAGTTGTTGCATATTATTTGCAGAATAGCATTTCAAGGGAAGCACAAACCATGATCCTTGTTGACCATCCCAATGTTCTTAAATCACTCTGTTCATTCATTAGTGATCATAATTTGTGGGTTGTGATGCCTTACATGGCTGGCGGTTCGTGCTTGCATATTCTGAAAGTGGCACATCCAGATGGTTTTGAGGAAGTTGTGATCGCTACAATTCTTCGTGAGGTGTTGAAGGGATTGGAATATCTTCATGAACACGGCCATATTCATCGGGATGTCAAAGTGAGTGGACAAACTTTTTATGTCGTACGCAACATCTAATTTACTTCTTCTTGCTTGGAACATTAGCTGTATTTGCATTGAAAGAAGTTTCCCAGAAATATTAACATGTTTCTTTTTAATGATCTCAAAGATATCTTCTTACCACAGTATTGGAAAAACAAAGTTCTAAATATACCAAAACTAAAATGATAATATTCATGACTTATCAAATGTGATCTCATATTCTAGAGCCATTTTCTAATAAAATTCAAGGAAGAATCTTGGTCAAAATGAACTAATACTACAATTACACTTGCAAATACTTTCATACTAACAGCAGAGCTTTTGTATCACCACAGTGAGCTTGTCCATAGTCACCTGTATGCTTTTTTATCATCATAATATTGAGCATCTTGTTCTCTTTTTTGTTTTAGGCTGGTAACATTCTTATCGATTCACGAGGTGGAATCAAGTTGGGTGATTTTGGTGTTTCTGCCTACTTGTTTGATTCTGGTGATAGGCAACGGATGAGAAATACATTTGTGGGTACTCCTTGCTGGTATGGGACAAATCTAGAGCACCTTCATATGCTTGTTTCTTTTCCATTATGTTTCAGTTCAGCACATACATTTTTTTATTTTTAATTTTGGATGCACATTAACAAGATTTGATCGATTCGTGGTTGTAGGATGGCTCCAGAGGTTATGGAGCAATCGCATGGTTATGACTTCAAGTTTGTTAATCAGTCCCTCTATTCGTTGTATATCTAGTACAACTAGTGTTGAATGATTTTCTTATCTAATGGAATAACAATTTTGCCAGAGCTGATATTTGGTCTTTTGGCATAACTGCCTTAGAGCTTGCACATGGTCATGCTCCATTCTCAAAATATCCTCCAATGAAGGTACTTACTGCTGTATCAATATGCTTTGTTTTCTGAATTGAAGATCATCCACTTCTTTAATATCTAATCATATATGAAAGCATGTCTCATATTTAGGTATTGCTTATGACATTGCAACATGCACCCCCTAGCCTTGATTACGAAAGAGACAAGAAATTTTCAAAGGTACGCTTGCTTGTTTACTGTATTGACATTCAACAAATATTTGGTTGATTAAAATGAGTTTTGTACTTTTTTTTTTTTTGGTGTGTCAAGTCCTTTAAGCAGATGATTGCGAGTTGTTTGGTAAAAGAACCTTCAAAAAGGCCTTCTGCAAGCAAATTGCTAAAGCATTCATTTTTTAAGCAAGCCAGATCAAACGACTATATTGTTAGGCATCTTCTGGAAGGACTGCCGGGTCTTGGAGATCGTGTTAAGGCATTAAAGGTTTGTCTTTTATGGTTAATAAAATTTTCATCGCTTTATTAAGCTCTACTATGACTCTATGATATATATGAAAATTGATACAGGTAAAGGAGCAAGACATGCTTGCACAAAAGAAAATACCAGATGGGGAGAAGGAGGAAATATCTCAGGTTTGGTTTCTCTATTTAAGTATAAAATATTGCAAATCATATGCTAATTCCTATGTCATCCTTTAAGACGTCGTAAATGAGTATTGACATAACTATGTTTTGTGTACATGAGGTGAATCTGACCTGCACTCTGTTTTGGTAACCTTAATTTCACGATGTGATCATATTAAAGCACTGTTCAGAGGAACTTTGTTACATGCTCCATACTAATACTTATCACACCTTGTTTCATACCAAGGTCGGAGATGATACTACTTATTGTTTATTTTGATGATATGATTATTAAAAGGGATTTGAAATGATAATAAAGCAGCTATTGATCTGATTTGATATACTTCCCTATTTTCAACTTTTCAAATATTAGAATAGGTCATATGTCTTTATTAATATTAATATTTGTTTTTTCAGTGTCTAATTCTTTCTTTCATTTTTTCACTATATCCGCAGAATGAATATAAACGTGGGATTAGTCACTGGGATTTTGATCTTGATGATCTGAAGGCTCAAGCTGCAATGGTATTTAATCTCTCTTTAGGCTTTTTGTTAAATCCAAATATTTATGTCCATGTATGCATATTTATTACTTTACTTTTCAGATCCAGGATGATGATTCTGTAGTGGAAAAGGATGAAGATACACCAACCAAACGAATTCAACGCGAATTATACTTTGCAAGACAATGTTCATTTGGTTTATCTGTAAGTTACTCTTCATTTTTATTTAGATACTTAACAGTTTCTACTTTTTTTTATCTAACATCATAGATCTTCACAGGATGATAATGCTCCAACTTCTAACTCATCCGTAAACTCTTCAAGTAACATGTATGCCTTCATATTTTACATTTCTTATACACTATGTAAGATAATGTGTATACTATAAATCCTCTCCATAGCCATTTTATTTTGCCTTGTACATTATTTTGACATTATATTATTGTCTACTTGAGTAAAAGCCGAGAATATATTCAACTGTTATCTAGTTTCTCATACGTTGCTCCCAATTTTTTCCCGGTTATTTTTCCTTCATGGTCTTGCGTCACCGGGCATTCTAATTTAAACTTCTAATTAAACTGTTTTCCTCTTAGAGCTGAGTGTGAAAAGCTCAATGATAGTGCAAGTATTACTACTTCAACCAGTGGACAACAGACAACACATATGGTTCATAGCAGTAAATATAAGGCAGGAAATTGTTCCGTGGAAAATTTTGCGTCAGAGTTAAACAGGGGACTTTCAGGAGTTCACTCAAACACTAATCAGAGGTACGGCATTTTTTTTTGGCATTTTTTCAATATTTGTTAAATTATTTGCCTTAGGTAAATGTTTCTTTAATTTTATTTTTATTACTTAAATGTGTGCGCTGTCGCTAAATTCATTAATTTGTAGCCACATAGCTTTCCCACTCCCACACCCACTCCCACATAGGAAATATGTTGGGGAACTCTCCTAATTTATAATGGCGATGGACTTTTTTTTTTATCACCAATTGATTTTGAAATAGAGTCAATAGAAAATACAAAATGAATTAAGTCTTTAGAATGGGAGTATCTAGTAATTGCATTTCAGGACTTCAGCATTTGGTTTTAAAAAGAACACCTTACGTGGAAACTAATGGTTTAAGCTTTTGTTTGAAGTATAAGATGCTTAGGCAAACAACCATTAATTTAAATATTTGATATAAATCTCCTTATAATCTGCCTATTTGCAGCATCCATGGCCATAGGTGTAACTGATCAATTTAATTTATTTTCATTTGATTAAGTGAAGACATTTATGGAGCCTCCATTTATAGAGTGGTAGAGGAGTTTCGCCATGCAATACGAATTGCATGGCTGACCCAATTCTAACTACTATAACCATGCTACTTGTATGAACAAACTTTGCAGAACCTTGGGATAAATTGAGATATTAGAACTCTTTTAAGTTTAACATTTTGGAAATTTTATGATTATTCTGTTTTGGCAAAAATAAAAAAATAAAAAAAAAATTCAAAAAAAAAAAATTCAAAAAAATTAAAACATTACACACATTCATTATTGTATAAAAAACATTAAACATATTCATTATTATATAAAAAATATTACACACATTCATTATTATATAAACAATTCTCTATACTCCACAATTACTATTCACGAGGGAAAAATGTATTTGATATGACTCTTTTTTAAAAAAAAATAGTATTAGTTAATAATGTAAACAACAAAAAAAAAATCTATAAATTGAGACTAAATACAAGTGTTACGTACGAAATTTAGAATTAGGTTAAAAGCCCAAGGTAAAAAAGAAGAATGGGCCTGGCAATAGGGTTGATTGAACTGGCTGAAGGACACCGTGAGGAAATCAAGGAAAATAAATTTATTTATTTATTTCTAAGGAAAATACAGGACGGAAGGTTCTCAGGTCGGTAGGTCCTCAGGACGGAAGGACTTCAGGTCGGTAGGTCCTCAGGACGGAAAGACCTCAGGTCGGAAGGTCTTCAGGTCAGTAGGTCCTTAAGACGGAAAGTCATTAGGACGGAAGGACCTCAGGTCGGTAGGTCCTCAAGACGGAAGGACCTCAGGTCGGAAGGTCTTCAGGTCGGTAGGTCTTCAAGACGGAAAGTCATTAGGACGGACGGACCTCAGGTCGGTAGGTCCTCAAGACGGAAGGACCTCAAGTCGGAAGGTTTTCAGGTCGGGAAGTCCTCAAGACGGAAAGACCTCAAGTCGGAAGGTTTTCAGGTCGGGAGGTCCTCAAGACGGAAAGACCTCAAGTCGGAAGGTTTTCAGGTCGGGAAGTCCTCAAGGCGGAAAGACCTCAAGTCGGAAGGTTTTCAGGTCGGGAAGTCCTCAAGGCGGAAAGACCTCAAGCCAGATGGTTCGCAAGTCGGGAGGATTGGCGGTCGGACCCATACTATTGTAGATTGGCAGTCGGGCCAAAAGAGCGGAAGGTCTGTGGTCGGCTCAAGGAGTGAAATATAGGGAATTTTTGGTCTGCTGGGGACACGTGTCAGCATAAGAAAGGTTGGAAGACGGTTGAGAAGGAGACGTTGTAACCGTTCGGGTGACGGTTTTCAGTACGGTTTCCCAGGGAATATTTAAGGATTTGGATCATCATTTGGCAAGGGATCTTCAATCAACTTCAACAAAGCAAAGTCAGATTTGGGGATCACCACTTTAAATTTCAGTCTTTTATTTTCCAGTTTATTTTCTGTACCATACAGTGTTTAGAGATTCCTAATCTCAGGCACTAATTAATCAAGTTTAAGGATATTTTCTATATCTTTGAATTTTACTTTATTTTTGTTGAAAAATTACATCAACAAATTGGCGACCACAGTGGGAGCAAGACAAAATTGCTCATTCCAATTCCGGCGATAATTTCATACGTCTTAGATCCGGCCGAATCATCGGAAGGGTCCATATGGCAGGGTCACAACCGCAAGCATCTTCGACACCGGTGGGAGAATCCGTTCCACCACCCATTGTGCCAAATGCCGGGGACATCCCACAACCACCAACTGATTGGTGGTCTTATGTTCAACAAATGAACAACCAGCATACCTTGGTTATGCAGAATATGTTGCGTGAGCAACAAACGAACATGTTGCGTGAGCAACAGAGTCAGTTGCAGAACATGATAGATCAAGCATTGTCAAGGGTTAGTCTTCAACCCACTCAAACGCCACCAGGAGTGTCACCGTCCAGACCACAGGCAAATTTCGCAGGGCCATCATTCGTGGATAGTACATTCCCAAGTGCCACAAATCCCAACCGAATGGATCGGGGAAAAACTCCTTTGACTTTTCCCAACAATGTTCCACTGGGACCAAGGGTTACCAATTCGCAGCCGAACAATACAAGGGAGGACAGGCCTGAAGGATATATACATGATCCGATTCATATTCCTGTGCAGGATCCGTTCCAGGTTCCTGATCATCAACGCTTTCATGTAGATCCTGATGAGATTGCACATATATTAAGGGATCAGTATGGATTAACTCCTCAGATGGCTAACCGCCCTGCATATCAAAGACCTTTCCCAGAAAGGATCATTCATGAACACCCTCTCCCAAGGAATTTTCGACCACCCGACTTTCATGCATTCTCAGGGGAGGACGGATCTTCCACCATAGAACATGTTGGTCGGTTCACAGCACAATTAGGAGAGGTTGGCAATAACCCTTTTTATAAGTTACAGCTGTTTGGTTTGTCTCTTACCAGAACGGCGTTTTCATGGTTTGTAAGTCTACCTCCTGGACAAATTCAGACATGGGAAGGATTGGAAATGGCATTTCACGCTAGATTCTTTAATCCTTTACCAGTTGTTTCTTTAACTGATTTACTTGAATTGAGACAGTATCCAGAAGAAACTGCTTCACAGTTTATAGAAAGGGTACGATTGATGAAGGGACGATGTCCTACGGTAATCAGTGAGAAAGAGATGACCAATTTAGTGGTCCGGAATATGCATAATCGCTTAAGAAAGGCACTCACTGCCCTGGATGTTGAGGATTTGGCAAATCTTGCATCCAAGGCAGGACGTCTAGAGTCTTTGTTCAGAGAGGAAGAGCAGCATAACAGGCGTAATAGAGGCCAACATATGGCGAGTATGGGAACAGAAACATGCGACTTTGATTTTAATCAGTCAGAAGAGATGGCAGCCGAAATCCTTTCTGGAAAACCGTATGTATGTCCTAAATTGAAGCCAGTACCAGGATCTGAAGGAAAGGAGCAACCGACCTTTGATAGTTCGAAAGCTGATGAAATCTTTGATATCCTACTGACTGATGGGCAGATTCGTATTCCAAAGGGCCAAAGACTTGCCACTAAAGAAGAAATCAAAGGGAGACCATATTGTAAGTGGCATAATTCTTTCACACACACTACAAGTCAGTGTACTCATTTTAGGAAGGAAATTCAAAAAGCCATCAAGACAGGTCGGCTCAAATACATCACTTTAGGTGTAGACCAGCAACCATTTCCGAAACTAACAACTGCAATGGTTGACATCCAACCAAGTTCGGAAACAAGGAAAAGTTCGGTCAATAGTGGACAAACAGGGGAGCAAACTAGTCCCGGAAAAAAGAAAGGGAATCAGCCAAACAGCAGCCGACCGGAAGAACGACTCAAGGTTGTTGAAAGGCCAGTCGCTGAAAAATGGGACCGTCCAGACGGTTCTTTTAACGTGGAAGTGAAGGAAAAGGTTTTAGTGAAAGACCACCCGACCAGAAAAACGGGTTCAGTCGGGAACGAGTGGGCTCGAAATAAAAAGCCTTTACCCGTTGATATAGATCCTCGTTTCCCAGGTATGAATCGTACACAGATTCGCAATGCCAAACGCAGGTATGCTGCAAAGTATGGGAAACGAGTTCCTGCAGTGCAACAAAGAACCGACGAACAAACTGCGGCCGACCACTTGACAGGAGATCAGTCCATTAGAGTCTTTACAGAACAAACGACCGACGAGCAGGGAGCGGCCATTCAGTCTCCAATAAGTCGGTCCAGTCGGGTCTGGTCAGGAAAGCAACCGAAGGACGGATTAGGAGCTTCCGACTATACCAAAAGAAGTTCGTCGGGACAGGGGAAAGGTAAGGGAATGGCACATGAAATAATTAAAGGTTTTAGATGCCAACATTGTGAACGGATCAACATCAATCCATCTCTGGAAGAATTTCGTATTGAATCCTTGACGGTTCAATCTCGAAATGAGACGAAGGAAGAAGTGGTGCCTACAGAGGAAAATTCAAGATCTGTTAAATCTCGTCTGGGACCACGAATCCCTTGTCGAATGACAGAGGTTAACCAGATGAGTGATGAACCGACGTGGGCGAGTCTGGTAGATGATATTATGGACGAACCTTTATGGGCATTCTTGGCAGATGGCGAATTAGAGGAAACAGAGTGGGCAAAGATTACAGATTCTGAGCCTCAGTCGGAAGCACCTTCAATTGTGTTTCCTCCTATTCCAGAGGGTGCGAACTCCCATTTGAAACCCCTGTATGTTAATGCTCACATTTGTGGGAAACCAATCACAAAGGTTTTCGTGGATAATGGAGCAGTCTTTAATGTTATGCCATTGAAGACTCTCAAGAAGCTAGGGAAAGGAATTCATGATCTGTCCCCTGTGGAATTCGAAATGACAAGTTTTACAGGGCAGCCGACCAAGCCTGAAGGTATGATGGTTGCCACAATTGAGGTCGGACCAAAGAAAATTTCCACTGTTTTCTTTATTGTGGACGCAGATACCACATACTCTCTTTTGCTGGGACGAGATTGGA